CCAGACTCCAGGGGCCGGACACTGTGCAGGCCTCCTGCCTGCGAGCCCAGCTGGGCTGCTCCTTCAGGATCCGGAAGGGGAGGCTGGAGCCCAAGGCAGGGACAGCAGGGATGGGGGACCAGCAGGGACGGGCAGAAAAGTTGGGGGTCAGGGGAGAGCAGGGACTGGGGACAGCGGGGATGCGGGACAGAGGGACGGGGGAATATCAGAGACGGGGGACAGAAAGGATGGGGGGTAGCAGGGATGGGATGGCAGAACGACCACAGCTTCCATCTCCTGTCCAGGTGGGCGGGCACATGGAGATCCTGGGTGACAGGTGGGTGGAAACGGGTGTGTGGCCCGCGGGCGGGGGGGGTCCCTTGGCTGAGCAGAAGGGAGATGCAAGAAGGGCTGTGAGTGGGTCCTGGGGGGTGTGGGATCAGACCCTGGAGGTTCTTCCAAGAAACTGTCAGCTCCCAAGGTCCTGGTGATGCGGGCGCCCTGCTGGGGATGAGGTGGGGCTCTGGAAGGAGGCGGTGCGGCCAGAAACCAGAGAGCAGGTTCAGAAGGGACGCTGGGGTGCGTGGACCCATAGCCCCTGGCATCCCAGGCAGAAAGGCCTGAAAGAAGGTCACATACACTTGCCCCCCCCCCCACCCAAAGCCGCTCTCGGGAGCAATCTGGGCACTTTCACAGAGTCGCCAACAGAGGGCGCCACTGCAGCGCGCCTCCACAGGCTCCTCCCTGATTCAGGGCCCCCAGACCTCACCAAGGGGACCCCCACAGTCTTGTTCCCCCCACCCACGCTTCCAACTCAGTCCTAGTTAACTGCTTTACATTCATCACTGAACCGAGAAAGGCTGTTTTTTTCATAATAAAAATCCCAGTCTTATTTTATGTATACACCTTAATATTGTAAATGTAATAATGTGTACTACACAATAAACACATTCCAATAAAGTAATTTTATGAGTATGCAGCTAAATTCTTTGATCCCCTCAATTTTTCTATTTTGGAAATATATATATATATATTTTTGCTTTCTGGGTCACACTTGGCAATGCACAGGGATTACTCCTGGCGGTGCTCAGGGAACCACATGGTATTCTGGGAATCGGACCCAGGTTGGCCGCGTGCAAGACAAACGCCCTACCCGCTGTGCTATCGCTCCAGCCCTTGGAAATATTTTTGATTGGAGTTCCATGATTCACAACCCCATTAATGGGGCTTGGTCCCAGCAGTGTGCCCCCCTTCCTTGGGCCCCACGCTAGCCCCCAAGCGCCCACCGCGCAGCCGTGTGGGTCAGTTCCCCTGTGGCCTGGCCTTTGGGCCTCCGTTGCTTCCTTGCAGTTGATCTGTTTCTGAGGTGGGGACCACACCCAGCGATGCTCAGGGCTTACTCTGGCAATGCTTGGAGTGCCATGGGGCGCCGCGGATCAGACCCAGGGGGACGCCGTGTCCAAGGCCAGTGCCCTCCCTGCTGGACTGTCGCACCTGCCCGCAGAGTGGGTTTCTGAGGCCCCGTATTTCTGTGTCACCCTTGCACAGGGCCTGGCTCATCTTCTCTGTGTCGCAGCTGGACAAGCAGAGTCTCGCTTAGGGTCGGCTGAGAGTGACTCTCGGCTTCGGGGACAGCGTCGTTTGGGTGTTTGCAAGTAAAGACAGTAATTAAGCCTGAATCTCTGGTACTCATTTTGTAAATGCATCCTTCTACATGCTACGGGTACTTAAACTTTAGGACCTTTAAAGTATTACTCCTCAAGGAGTAATAATACTCTTGGCTGCCGGGACCACCCTTGTGTGCAGCACCAGGGATCCAACCTGGGGCCTCACGCTTGCCAGGGGCGTCACCTCCTCTGCGTGGTGCCCTATGGAGCCATCACTTTCCCCGATGGTGCCTGGGTCGACTGAGCCGACAGCCGGCCTGGGGCGGAGGTGGGGCGGCTCCAGGTGTTCACTCACGCTGGTGGGACCTCTCTGCATGTCTAGTTTTGTTAAGCATGTTTGGGGAGGCATCCGGTGATACGGTGATCAGACTGTTCCTCCTCATTCCAGTTACAGCACGGCGATCTTCTGGCTTAGTTAGGCAAATGAAACTTTACTTTTGCACCGTGAACCCACACACCCTAGGACAGCTATCACTTCAGCGTTAGCGTTAAAATTCATTCATTCATTCATCATCCTGTTATTCGTCGATTGCCTCGAGCAGGCCCCAGTAACGTCTCTTTCATCCTAGCCCTGAGATTATATTCAAGGCTCTTTAGGAGAATGAGACCCGTCATTGTTACTGGTATTTGGCATATTTGGTGCGCCACGGGGAGTTTGCCAGACTCTGCCCTGTGGGCAGGCTATATGCGATTGCCTGCAAGTTTGTCCAGAGTAGGAATGAGATAATAAGATATAAAAAGATGTCCTGATAAGATGTCAGCGTTAAAATGTGTATCACAAAAAGCGTACCAGGGCCCAGGGCCAGAGCTGGGCAGGAGGGTGCTGCCTTGTGCTGGAAACCATGGTTCGGGCCCAGAAGGCCCCTCGGAAAGCACCCTGCGTGCACGTGACAGCGCTCACCTGTCCCGTCCCCAGGGAGTGCCTGAGTCAGTTGGGGGCCTCCCAGACCAGCAGGCTCTCCTCCCGGAACCCCTCAAACGTCCCCAGCGCCAGCAGAGGGACACCCAGGCCCAGTCCAGCTGTCCTTTCCGAATGCGAATGAGTTCAGCTGGACGCCATGGAGCACCTTCTTTTGACACCCTGGGGTTGTAGCTTCTTGACTTCCCGCCGCAGTCAGGGTGAAGCCATCCGGGAGCAGCTGGAGAGATCTGCATGCTAGCGAGATTTATGTACAGTTCGTCTTCTTCGATTTTGTTCACTGTGGGGTTTGGGCCACACCCAGCCACGCTCAGGAGTCACTGCTGGGGATGCCGGGGCCGAACCGGGCCAGCCCTACCCACTGCCCCCTCCGGCCCCACTCAGCTCCCGCTTGCATTGGGCCACTGCGCTCCCTGCTCTCCTTCGGGCTCAGCGTCTGATGGCTCTAGTGTTTCCTTCCTTGAACCCGAGTCTGTCCCCGATGCGGGCTACTGCCCGAGCAGAAGCGCAGCCGTGGGTGACACTGGGCCCAACTGGCCTCCTGTCCCCACGCAGACTGATGGTCACACTCAGACCTGTGAGAGCTTTGGACGTGCAGGCCCGAGGCTCCTCGTACCTCTGCCTGACAGCAGTGTGTGGAGGTGACGCGTTGTCACTGAACGTAGCAGGGCTGTCGGGCCGGGCGGGAGAGTCAGGTATGTGGGGCCCCCCTCCCCACTGCACAGACCGAAAGGGCAGCAGTGTCGGAGGGGGATGTCACCTTGATGAGCAGCCCGTGCCTGGTGAGTTAGTGATTTAGTGTGCTCGCCTCCAGGTCAAACTTAGTGAAACTCCCTGGACACGGCACGGGGAAGCCACAGGGATGGGGACAAACTGGGGGGCTGTGTGCCCGGGTCTGCCAGAGCTGTGCCCTCGGCCCTAGTCCTGGCCACTCCCAGAGGGCCTGTCCGGGCACACATGAATGCGGTGCCTGGCCTAGCGGTGCTGGGAGGGGTGGGTGGGGGCATCTAAGCCGCTGACCGTGCTGGCTTTGGGTCATGCCACACAACCCCCTGGGGCTTGGCTCCTCCAGTGCCCGACACATTGAGACGCTGTTTAAAGCCGGTTGCCCAGGTGCCAGGACATGTCCTCCATCCCCTCAGGGACTCCGGGAACTGGCTCTGCAGAAGGGGCACAGCACGGGGACCCAAGTGGCTGCTGCCAGGACTGACCTCCAGGAAGACATGGGTCCCCATCACCAGCTGCGCATTCTGGACACCAGGAGGGTCCCAGACAAGGGCAGCCTCGCTTCCTGCTGGGACCAGCCCCTCTACTGAGGGTCTGAGGCCATGGGAAACCGCCCTCCAGCAGGAAGATTGTGCTCTGGTTCCTATGGGGGCCCCAGAAAATTCTACTGGCCACCCATGCGAGCCCCACCCTGACTGCCCCATGGCATGCAGCCCTGGCCAGGAGGTGAGGGCTGGGAGCAAGGAGGTGACTGACAGGGGGCTCCAGGGAGTGCTGGGGGAGGAGGGGGATGGGCTCTGGCGGATGCTGGGGGGTGAACTCTGGGCAGTGCTCCTCTGCCCTCCCCGTCTCCTCCAGCCTGTCTCCTCCATAGAAAGGAGAAGCCTCTCACGGTGAGCAGACATGGGCAGAACATGGGAACTTTTGGGGGTGGGGCACCAGTGTGCCCAGGGACCTTATGAGCGTCAGATTCTTCCCAATCACAGCGCCATCACCCCCAAGGGTCAGAAGGGGCTTCCGGGCCAGCCAGGCGCTCACTCCTGGTAGGGCTCCGGCCCACGTGCAATGCTTCGGCTCGGCCTGCAGCCACCTCTGCCCCCACCCTCGGGCCTCCAAAGGCCGGCTCGGGAGCCTTCCCTGCCTCATGCCTGAGGGCCAGAGCGCCCAGGGTCACCAGTCGCCTGGGGCCAACGACCCTGTCACTTTTCTAAGGTTTGGGTCTGGGAGTCCTGACAGTGCTCAGGGTGACACTATGCGGTGCTGGGATGGAACCCAGGGCCGCCTGTCGTAAGGCCTCCGCTCCCTCATAGCCGCATTTCTAAGGTGCCCAGACGCTGTGTCTTTATACTCTCCCCGTTTTCACGGGAACAAAGCGCTGCCTCCACCGTCCAAGAAGCAAATGCGCTCCTCTGCCTTCTGAGACGCTGGAGGAATCCCCCCACCGCCTCCCACTGCAGCTCCACGGCAGGTGAAGGAACAGGAAAACCGTCAGCCCTGTCCCAGGTGACAGGAGCCAACAGGAAGCCACTGATTGTTAGGCCAAGCAGGGCCCAAGTACTGAGCCCAGAGCACCATCTCCAGCATAGCACAGTAGCCGGAATCCCACAGCGAGTGACCCGGAGCACCGAACCAGGAGCAATGCCTCTATACAGATGAGTGTGGCCCCCAAACCCAAAATAACAAGCAGGATGGTGTGGGCGCATCTTACAGGACATTTATTTGTGCCACGAGGACAGGATTCCCTTCAGTCCACTGGCCGTCCACGGCCCCTCCGAACAGCATGCCGACATTCACAGCAGGGCTGCCGCTGGTCAGTGATGGCCATGGGCGGGCGCCGGACTCGAACCTTTTCAGAGGATTAACAACACATACGCAGCTGAGCACACGGGCACGTGCAGGCCGCCCCGTGCTGTGTCCGCTCTGACGAGAGCGGCTGCCCAGAGGGACACCCAAGGGTGCCCTGTCCCAGACCCAAGGGAAGCCGTGCCAGCCACGTCCGAACGCCTCGTGACGAACAGACAGGCACATAAGTGCGCCGGGAAAGGGGCAAGTCGCATGCTGACCCCGTTTTCACTCCCACCGTCCTAAGAAGTGACACTCTTACCTTTCAAAGCTTTACTTCTTTTATCTGAAATAAAACGGAAAAATCAGTCACACTGACGCTCGACAAAACGCCTTTAGACGATTCAGTGTCGAGATGGACGGCCGGGAGGAGCCGTGCCAGGCCGAGCGCGAGGGTCCCGCCAGCGCCCGCACACCCCAGTCCAGGCTCCTGCTAAAGTCTCGTCTTCCCGAGGCCCCGGCCTTCTGCTCGCAGGCGGGCGCACTCTGGCCCGGGGGTCGTCGCAGCCATCGACGTACGTGGCCGGGCTCCACCTCTGCTCCAGAGCCAGGCGGTCACCGGCCCGCTCGGAAACTCTCCGAACAGTGGAGAGGGTATACCATGGCCCACCCCAGCCCACACCGAGGCAAGGGCAGCTCCACCCTCGCCACACCTGTGCACCCAGCAAGAGGCCCCGCCCGAGGGTTCCACACGCTGCCCTGCTCCCCCGCTCAAGCAAAAGCCCCCCGGGGTTCTGAAGGTCACTCCCAGCTGACCACTGCAGCTCTTGACGATGTTTAACCCCCTCACCCACAGAACAAAACACGAGAGAACCACCAGTGGGGCCAGGGAGCAACGTCCAGCCCCTGCCCGGCACGCGGACCCCCAACTCACCTGCACTCCTGATCTTGTAGATGATGAAGCTCATGAGGCCCATGCCGACCCAGATCTCCTGGTAGACCTGCGTGTAGTAGGGCCTCATGGGCGTCCACACGTTCCTCATAAGGCTCTGAAGCATCTGGAAGGCACAGGGCGACAACCGTCAGTGACAGCGTTCCCACCCACAGGCGGGATGAGGGATCCGGCGGGCTCTAGACTCTGGAAGCAGTCCTGGCTATGCTTGGGGGACCAAACCGGGGTTGGCAGGACGGCACCCCACACGCTGTGCGATCACTCCAGCCCCAGCGATCCAACACTTCATCACTGACTTTGGGAAAAGCCGTAAAATCCCAAACTTGCACAGTTCGTGCCTACACGCTAATCTCCAAGTGATTGCTGGACCCCAAATTAGAGGCTCTGCCCTTCAGTGTGTTTAGATACTTAAAAACAGGAGGCGCTGCTCCCCTCCAGGGGCCTACCAGAGGCGAGGGAGCATGGGGCCAGACACTTTGTTCTGTTTTGTGGCCACTCCCCACGATGCTCAGGGCTGACTCCTGGCTCTGTGCTCAGGGGTCGCTCCCGACAGGGCTTGGGGAACCACGCGGGCTGCGGGAGCTGACCTCTCTCCAGCCCATTTCCACTCCAGCACGTCAGGAACCGCGAGGCGAGCGCAGGCCTAACTACCTTCCAACACACCCGGCATCGGTCAATGACGCTGCCCAGCCCCCGCCCGACCCCCTCACGGTGCCCAGCTCGTCCAGGGTCGGAATCCAATGACCGTCACGGTCTTGAGGCCACAGCAGGTGGCGCCGGGGCTCAGGGGACAACGTCCCGCATGCAATGTCTCCGGCCGCGGCCCGGCTCCGTGCCCAGGTGATGCTCAGGGTGCCCTGCCGCTACGCCGGTGCCACGCAGCCAATTGGCCAGGTGGCTTAGTGTCCGGCGCCGGCCTCACTGGCCCCCCACCCCAGGGCCGCACCTGCGGGTGCTCAGGATCAAACGTGGGGCCTCGCGCGTCAAGGCAGCGCTCCTGCCCTTGGACCAGCCCCTGACCCCGACCCCGACCGTGGGGGCCTGCCAGCAGCGGGCGGGCCGTGCACCGGTGCCGGTGCTGCGCCGTTTCTGGAGCCGGCGAAGGCGGCCAGAAGGCCCCGCGGCCCCGCAGGCCCGACCCCCGGGCTCAGCAAGGTCAGGCCGAGCCGGGCGCGGCCAGGCGGCTCCTCCGCGAAGCCCCGGCCCGGGAGCCCGACCGCCCCCTCTCCGCGCCGGCCCGCGGCGCCGGGGGCACGGACCCCGCACTCACCGCGGCGGCGGACCCTCGGCCCCTGCAGCCCCTGCAGCCCCTGCAGCTCCCGCAGCTCCCGCAGCCCCGCGCGCCCCGCCGACGGCCCGAAAGGTCACCGAGTGCGCAGGCGCCGCGCGCGGCACGCCGGGAAGGCGGAAGGACCGGCGCCAGGCCCCGCCCCCGGCCCCGCGCGCGCGCGCCACAGCGCCCCTGGCGGCCGGAGGTCCGGGAGCCGCGCCGCACCGGGAGGAGGCGGCCGGCCCGGGAGAGGGAGGGGCCGGTCTCGCGGATTTCTCAGCGGGGGGCGTTTCTTGCCGTTTCTCTTGGCGCTGCTTCGTGCTCGGCCGTGCAGACTTCTGTGCCTGTTCTGTGCTCTGCCCCGTAGTCAGATAAAGACCGCAGGGACTGTCCCAGCGGACCGTACCTAGGCTCTAAAGGCGAGCAGGCCTGGGCCGGGCAGCTGTGCCAAGGGGCTGGCCCTGTGCCGTTATGCCAGCAGCCCAGGCACCACCCTGCCGCGTTCCCCACGAGACACACAGCCGGCTGGGCGCCGTTGGCTGGGTCTCCCCAGGCTCCCGGAAAGTAAAATAAGCGTATCAAGGTAGAGTTTGTGCCAGGCCCGTAGGAGGCCTTCCAGGCAATCCCTAGCGGTAGAACGTCACCAAAACCGAAACATGCTTGTAAGGAAATAAAAAGATCAGACTGCAAAGTCTGGGGAAGTAGAGGGAGTAAGGCTGATGCCTTGCCTGCAGCTGACCCCAACCCCGACACATGCAGTTCCCCTCAGGCAGTGTCTGAGCACCAACACCCCTCCTCGGAAAAGACGAAAAAATTGGCTAGAGAGTAGGAAACTGAAAACTGACAGAGAACTAATTTGAAAAAGAGCCAAATTGAGGGCAGGTCAGGTGGGGTGGGAGACAGACAGTACCTGGGCTTCCCTCCCCTGCTTTGATTCCTGCACTACAAGCACCACTGCTGGAACCTAATTGGTCCTCATGTCCCCAGCACCTCCAGAACCAGCACTGAACCCTGGGCCCAGCTGGCTGAGAATCACCGGAAGTGGCCCTTGGGCCCCTCACTTCCACTTCGGAGCCTCCCCCCACCCCCAGAAAAGAAGAAAAGATCCAAGTCAACGTTAGCTGCTTCTGCAGCACGTCAGACAGCAGAAGAAGCACTAAGTGGGATGGGTTCCCACAGCCCAGGGAAAACAGCACGTGTGGAAGAAAGCTTCGGAAGAACGAGGCAGCGGGACAGAAGTAGCTGAGGTAATGGCAGCCAGAACGTTCTGAAAGTGATGCAGAATCACTCAGCCAGAGAAGTGAAAAGAACTACACCTGGAAACCTCACGTTGAAACAGAGAAGACAAAGTGATGGCTCGTAACTGCCACTCCGATCCGAGGCCCAGAGCTAAAGCTGTTAGCCCTAGTAGAAAGAAGGGGACGTGTCATTCTGGGGGAAGGGAACGAAGGAAATAAGCACAGGCTGGCTTATTTGGGGGCTGGCGTGAGCCCTGCGAGGGGGGAGCAGGAGGAACAGTGTGCAGGGAAGCCAGGAGCCCACGGGACAGGCCACGGCACGGTGGCGGCTCTGCACAGGTGGCTTTGGGGTTTCCAAGGCCTGAGAAGCCAAAGCATTCTTACAATCCCGTTCAGATGCTGTTCACTAGCACTGTCGCTGAGAAGGTGGGATTTCCCATGACAGCACAAGGGGAACAGCGAGGACCCAGGAAGGCCGCTCAGAGATCCATGCACGGTGAGATATGTTTCTGGTAAATAGAGGGACTCCATGAAAACATCCCTCTAACCAGGGCCATGTATGTTCCCTGTCTTTAAGGGAGTCCCGTGGTAGGCGATATTTCAAATCAAGGCTTTAGAGTCGAAAGTTTAGAAATTCTAGCTCACCTTGAAACCTTGAGCAGAATTTGAATGTGCTTAGTTATGACTCCAAACCAATGTAAAAGACATCACCAAGCAAATCCCTTAATGACAGGGCCAGCCTTCCTAGCACAGGCCTCCAAAGCCTGTGAGGAACTTGTAAATGATCTGATCTTTGAGCTCAGACTTTGGACAGAAAGGCAAGGCAACTGAATTCTGCCGAGGAAGGAGCAGCCAGGCCTGAGATCAAATGAAGGGGCCTGAAAACCAATCAGTCAACAGGGATAAAGGCTGTGTCTGGTTGAGGGGGAAGAGACAGGAAAGAGAGAAGGCTTCAGCGGGAGTGTCCTGAGCCACAGGATCAAAGGGGACAGTCACCTCAAATGAGAACAGCGCTGGGCTGTCTGTGAAAGGAGCCTTTGGGGGTGAGGACTTAACTGTTCGCTGTGTCACCAACAAAGGCCTCCTGTGGCAGCGAGGGGCCAGTCATTTCCTTTGGGGAACCGGAGAACACATGCTGGCCTTCGGGACCGGATGAAGGCACCATTTCCCGGCCTGTGCTCAAGGACACAGCTGAAATGACTTTAGGATGACTTTTTTCCCCCTTCACTTTCTGCAAAACAATATCCACTATCAAAAACTTGTGTGTGCTGTGTGGGGGCACCTTTCCAAGGCTGCCTGTTTGGAAAAGTGGGACTGTGAGGCCTAGAGCTGGCGCTTGTGCCTGGCCCAGGTTTGGTGCAGGGACTGGGCTGGTCTCGCTGAGAAACGGAGGAGCCTGCACGCTGACCTCTCCGGAGCTGCCCAGCAGGCCTTGCTGTGGATACTCCCAAGTGGTGCTGTCTGATGGCTTCATGCTCAGCCAAAGGATGGGGCACTGCGGCATGGGACCACCCCACAATGATTCCCGAGGAGCCCTGCAGTGCCACGAATCAGGACAGGGTCCCACACTGCCAGGCAATGCTCTACCCTTGAAGGTCTCTGACCCCTGCCCAGGTTGCTCTCCCGGCGAGCTCCAAGTGGCCGGTTCCTGAGCCGGGCAGCGGGCAATCCCCGCCTCCTCTCCCAAGCACCCCTCTGGGGTTCTGTCCTTCCTCCTCACCCTCCACCGGTTTTCAATTTTCTTCCCACCTTGGCCCCCTTCTACCCTAATTTCCTCGCTGGAGCCCTTAGTCTTGGGCGTGGCTCCCTGGGACTCTCCTGGGGGCCCAACTGTGTGACAAGCAACCATTCCTTATCGCCTGCCTGGCTCTCTGTGCTGCTCGGGTTGGTCTGGGCCTTGGTGCCACTTGCAGCTCAGGCCTGGGGGCTGCCTGCTCCGCCTTCAGCCACGAGCCTCCTTGCTGGCTGTTCCTGGTGTCCACTTGAATGCCATTTCCCCTGAGATTTCCCTGTTCACCTTGCTTCACTGCTCCAAAATATGCAGGGGTCCCCGTTTAGCAGTTAAGCAGTTAAGGGCTCACAGGAGTCCCCTCACCCTGGTGGCTGCGTGCACAGGTATAGGGATGGGCCTGCACAGACCAGGAAGCAGCAGGCGGTCCATCAGGCCCAAGAACGGGAGGTGGAGAGTGACCCGGGTCATGCTCTTGCTCTGGGTTCCAGGACCTTAAAGGGCCCTGCTCGGCAGAGAGGCAGTCAGGGCTTCAGGTCCGGCCTCTCCCCAGGAGGACCCACCCGGGGGTGATGCTCCATCTGGCCCTGCGCTCTGCTCTGCCCCGTGAGACACAAGGCTGGACCGCTCGGCTTGCTCTGATTGGAGGGTCGGGTGGGGTGGGGCCTAGGGCACGAGGCACGGATGGCTGAGAAGGCAACTCATTCTGATTGGCTGGTGAGGCGGGGCAGGAGGCTGGGCTGCGAAGCTTGTTCGGATTGGAGGGTGGGGGGGGGGGGTCAGGGCCCAAGTCACGAGGCAAGGCACAGGTGGCTAGGCATGTTCTGATTGGAGGGTGGGATGGGGCGGGTCCTAAGGCACGGAGGCGAGACGCAAGTGGCTGGGCTGCCAGGCTTGTTCTTATTGGAGGGTGGGATGGGCGGGGCCTAAGGCACGAGGCAAGGCTCAGGTGGCTGGGCTGATTGGAGGCTGATTGGTGGCTTGTTCTGATTGGAGGGTGGGATGGGCGGGGCCTAAGGCACTGAGGCAAGACGCAAGTGGCTGGGCTGCCAGGCTTGTTCTTATTGGAGGGTGGGATGGGCGGGGCCTAAGGCACGAGGCAAGGCACAGGTGCTAGGTTTGTTCTGATTGGAGGGTGGCGTGGGGCGGGGCCTAAGGCACGTGGCAAGGCACAGGTGCTAGGCTCGTTCTGATTGGAGGGTTGGCGCCCTTGGGCCTCACGAGGCAAGGCACGGGTGGCGGGGCGGGTTCTGATTGGAGGGCAGGGTGGCGCGCTCGGGCACGAGGCCAGGCACGAGCGAGTGGCTGGGCAGGCGGCCGGTTCTGATTGGCCCGCTGTGGCGTGGCGGGGGCGGGCGGCGCACCTGGGCGTCCCGCCGGGCCTGGCCGTCGCCTGTTGGGCGCCTCTGACAGGCGGTTGAGGCGGTGCTGAGGCGGTGGTGCCGACATGCTGCGGAAACTCACCCTCGACCAGATCAACGACTGGTTCACCATCGGCAAGACCGTGACGGACGTGGAGCTGTTGGGCGCCCCGCCCGCCTTCCCGGCCGAGGCGGCCCGCGATGAGGCCCAGCGGAGGGACGTGGCCTCGGCGGCGCCTGTCCCCGTCCCCGCCCTCGCCCCGGGCCCGGCCCCGCCCGCGCTGCTGGTGGGCAGGTAAGGGGGCCTGGGCGGGCCCTGGCCGCGCTCGGGGTGCCGGAGCCGGGCTTCTCCCCGCCGGACGTGGGTGGCTCTGGGGTCGGGTGCGGGTGTGGCGCTTGCCCCCTCGGCCCGGCAGTTCAGTTCCTGGCGTCGCTGCCTTCGCCACCCCCGTCTTCGTGAGTGAGGGCGTTACGTGGGCTGTGGCCTTGGACACGTGCAGTGTCGTGTCACGACTCCACAGTGGCTTCACGGCTTAAAAAGCTGCTCTGGGGGCTGGAGCGAGAGCACAGCGGGGGGGGGGGCATTTCCCTTGCACGCGGCCGATCCGGGTTCGAGCCCCAGCAGCCCGTATGGTTCCCTGAGCGCCGCCAGGAGTGATTCCTGTGCATCGCCGGGTGTGCCCCCCCCCCGCCCCCGAAAATACTTGTGGGTTCCTACGTAAAATTTCCAGTTTGAGTGTCTGTACGTTGTAGCCCACAAACAAGGCTGCCATTTACCTCTCTGAGAAGTACTTCCTCGGATAGTTTCTTCTCAGGCCCGTAGCAAACTCTGGGCTGATGCCAGCATAGTGTTGCAGGTGCTCAAATATACCAGATCACCGAATTACTGAAGCAAACTTCTGAAGCTGGTGGCTGCGCGCAAGGCAAGTTCCCTCCTGGCTGTTCTATTGCCCTGACCCCACATTTATGATTTTAAATGGCCGTTCCAGTTTAAATTTGTTGTGAGCATTGGTTTGTTTTTGTTTGGGGGCCACACCCAGTGGTGCTCAGGGATTATTCCTGGCTCTGCACTCTGGAATTACTCCTGGTGGTTCCCTGGAGAGACCATATGAAGTGCTGGGAATTGAACCTGGGTTGACCTCTCGAGGCAAGCGCCGAACCCATTGTACTATCTGGCCCAGCACTTATTATTTTACTTTATCCGTGCAAAATCAGTGTGTCTTTTAACGATACACTATGAAGACCTTTTATTTTCCCCTTAGCATTAGTTGAGATTAAAATGCGGAGAGAGAGACTCAATATGGGGTAAGTGCTGTGGTGTTTCCAGCTGCACCGGAAGCTCCCTCCCTCCCTGCTGGTCTTCGGTCCTCCCAGGATATCTCTAACCACCCAGAGATATCACAGGCTGTAGGGGGCCTTATTATTTCAGGGCCATGTTGTAAAGACGAGGGTCCACAGAAATAATTTTATTCTGCATAATCCTTCCTTTCAGAGTCAAAGTTAATGTCTTAAGTTTCACACAGGGTTTGTCAAATTTCATACGAAGTAAAATGCCTTAGTTCCTGTGAGGTGTAGTTGAGGTATTAGAAAACACTCCATTTCTCCCCTTCCCCCCAAAAAAAAATATTTAGGAAATATTTAATTAAAAGCACACAGTTCAATGAAAACGTATCTTTAGAGTGACTTGAAAAGGAACACTTAAATAGAAATTTAAGTCTACAGGAATTTAAACCTCTAACCTTGCAACAGAGAGAAATCATTACTTTTTCTTATTCTTAAATAATTCTGATATTATGATGGTCATAAAAAATTTGGTTATAAGTAACTTAACTGGAAGGGTAATAATATGGTAGGTTCCATATTCTCTGTGAGAATGTTGGGAAACTGTTCTTGTTGTTTTTGTCCACATAACTGGAAATTGTGGGTATTTCCTCTTGACGCAAACGTGTGGAGTGTTGTCCAGGGCCAGTGCCCTGTAGAGTGGGGTGGCCTCTGAGCTTTGCCTCTCCTAGGTCCCCTTGCTGAGTGCCGTTGTCAGTGCTGCTCAGGAAGTCTTTCAGAACTTGCTTGAAGATGTAGACGATCTCCCAGGGTAGCACATCATTTTCTGCCAGAACTTCGCGAAATCTGGAGAGAAGGCAGTGATGAGTGTTTAGGACATGGCTTTGTTATGGTTTTTATCTCACAAGAGAGCTGAGATCATGGAAGCAGAGCAGTTACCGACTACGGCATCGTCTGCACAGAACTTTATTCTTAAAGTCCTTTTTAGGGAAGACATTGTGAACGAGAGGGCACTACTTCCTAACTGGGAGGGAAGCCATGGATACTTGAGTGCAGCCCATCCTTGCAGGTGCTGCCTATGTCATAACACACAACGCTGGAATTTACCTAATATAATATACTTTCCAGTCTAAATGTAAGCAGAACATAGACTTGACAGTAACACATATCACAGAAGAGAACGTAAGTTTTTTACCTGCTGAGAATAGTGCCTGTTTGGCAAGGTTGGACTTGGGAGCAAAGAACTTCGAGTTGTCTTTGTTCAGTAGCGGGAATAGTCGTGTGTGGATTCTGGTAGTTCCTCAGCCAGTTGTAATCGACACCTGTTTTTTTAACTTTTTGTTCATTTTCGATTTCTTGTATTAGTCTCTCTCGTTCCTTCAGATGCCACTTCAGTTCCCGAAGCAGAGTTCTCGTCACCATATCTGAGCTAGGGCAGTGTGTGGATTTGCAGGTGTCATACTTTGGCCATTTGATCCAGTTAAAAAGTGGCATTTTTAGCCTGTGGAAATATTTATTTATTTGCACTAAATGTTACGGTTCTGATGAATAAACATTTCTTTCTTTACAGTTTACCCAAACAGTGTATGGCGTTTTCACTGGCTAGATATGGAGGTCAAAGTAAGATTCAGGAAGTGGATTAAAGTCTTGTAATGTCTAACTAGGTCAGTGCCAAAATCAGGCTTTGAAAATAGTTTTATGTAGTGGGGTGGAAATTAAAGATTACAAGGTCAGAGAACCTAAAAAACAGAACACCTTCTGAAAGTAACACCTGCTATTAAAAGTCCTAAATTTTTACGGTACAGGGAGGTGCTATCTACAAACTTTTGACTTAGGATTTTTACAGAAAAGATTTAAAGCGTACCTGTTAAATTGCTGGATCTGATGCACTGACGTCGTCAGAGTTCACCTGAACTGGTGATGAAGCCGTGTCACTCAGGTGTACCTTGTTCTCCTGGGTGAGTCCCTTGTTGAGGCAATGAGCCTCCTTATTCAGCTGCTGAAGTGGTGTCTGAAGTAAATAACTTCTATGTTGGGAACGAGGTTGTGAAGTCTTCATTTGGAGAGAATCCTCATTAAGTCACTTTTGAAGCAAGCTAGGAGAAATGGTGAAAAATAACTTCTAATCTCCAGAAATTATATAAGGTCTGCCTTTCGAGTGGAGCTCAGCTTCTTTGAAAAGATGCTGTCGGCTACAGAGTCCAGTCCCCAGGGCCTGCAGGCGGCTCCTCTCGACGGAGCGAGGACTGGGAGCTACGATCAGTGCAGACGCGCTCCTAGCAGGAGTGAGGGCTGGCGCATGATGTGCTGGGCTGTGCAGAGCTGTGGGTCACAGTTTAGTGTGGTATTTTTATGCCTGTAGAGGTCTAAAAATAACCATGTTGCTTTTATTCTTCAGCTTAACTTTCAGGCCATTTAGAAGCCAGGTCACTGCCCTCCTCCTCACCCACCCCAATATAAGCAGGAAAAATAGATTAGACTTGACTCTTCACAAAACACGCATTCTGAGAAAGCACATTGTGATTGGGCAGACAGGCCAGGAGTCTATTGCTCCTGGCCAAGTGTGAGAGAATTAGCAAATGTTATGTTCTGTGCTTACTTTGTTTGGCGTTCTAAAATTTTTGTCTAAACAGTGCGAGAGAACATAATATCTTAAGCACATAGATAATTTTAAAACATATTTTGTAATCTCAAATCATAGCGCAACAATAAGTTAAGGTCAGGGAAAAATAGATCCATAAAGATAAAGAAAGTTCAAGACAATCTTAGTTCTCTAGGAAACCATTTCCGTGTTTTCTTTGGGGGCTGAAGTGGAAGTGTCTGGTGCTGGCCAGCGTTGCTGTGTTGTGATGGTCCTGCACACTGGAGTCTGGACTCCTGTTCTTCCGGCGCTGGTCCTTTCAGCTTCGTGTAATCAGGGTTTCTCAAGCAGGTGGGGGAGGGCCCAGGATAGCCCTAAACAGGGCAGGTGATAACTGTGTAAGGGTGGGCCATGGGAGTAGGGGACAAAGTGGTTAGGGCCTGGGACCCCAGGAAGGCAGGGGCTGTGGTTGAGAGAGGCTGAGGAGCACTGTCAAATGGCTCTGTGGTGGTTTTCCCTTTTGTTGGCATTCTTTCTGCTGCTGCTCTCTTTCAGATGGACCATGAAGAATAGGGGCCGTTGCTCTGGGCCCTGCATGTCAGGCACAATGAAGGTGGACATGTGTGCGTGTCCTCTTGCTCCTGGCGCTTCTGTGTCAGAGAACACCAGATGTCAGGACACATTAGTTTCCACCAGCAGGTTTTCACATTACATTGTGTACAGTTCTGTAAGCAGGAAAGGACATTGTTCATTAGTATAGAATGAGCTTTTCTAGTGCTTAGGAGAATTCTCCTGTTTCTTCCTTTGAATAATCCAGTTATTTTAATTTTTAATTTTTTTGTCTCTGAAATGATACAAAATATCAAACATCCTGGAGATGACCTCTGAGGACATCTCTGCTGAAGGCCCCTGGCTGCCTCTTCCTGCAGCATCCTTCTGGCCTGGTGTCAGCCGCAGCTTCCTCCCACGCTCGCCATCTCCCCTGGGCCCTTACATCAGTCAAATCAAATCTCTGGTGATCCGCTTGTTGTTGCCGCGCTGAGACCACCTGAGGTCACTGACCGACCGGATTGTGTCTATTTCCTCTTTTTCTCCTGACCACAGTGTGAGTTTCTTCTTCAGGACTTATGGACCTGCTTAGACGTCAGCGCGTTTTTTTCTTCTGTCTGAGGGAAAACAAGTTTTCCCCATGGTTTCCTTGAGTTGTTTGATTCTCTTAATGATGAACCCAGCTCGGGCTGTGTTCTCATATTCCCCTTTCTGATTGATTGGGCTGTCTCCCGCCATCAGGCTTGAGAGGGATGGCAGCCTTGTCTCTGCCCACCTGCAGCTCCTTTCCCGGGAAGCCGATACAGCACCATTAGGAAGTGGCTTGCTCTGGGATGTCGTCAGAGTGGAGCCCCTTCTTCCAGATTACAAAACCCAGGAAGAAATTTCTGGGCAGGCAGGGAACATCCCAGCAAAGATCGAAGAAGGGATGTGAGAGGCTTGGAGGCCATCCCTTTGCTTGCCACCCCCTGCTGGCCGCTGTTGAGATCATTGCTCAGCGGGCCCTGCCCAGGTCTCTCCAGCTCAGCTCACATCCAGCTGTGCTCACGGTAGGGGCTTGCACGCACACTTGCATGCATACTGGATGCGGCACCAAGACGAAAAGGGTATCACTTGGATCACTGTCCTGGCTTCATGTTAGGCACTGTGACAAGTCCCGTGCCCCTTACTGCATAGTTTTTTTAGTACTTGGATTATTGCAGATTTTAATTTCTCTCATCTTCTGAGATTGTTTGATTGAAACAGCTGGAGTATCAGTCTCTAATTATCATTGTTTCCCATTATGTAGAGGGCATAAATATTTATAGATCAAGGTTAGGGCGTGCCTTTTCCTGACATCTTCCTGCTTATCAGAGTATAGCTAGATTCATGGGATTTTATTTAGAAAACATTTCCATAAGTTGACAAAGTGAATTGTTTCTAGGATGTGTTGTAAGGACTAAATCCAGGATTATTAAATATGAAATAAGCTTCTGAGTCATCGCCATAGTTTTCTGTGCAATATTCTGTTAGCTGAAAAACATAAAATGTTATGCATCTCCAGTCTTATAATAAGTGAAAATTTAGGGGTGGGGAGGATGGCTCAAAGGGACGGAACATATAATTTGCTTGTGGGAGCTCCTTAGCACTGAGCTGATAGTTGCCCTTGAGCACTGTTCGGTGGGTGTGATTCAAAACCCAGAAGGAAATGAAAATAAGCAAGACCCATCCCCCCAACAAAAGCCAAAATATATATATTTATTTTAAAAACCTCTAATGTTTAAAAGAGATGAAATAAATTTGATTACAGAAAAGAAGTTAAATAGCATATTCCTAATAGGTGTACATGTCTGTCTGCAGTGTTAAAGATGGTAATGAAGTATCTAAGGAGCTAGATTTGGAAGACAGGATTCTGACACCTTGAGACGTCCAGCTGGGTGCCTTTGTACTAATCATTTAGGACTTTTCTTCCAGTGCTTGAGAACTAGAGGTTTGCAATGCAAGGAGTCTAATGCCATTTTATTTTGATTCCCCTGCTACTGGGCTGGAGCGATAGGGCGTGATAGGGCGTTTGCCTTGCACGCGGCCAACTCTGCCGACCCGGGTTCAATTCATTCACCCCTCTTGGAGAGCCTGGCAAGCTACCGAGAGTATCTCGCCCGCACGGCAAAGCCTGGCAAACTCACCGTGACGGTATTCGATATGCCAAACACAGTAACAATTGTCACAATGGAGACGTTACTGGGCCCGCTCGAGCAAATCGATAAACAATGGGAGGACAGTGCTATAGTGCCCCTGCTACTGATGTAGAAGTTCTAGATAATTATTGTAATTATTATTGAATAGGCTATTCAAGATAAATTGGAGGAGAAACTGAAAATTATTTTATCATTTCATTTAAAAATTTATTAAAACAGACCATTACATGTAAGTTACAAATCATATAGTTCCTCAGCTGTGCTTGTTAATATACTCCTTTTTGTTATATATATGCTATGAAAGTGTTCTTAACCTCCACCACTATTCTTGCCCTTTAAGCTTTATTGAGACATGCTGGTAAGTTTTAAATGGTAGTTAAGTTTATTGATATTTTTCTATATGTATTTAAGAAGGCCTCTGTAGGGGTTGGGGAGAGAGTACCAGGTTAAGGTGCTTATCTTGCATGTGGCCAACTTGATTTTATCCCCAACACCACATATGGTACCCCCAGCACCGCCAACGTTCACTCCTGATCACTGAGCCAGAAATGCCCCTGAAGACCACAGTGTGTGGCCTTAATACTCCCTCCCTTATCCCCCACTAGAGGCCTCTACTTTAAAGCTACAAATAACAGAAGAGTAACTTTATAAGCTTAAAAATAACTAAGGATTTTGTTGATTTGAAACTGATTAGAGGCTGGTGTGAGGTCTCAGTTTCAACTTTTTGCCTCTAAGCTGGCCAGCCAGTATCGGGAGTAAGCAGCCCTCGAGGAATTCCTCCCTGCAGGTGCCGGGAGCTTGTGGTGTTCCTAACATTTTTAATAGGATATCGCTGGAGCGATAGCACAGCGGGTAGGGCGTTCGCCTTACAAGCGGCCAACATGGCCGACCCGAGTTCGATTCCTCCGCCCCTCTCGGAGAGCCCGGCAAGCTACCGAGAGTATTCGATATGCCAGACACAGTAACAACAAAGTCTCCAATGGAGACGTTACTGGGCCCGCTCGAGCAAATCGACGATCAACGGGAGGGCCTTTACCTTGCTGGAGCGATAGCACAGCGGGTAGGGCGTCTGCCTTGCATGCGGCCAACATGGCCGACCCGAGTTCGATTCCTCCGCCCCTCTCGGAGAGCCCGGCAAGCTACTGAGAGTATTCGATATGCCAGACACAGTAACAACAAAGTCTCCAATGGAGACGTTACTGGGCCCGCTCGAGCAAATCGACGATCAACGGGAGGGCCTTTACTTTACTTTTACTTATAGGACTCATCTTATTATTCTTACCTTGGACAAACTGGCAGGCTACCGAATGTAACCTGCCCACACGGCAGAGTCTGGCAAACTCCCCGTGGCGTACCCAATATGCCAAATACCAGTAACAGTGATGGATCTCATTCTCCAAATCCTGAAAGAGCCTTGAATATGACACTTTTTAAAAATCTCAGGGCTAGGACGAAGGAGACGTTACTGGGGCCTGCTCGAGGCAATCGACGAACAACAGGATGGTCATGATCATCGTGATTATAGGACTCTGAGCCTTTCTCAGAGGCCCCTCTGGGAATGCGATCACTGACTAGTGGTATTGCATCTAAGGGCGGTGGAGCTGTGCTGTGCCTTAAGGGGCCTTTGCAGAGCGGGCTGTCTAGAGGGGAATCTGTGTGCACAGTGCCACCCTGAGGCCGTCCTAGAGTTCAGCTCTCAGTGTGGGCAGCTGTCTGGGCTCAGCCTTGCGGGCACAGCCAGAGTTTTGCAGCCACACAGGTGCATTTCCACCCTGGGAGCCCTAGTCTGGTCCTCTTCTCAGAGGCTGGGGCTTCATTACACTGTCCCAGATGGTGCTTGTATTTGCTTACTGGTTCATAAGTGCCTGCTAAGGCAGTATCTCCTCTTGTCGCTGCCCCCACCCCACCCGCTTTTCCCTGGCCTCCTCTTGTCTGTGAGGAGGATGTAACGTACTGCATCATGCCTAAGGAATTAATGTCTTATGTTTGTACCTGCCCTTATACTATAAGTATTTTCCTTGTTTTGTTTTTTTTTTTTACCAATCGAAGGAGGGAAAATAGCTCACTGTTTTAGTTTTGGATTTACACTGTCACTCCGGAACTAAAGTACCTTTTGTGTATTTGCTGACTATAGGCATTTTTAATTTTATTTTTATGAAGTTGTTCACAGTATTTGATTACATTTAATGTTCCAACACCAATCCCACCACCATTACACCTTCCCACTACCATATTTTGAATGTTTTCATCTTGAACCCCAAACCCTGCCCCCAAAGCAGAACCGAAATAATTTATTTTGTATTTTCCCACTAAGAATGAGGAAAGTATCTGAAGATTGTTGTATTTCACCTAGGAATCATTAAGCCGTATGTATAAGAGATTAGTAACATCTTGTTAAAGGTTGAGCCTTGTGTGCTTATGTGTGTATGTGTCTGTGTGTGTATATATATATATACACACACATATATATCTGTATAAGTGTATTTACCCCTAAGATTGGTTGCCTTCTACTTTAAATCCCATAAAATGTGGTATAGAGATTTTTTTAAAGAAGCCAATTTATTTAATTTTTTTGGGGGGGTCACACCCGGCAATGCTCAGGGGTTACTCCTGGCTTTTCACTCAGGAATCATTCTTGGCAGTGCTCAGGGGACCATATGGGATGCTGAGAATCGAACCCGGGTCGGACGCATGCAAGGCAAATGCCCTACCCGCTGTACTATTGCTCCAGCCCCCCACTCGTGTCTTCTAATGCAAAAGAATGCTTAGATTTCCTTCATGTGTGTGGGTTTTTTGTTTTTTCTCTTTTTGGTCACACCCAGCGATGCTCAGGGGTTACTCCTGGCTTTGCACTCATGAATTACTCCTGGTGGTGCTTGGGGGACCATATGGGATGCTGGGGATCGAACCCGGGTCGGCCGCGTGCAAGGCAAACGCCTTACCCACTGTGCTATCGCTCTGGCCCCGGTATAGAGATTTTTTAATCTTAGAACTTTTCAATGTAAAGAGTAATTATTCAAGAGTTATTTCAGAACATAGCAAGTTATTTTTCTTCCTATTTAAAAGAGTAAACTTTTAATACCTTTTTGCAGACCACTTGGTCAGAAGAGCTCAGAAGTGGAGTATATTAACAAGTACAGACAGCTGGAAGCACAGGAGTTTAATCGATATGGCATGAAGAACTCACCCAGGACACCAGGTAAATGTTCTGTGTGAGAAGTTCCACTGAAAACTGTGAATTCCTGAAGATCTTTCGGGACATTTAGTATTTGGGCCAATAAAGAAATCATACAGATTGTTAATTTGCCCTTGGGGAGTGAGTACATGAGATGTTATGAATCATTTTTTTTTTTTACTTTTTTCAAACAACATTCCAGAATAATCTCTCTATGGGCTCTTAATTAGTACTGCTTAAAATTTTTATGGAAAAATCTAACTTCAACATCAAAATCATTTTGTGGGGTGGGGATTCATACCCTGCAGTGTTCAAAGCTTATTCCTGGGTCTGCTCTCAGGGAGCAGTCCTCGTGGGGATTGGGGGCCATATGGGGTGCTGGGGATCAAATCCGGGTTGACAGTGTGCAAGGCAAGCACCCTATCCGTTATACTATCTCTCCAGCCTTCAAAATCAGGCTTTAATGTTACATGTAAAGAAGGAAAAAGGTCCTTCTTCCCTCTCCTACCCAAGGTGCACTGTTCCTACTATAGAGTCACTTTCTGTGAGACTGTAGCTGTTGTGTTCCGGTTGATCGGTGTAAAATTCTAGCCCAACGCTGGAAGTTGGCTCATGGTTTTTCCTTTGTGAAAGGCCAGACACAAGCTTCCAGGTCAGACTGAGGATTCTCTTCTGCCCTCCTGCCTTGTGTTGGGATGTAGCTCATGGATAGAAGCTAGGTCTAGCTGAATATATCCCTTTGTTGTTTTTCAGACTTTTAAACTATAAAGAATTACAGTTTAAACTACAGGATATTGAACCTCCTCCTCCGTTTCTTGGGGTCTCGTGGACTTTCAGATTGGTATCATTTCTGGAAAACTGTAGGCCATTAGCTATGCTGTTATTTTGTGTTTTTATTTGTTTTGGTCACTACTATATTCAGGTTCATTTCTTTCTTTATAGTTCACCTTAAGGCCAAAGCTGCTTTGAGTTCATTGCCTTTCTCTTTCTCTTTGTTCTTGCTTTGTTTCAGAGTTGGGCCTGGCTTCTTCACATTGCCTCAAAATCCTTTAGTTCTCTTAAGATGATGTTTGTGTGTTTCATCTTACAGTTTTAGATTTTCAGTTATTCTTAGGATCTATAGGGCTGGAGTGATAGCATAGCGGGTAGGGCGTCTGCCTTGCACGCAGCCAACATGGCCGACCCGAGTTCGATTCCTCCTCCCCTCTCGGAGAGCCCGGCAAGCTACCGAGAGTATTCGATATGCCAGACACAGTAACAACAAAGTCTCCAATGGAGACGTTACTGGGCCCGCTCGAGCAAATCGACGATCAACGGGAGGGCCTTTACCTTTACCTTTATCTTTACCTTAGGATCTATTTGACTAAATACCCCTGGTAATTATTTTATTTTATTTTTTGCTTTTTGGGTGACACCCGGCGAGGCTCAGGGGTTACTCCTGGCTCTGCACTCAGGAATCACTCCTGACGTGCTCGGGGAACCATATGGGATGCTGGGAATCGAACCCGGGTCTGCCGCATGCAAGGCAAACACCCTACCCACTGTGCTATCACTTCAGCCCCACCCCTGCTAATTCTATTACCAGATGTGATAGGTCAAAATACATAAGTCTTTTGATCCAGTTTTCACTGTAGCCCTGTCCTCCCATTGTTTATCGATTTGCTGGAGCTGGCCCAGTAGGAGCGATAGCACAGCTATAGGGCATTTGCCTTGCATGCGGCCAACTTGGCCAACCTGAGTTTGATTCCGCCTTCCCTCTCGGAGAGCCCAGCAAGCTGCCGAGAGTATTTCACCTGCACGGCAAAAGCCTGGCAAGCTACCTGTGACATATTGAATATGCCAAACACAGTAACAACAAGTCTCACAATGGAGACGTTACTGGGCCCGCTCGACCAGTTTTTACTATGCTGAGAAAATGCCAGACTCACAGTGTGTATGAGTGTTCATTGAATCATTGTATCTCTGTAGGAAACCTTAGAATTAGCAATATAGCAGGTCCCAAATCATATTTCATTATAATATTGATGAGAAAAAAAAATCAGTCCACTCTTTTTGTTGGGTTCTGTATGGAGACAGCATGTTCTCTCATCTTTATGGGTTCTCTCAGGATCCTGGTTTCCTCCAGGTCTCCCTGGTATGTCTTGAAGGACCCAGCTGAAATCTAGTTTGTGTGCTGTGCCTCTCTGGCAGAAGGCAGTCTGTCTAGGGGCCATTCTCTCTTCTACTGTGAACTGTTGATACAGAGAGCTTGAACTGAAATCGGCGGGTTGGAGAAAGAACAAATACAAATGTTTGTTTCTGGGCCTGCAGCAATAGTCCAGTGGGTAGGATGCTTGCCTTGTATGCGACTGACTCAGGTTCAATCCCCAGTATTCCATAGGGTCTCCTGAGCCCTCCAGGAGAGATTTGTGAGAGCAGAGCTAGGAGTAAGCCGTGAGCACCATTGGTGCCCCCCACCCTCCAAACGAAAACCAAATGTTTGTTTCATATTGGAAGTGCCCAGGACATTTCATCAGAAGTTTAGTAATATTTCTGGGATCTGCAGTCAGCTAGTAGAGGAGCTTAACTCTCCTTTGGATTGACTGGGCTGTGATGAAATGGGTTTTGTTCTAGTCGTTTCTCTTATACTCTAAGAACCTGTGCTAAGTGGCTTCAGGGCTGTACGGTATAGCTGTGTTAGCTCTTGTCAGAAGGCTGTCTGTCTTCCGCTTGTGTGGTGCAGATCAGCGGAGCAGGGCCTTCCTGTTACTCCCACGGAGCCTGAGTCTGTGCTACCCTCTCAGAGTGGCCTGCCAAGAAGTAGCAAATGTGTATGCTTGAAACTCTAGAATGGAATTTGTGTTGGAAACTGCGCTTGCTTTTTCTTTCTTCATGATACCTTAATCAGGTTGGAGCTTTATGAGGCAGTAACAGAAACCACTGCTTTTGTAGCACTCAAACAGAATTCTTTTAAGATCAGCATTGATCAGTGTGTGCCAGGGACTGTGGGAGGCACCTAGAATGTGTCTTGTCTGTGCAGAAGTTGACTGACCCCTGAGTTCTCCAGCATTAGTGCTTTTGGAGAGAACTCAAGAAGAGCTCCCTGGGGGCCTTTGACCAGACTTCTTGAGCTGAGGAAGACCTCCCCACCACACACACCTGTTGTACCAGAGACCGCTACTCTGGTCTTCATGTGGGGGAGGTTTTAGGGTTGGAGACACTCCTTGGACTGCCAGGCAAGGTGAGGGAGTGGGTGGAGCTTGTGGGGGCAGAGAGGATCAGTGCTGTGCTGGGTACAAACTGAGTTAAGCACGCTAACCTTGCATCTGGACATGACTAGAAGGCCATGGGGGTCCCTGTGAGCTGAGCTCAGGCCCAGTTTCAGTGCTCATTATAAAATACATCCTCTTGGAATACTTTTGATTTTGTTGTGATATTTCATTCTGTGTTATTTCGTCTGTGTTTAAAATTGTTTCTAATGAATAATGCACAAAAGTTGAATTTCTGGAGAAATTTAGTACTATACAGATTTTAGTTTATTATAGAATAATTTTCTGTAATTAAAATGTGTTTTCTATTGGGACTGTTTCTGTGGGGCTTCGGGGGCTACTCTTCCTAGTGATGCTGGTATGCTTGGGTACCACAAGGGCTACATCTGGCTGTGGGTTATATGGTGCTGGGGCTTGCGCTCGGGACCTTGTGCAGTAAGAGCTGTACCACACTCCTTTGAGTTACCATCCCAGCCCTAGTAAATCATTTTTAAAAATTGAGATGATTGTTTTCTATCAGCTTGAACCCGGCTGAACAGGAGCTTCCACTTGGGTTCTGTTCTTCTCATTGGGCAGATTTGAACTTGTCCAGGACAGTTTCCATAGGTATGCCACAGTGCTGCCTTTTTTTAACTCAGTGACATTCGCACAGCTGTTCTCCAGTCCCTGGTAGCGCTCTGTGTTTGAGACAGGCCAGTGTGGGTATAATAAATGAAAAGGGAAAATAGAATGAACTAGATTTTTGTATCCAGAAGGGCATCTTATACTTTGTGAAGTAATCAGCAATTGTTCTGATGAATCCATTTTATGGCTAAATCAGTATTGCAGTAATACACTTACTTTCTCTAATGTACATTGTCTAGACATGAAAGTGTGTGTCCTTTTTTTTTCAACAAATATATTTATTACCCAATAATTTTTAATACAAACTATATAGATATAATAATAAATCAAGACATCCACATATATAGATCACATTGTACCTTCGAAATATGGTCCTCAATGAGCTTCCTGAATAAGAAGAAACATTAATAAAGCAATTGCTTGGCAACATCAGAGATCAGAAGGGTTACTTCTGAAAGAAGCTTCAGAAAGTGTTGTGTTCTTCAGCTCAATTCAGTAACATACCAGTGGCATACGCCCTGGCTGAATTTATAGTTCTGTTTGGTTGGTCATGATCTAGTCAGATGTCTTAAGTGAAGAGAAACCATCGATTGGTGTGGTTAGCAGTTTCACCCAGTGGCGTCAGCTAGAATATTATCAGCTCTCCAGGACACAAATATGCAGAGAGATGAAAGCAAATTCTGGTGTTGAAGAACTGCTCACATCCTTATGGGATTACACTTGGTTTCATACATTCGGTGGATCTGCTTTGACTAGTATGAAGCGTTCCCTGTTCTGTATTCAGTTTTATTCTCATGTGCAGAGGACAGGGTCTCATAACCTCCCCCCACCCCACTCCATTTTTCTGGCCTCTCTGCTGCCAGAGGTGGTGACAAGTCTTGATCTGTGCTGGGTTCATTCTAGCAGTAACCTAAAATTATTAGCCTGTGCTGCTGCTCTGTAGCAGGAAGGTCTGTAATTAGGGCAGCACAATTAGGGCTTCTGGAACGTTTCCTCCAAAAAGTCTATCCAGCATGTCATCAAGGAGGGTGAGTCTGCAGGTGTCCCAGGAAAGGGTGGGCTAGCTGCCACGCTGTGAACCAAGTTTATCCTCTTGCAGGAAGTGGGACTGCCGCCTTCTCATGTTCCCGAGACTGTCACCTTCTCTTCCTGAGCATCTCACATTACTCGCCTCACTGCTAGGGGCTCTCTCATCTCCCAGCAGCTGCCACCACAGCTGGGCTCACTTGCCTTGGCTCTGTGATTCTAATTGCTTTCACCTGTCATTTCTCGGCATTTTGAATACAGTGTGGTTAATTTTAAGGAGTTCTGACTTGAACATGCTTCTTAATGGGGCGAGTGATAGTTTTCTTGAAAATAGAAAGGCACCAGTGATAGTTTTTTGACTCTGAGAGGAGGGGTGAAAGGAAAAGAGTTGATGACAATGGAAGAGATCTGCACAGAGTTTGGTTATCAGTGATGAGATGAACTGGATGAGGGAGCTGGTGGGTGTTCAGAGCTTTCCTCGGTAGCTGTGGGAAAACTGGAACTCTTTTCCACAAAGAAGCTGGTTTTGCTTTAAGAGATCAGTTTTGAAAATTCTGGATGAGCACTACAAGGTTGACCCAAACATTGGGAAATATGGCCATATTTTGATGATATAGACTTAGACCACTTACGAAACTGAAAACTAGGGTGTGAGAAAATGTTGCAGAGCTAAGAGAAGCTTGGGCATGTGTCAGCGGGAAGGGATGAGAACACAGAGGAAAGAGGAGAACTGGGCAGACAGAGGCCCGCAGGAGGGCTGGGGATGCTGAGAGAGATGCCTGGACAGAGGATTGAACTTGGGGCCAAGTTTGGGGCTATGAGGGCTTCAAGTGTTTCTTCATCTAGGATGTAAGATAAAGTTGGTAACAATTAGATTTTGATGTGTCATTTGTGTGGTAGTGGGAGAGCTAGGGAGGGGTTGTCCATGAGCGTGTTCAGGAGGTCTGGCTGGCCCCCGGGGCCGCTGAGACAGACATCTTGTCAGTTCAGACCTTGTCTCCTTGTCTATTCCCACTTTCTTGTAATAGCAGGAAGGCCACACTGCACACCTTAGGGCATTGACTCAAACTCGAAATAAAACTTTCTTCTTTAAGCTAGCTCTTTTAGTATTCTTCTAGGTGAGAAGAATTGTCTGACAGATCTTTTATCTCAGAGGTGAGTACTAAACAGCCCATTCCATTGATAGCTCTGATGAGTGATCCAGAATGTTCTCAACTTACATCAGTTACAGTGGGGACTTGATGGGGTTCTAATTTTCCTGTTTGTGTTAACCCATCGCAAATATATTTTTGTTTTGGCCATCATTTAAGTATACATGCTCTGTATTCAGAGTAGTTACAACATTGGATTGTTTACCTTGCCCCTTTCAGATAAGAAATAACCTTGTATTTTTTTTCTCAAAATTCAGGTCCAAGACCACCTTCGACTAAATTAAGCAATGTGACATGTGCTCCAGAGACAGCTTACAAATATCCTGATTTGCCTATAAATAGATGTAAGGAAGAGGTAAAATTACTTTTTATCATGATACTTCTGTTTGACTTAATGCCCCAGCCCAGGGCTTTGACATTCTAGTTTGAAAGTGCTGAGGTGGGTATCCTGTGGTGTGAAGGCTTTGCCCTTGGCATACAGGCAAATGTGATCACTGTGGGGAGAGTTGTCTGCACTCAGCGTTCCCTTCCATGTCTTGGTGGTGGTGCAGGCAAGCCCTTCCTCTTCCATAGTTGCCAACAGGCCACTGTGTGTGTATGTATGTTGGGGTTAGAGAGTGACGTGAAGGGAGCCACGTCTGGCAGTGCTCAGGGATTAATCTGGCTCGCTGTGCAGGTGGTGCTCCTGGTAGGGCTGGCGTTCTTGTGTCTAGGGCTACTGAACTGCCTGCCTGGTGTGTGTGTGTGTGTGTGTGTGTGTGTGTGTGTGTGTGTGTGTCTCTGTGTGTGTGTATGTAGTTCCCTTGGCATCTTTCCCTGCCTGTTGTTGATTGGATCAGTCATTGAGTCTTCCAGATATAGCAGCAAGGTGGTGGTTTTCATTAATTGCATTTTATTAAAAATGATTAAAATGAACTAGGTAGTGATAGTTCAAGCAAAGATGTCCTAAAAGTTTTTAGGTTTTCCAAAAGTTTTAATTTTGCTTTAGATGGAATCAAACTTTTTCGAGTAGATGTACTTTATTATGTTTTAGAGGGCAGCATTCACATAAATTTATAGTCTATTATCATAGCTTGCTTGCTCCAAAGAGAAGAGCTTAAGTACATTTAGGTGGAAGTAGTAGGCTATGGGGAGGAATTGGATTATAGTTTTTAAAATGTCACTATATTACAATGGTGGAAACTAATAGGGTGTAAAAATGTGTCTTGAGTACTCTCTGATGAAATATTAAAACCCCTATGTCTAAGATGGGACTCCATTAAACAGCTTCTGCACAGCAAAAGAAACTGAAGCTATAATAAAAAGACACTGCTGAATGGGAGAAAATATTTGCACACAATACTTTGGATAAAGGTTTGATATCTTAATCTCTGTAAAGCATTCACAACACTCAACAACAAAAAATCTGACCTTGTCCATAAATGGAGTGAGGAGGTGAACAAACATTTTCCCTGAGAAGATTCACGATGACCAGTAGGCATATAGAAAGGTGCTTATTGTCACTCATGATGAGGGAAATGGAAATCAGAACAAGAAGAAATCATCTCACACTTGGGAGACTGGCATGTAACAGAAAGCCTGGAAACAGCCATTGTTGGTAAGGAAGGAATCCCCATACACTGTTGGTGGGAATATCATACAGCTCAACTTCTGTGGAAAGCTAAATGGAGATATCTCCAGAAAATATATCCCAGCAACACCACTTCTTGGCATCCCACCCACAAACACAAAAACAGTAATCTGGAAGAATATACACACACCTATGTTCATTAAAGCACTTAGCACAGTAGTGAAGATACTCTCCAGTTTTATCCATGTTGTAGGAAACAGCACTGCTATGTCTTTTTCACAACTGCATAGTATTCTATTGTGTATATGTACCATCGGTACATTTTTTTTTCTGTTTTTTGGATCACACCGGCAATGCTCAGGGGTTACTCCTGGCTCTGCACTCAGGAATCACTCCTGGCAGTGCTCGGGGGACCATATGGGATGCTGGAAATCGAACCTGGGTCGGCCACGTGCAAGGCAAATGCCCTACCTGCTGTACTATTGCTCCAGCCCCTCCATCGGTACATTCTTTTCTTTTAATTTTTCTTTTGTTTAAACACTGTGGTTTACAAAGTTGTTCATAATCTGTTGTTTTGAGCTTTAATGTTCTGACACCAATTCCACCACCAGTATGACCTTCCCTCCATCATTGTCTCCAGTTTCCCACTCACCCCCCCAGTTGCTGCCTTAGCAGACAAAAAATAACTTATTCTGCTTGTTGCAACAGAATGGCTAATGGAATTATAAAAAAATACTTCAAAGAAAATTTGTGAAAATTGTTGTATCTCACAATGCAGTCATTAAAAGTCATTGTTTGAGGGTTTACTCAGCTGTTTGTTGCTAGTTGAGCCTTCTGTATTATTTTTATTGAGTTGGCTTCTGTGCTACTTTCCCGTCTACTTTGGTGTGCTCCTACTGGGCTGTCAGAATTGTGGGCTTGGGAGGTATTGCTCTAGATGCTCCAGGATCTGGAGAACTGGCCGATGAGTTTCAGCAGCGTGGTGTGGCTGCATCTCTCCTGAGATTAGTCGTGAAGATGTAAAGCTGGGCTGTGTTTACATGGTGGTGGCTGTGGAATGGGGTGACTGCTGGGACTTTGTTAGTATGGCGAGGGGAGACTGCCCATACCCACTTTGAGAAGACCCCAGAGTTTTCAACCCCAAAATAGTGTACCTGGAAGTTTACGCAGTGAAGTTGGGTCATTTGCATGTCAGCAGCTGCTGGGGCTTCACAGGTGGTGACTCAGCTGCCCTCCTCCCAAGGAGTTTTAGCTTAAAGACCTGTGTATCTATGAGATTTTTCCTTTCTTTTTTATTGTGAAGGACACACCTGGCAGTGTTCAGGGGGTTATTCTCGACTCTGCACTCAGGGATCACTCATGACGTTGCTCAGGGGTTCATACGGGATGCTGGGGATCGAACCCGGCTCAGTCTGTGCAAGGCAAACACCCTACCTGCTGTACTATTGCTCTGGCCTGTACCTGTCTGTGAGTTTCAGTGGCTTGGTTTGCATCTCTTTCAAGATGAGTTGTGAAGCTATGAAGCTAGGCCGTAGTTTACATGGCAGCTTTGCGATGTCCTTAATTTCATTAAATTTTTTATTACAATGTAAATATATAATACTAGGCTTCAGTTCCTCCGCCCCTCTCGGAGAGTCTGGCAAGCTACCGAGAGTATTTTGCCCACATGGCAAAGCCTGGCAAACTACCCGTGACGTATTCAATGTGCCAAACACAGTAACAACAAGTTTCACAATGGAGACTTACTGGGCCTGCTCGAGCAAATCGATGAACAATGGGGAGGACAGTGACAGTGATATGGGCAAGGTTTCATGTTAAACAAATAAAATCCAACACCACACCCTCCACCAGAGTGTTAGTGTTCCTTCACTATGTCGTAGTGTTTCATATTCCTTTTTGAGACCAATTCTCAGTATCTGTTGCCTTTGAGTATTTATTTCTTTACTACATTATTTATGTACCATATATGAGGGAGATCATTCCCTGTGATGTATCTCTTATGACAGATGAAGAAATCAGAGGCAGAGAGCTGACATGAACTTGGCTGGGATTCCCACAGTCATGGGAAGCTGTGTCCCTGGGGGTATTTTGAATTGGAGCACTCCTCTGTAGCTTTCATGTCGGTGGGATGTTCAATTGGTTAATAATTTAATTTGTGTTTTTTTTTGGGGGGGGACACATCCTGAGGGTTTCCTCCTGACTAGATGCTCAGGGGTCTCTCCCATTGATGTTGGGGTCAAACCAGGGGCTGCTGCATGTGAAGCATGTGCTCAGCCCTTTGAGACATCCCCCTGGCTGCAATAATTTAATTTGTAAAGATGAAAGGGAAAAAAAATCCTGAACGCCTTTCCAGATGAAGATTTTGGTGCATAGGTAGTAAGTGTGTTGCTGTTAATTTTATGGCAATTTAAAAATAATTTTTAAAAAATTCTAGGTCATTTCTTTGATAGAAAGTAATTCTGTGGTGATCATACACGGTGCCACAGGGAGTGGCAAGAGCACACAGCTTCCGCAGTATGTCCTCGACCACTACATGCAGCGCTCCACCTACTGCAACATCGCCGTCACCCAGCCCCGGAAGATTGGGGCCAGCAGCATCGCCAGGTGGATCAGTAAAGAGCGTGCCTGGACTTTGGGGGGCTTGGTGGGCTATCAGGTGAGACTGTCAGAAGGAGTCCCCTCTCCACGCTCAGTCTTGAGTTGTCGTGACTTGGTTATAGGTGGTGGTGGTGATTTTCAGCTGAAACAAGTAGAAGCAGCTGCTTGTTTGTTCTTCTAGAGCAAGCACGTAGGGCAAAATTAAAAATAAAATCATAAAACTCTGAACTTCTTAAAAAACGCTTTAATTTCAGTAGAAAGAAGTGAGAATTGTCATTTGAATTTTATTCTTTTAACAATATATTTGAATCCGGGACATGTCTTTGATTATGGTTGTTTGGACATAAAAAAGAGTCAGTAAACTAGCTGTAGTATAGAGTCAGTATGACTCCCCATACCATTTTACCACCCCAAAAAAGAAAAGAGAAGATGAAATGGAACTTGAGAACTAAAATTTTACTTTGTGCCCTATTTTTTTTATGTGTGTGAATTATAGTGTTTTTAAATCACTTATCTCAATTATAAAGCAGACAGAACTTTTTGGATAGTTAAATGTGAAGCATTTAAAACCAAAAAAAAAAAATTTCCTTTTCCTTCTGTAGTTTTCTTTCTTCTTTTTTCCTTTCTTTTTTACCTTCCTTTTCTCCCTTCCTTTCTTCCTTTCCTTTCCTTCTCGTTTCTTCCCTTCTTCCTTTCCTTCCTTCCTTTTCTTTTTTTTGTCTTCCAACCTGTGGAGGAGGCCAGGGCCCCCATTGGTGATTTTCAGCTGGAGTGGAAGGGCCTGAGGATGTGGTGCTCAGCCCTCCAGTGCCGGGGATCACAGGATTTTGGCGTGCTGGAGGACTCCCAGGCTGTACCTGGGAATCATGTGATGCCAGAAACTGAATCTGGGTTGGCATATGCCAAGCGTATACCTCAATTATTATGCTATCCCCTGATCCCTTGCCCTCATCTTTTGGAGAGACTTGCAGTCAGTGCTCAGATCGCCTGAGAGCTCTTCCTAGTGAGTCTCTGGCAACTGGGCCAGCAGTTCAATGCGAAAGTCCCAGGAAGTATTGCTCAGGCCCTGTGGTGCCAGAGATTTACTCAGGCTGCCCTGTCCTTGGGGATCTCCATGGCCACACCTGGTAGTGCTGGGCATCACCTTGGTCTCGTGCCTTGGGCTGAACCAGGACCTGCGGTATGGAAGGCATATGCTGTATGCTGTACTCATTCTCTCCTGCCTTTTCCCTGCTTCAGGTGGGGTTAGAGAAAATAGCAACAGAAGACACTAAGTTGATTTATATGACAACTGGGGTCCTGTTGCAGAAAATTGTCAGTGCTAAGAGTCTGATGGAGTTCACACACATCTTCATTGATGAGGTGAGTGCTGCTTCTTGAAGAGGTACCTCATTTAGAGTAGGGGAGGCAAATGACAGCCCTGACAACAAATCTGTCATGGTTTTTGTGCATAGTGTTGCACTGGAACCAGTTTTGCTCTTTTCTGATGGCTACTGAGCTACAGCAGAGGAAGTGCTGTGTGTTCTAAGATGTGCAGCACACTCTGCATCTCCTCGGGGCTGGGGAGCACCAGGCAGTTCCGAGACCCACCTGTGAAGATGGGGTGGGGAAGGGGGACAGCATCTTTCAGGACAAAAAGCAGAGCAGACCCAAGATTTGATACATCATCATTCTAAAGAGTACTGGGAGCTTTCTTTGCCTTTCCCTTCTGGAGTTTTCTCATCAAGGGTGGGATATTTAATTGATTTAGTGACATATTTTTTTGAGGGGAGGAGATGCAGTAAAAAAGGAAACTCACTACCAAGGGATCAGGGAGACAACTCAAATGAGATGTCTTCTTTGCATATGAGAACCCTTGGTCTGACTCCAGGTCTGCATGGAACTTTGAGCACTCCGGGAAGTGTTCCTGAGCACCTTGATCAAACAAAAGCCAAAATAAAACACTTCGAGAAGTTTTGAAAATGTCTCCACTCCAAACTCTGTGCTGGAATGGCAGAGAGAGTTGGTCTAGTGGCTTCTCCATGCATTCTAGGGATACATTGGGTCTGGTTCTGGTGGCTACAGTGACACAGAACACTCTTGGTACTGAATTGGCAAGACCAGGAATGGTAAACACGACTGCCAGGGGTGCCCAGAGAACAGTACTCCCCACAGGCCTGGGTGTGCTCTGTCCAGTGACATGCTCTCAGGAGGAGGAGCTCTGAACAGAGCTGGCTTCGCCCCAGGCATGCCATGAAGTCTAGCCGCCTTGGGCCGTGGCGGGGTGCTCTGCTTACTGCCATGTTGGGGTGCCCCTTTTTATCTTGTAGGTGCACGAGCGAACTGAAGAAATGGATTTCTTGCTGTTGGTAGTCCGCAAACTTTTACGAACAAATTCACGTTTTGTCAAGGTAAATTTGTTTTATGAGTAACAAACACATAGGCCTAAGATGCATTATTTGCCTTTATTTCACTTTATTTTATTTTGCATTATTTGATATTCCAAAAACAGTAACAATTATTTCATTATTTCATTTTATTTTGGGTTTGGAAACTATACACAGTGCTCGGGGGCTACTCCTGGCTTGGTTCTTGGGACAGTATAGAGTGCCAGGGATTCTGGGGTTGGCGGCAGGTGCCTTACCCCTGTGCTGTGCTGTCTCTCTGGCCCTGTTTCTCTTCTTCATTTTAACAGGTATGTTTGGAATCGGAGACTCTTGACATTTGTTGTGTGTTGGATTCTGACTCTTCTGTTCAGAGGAGAAAGGCACGGACAGGCTAAGCTAGGCAAGGGTTTCTGCTCCTGAGGTGGTGTTGACATCATCTGCCCAGCTTGGGAGCAGAGAGCCTTGCAGATCAGGCTTCCATGGGCCCTCCTGCCTGGCAGGGAGGGAGACACATGCCAGACACCGGGGCTCTTAGGACTGACTTGCTCTCACTCAGGAAGCAGTCGCCTCAGTGAGCTGTTTGTGGGGCATTCTTCTTCCTATCTCACTTCCTCCACCTGGGAATGGCCAGCTCCTCCCCTGACCTTTGTAGCGCTTGGTCTTGGCACTCTGGGGTGGAGCGACAGCACAGCGGGTAGGGGGTTTGCCTTGCACATGGCTGACCCGAGTTCGATTTCTCCGCCCCTCTCGGAGAGCCGGGTAAGCTACCGAGAGTATCCTGCCCACACAGCAGAGCCTGGCAAGCTCCCTGTGGTGTATTCGATATGCCAAAACCAGTAACAAGTTTTTGTTACTGTTACTGCCTCCACGCAAAGTTTCTTTAACCAGTCATCTGGTTAAGTAACAAGTCTCACAGTGGAGATGTTACTGGTGCCTGCTGGAGCAAAGATCGGTGAACAGCGGGAGGACTGTGGACAGTGGACAGTGGTCTTGGCACTCCAGGGAACTGTGAAGTGAATGAGTATTGACTGTTTGCATCCTCTTTTGGTTCTTAAGCGACACGCTCAAGATTGGTCAGAGGTACAGGCCCTCCTTTTTCCCACGGACACTCCCGGCAGAGTTCCACCCTGAGACTACAGTCACACTTAGTGGTGCTTGGTGATTTGGGGTCTTTCTTGATAATCATTTTAAGATTTATTTACCTTGTGTAAGATAATTGTTTGAGTTATTTTCGGCTTTTAGCAGTAAAGTGAGTTTAGGGCTTTAGTGTGTCTCATGAAGATCATTCACCCACTGAGAACAGTGGTGAGGAGGTGAGGAATTCAGTGCCTGTTCCTTGGCTAGGTCAGTCAGTGTCACTGTTTTTGAAGTGAATTCAATGTGTGAAGCAAGAGACTATCTACATGTAGATGCCTAGAGGTTGTGTGGAGTTGGCCTGAGGGAGAAGGCGAGTTCTTGAGAGCTTGGTGGGAAATACCAAATCCCAGAGCTGTGCTGCTAGTTAAGAGAGCTGCCATCAGCCTTCAAAGGCAGCTGGACCTCAGGCCACCTCCTCTCCCCACCTGAACCCCTCAGGTCCCCCAGACCTGCTGACCAGACTGAGTATGTACCAGTCCTAGGCAAGCAGCTGTCTGTCCAGCTGCTGGAGTGGGGTCTGAGGCCCCCTGGGTGTGGTGTGAGGCTGGTGACTGAGGGGAAGGGAACCCTTGTGATCCGGAGCTGGCAGGATGTGGCATGGCCCTGGGGCAGATGGGGGCAGGGACACACACTGCCCAAGAAAGCCCTGCACCTCACTTCACCTCTGAAGCCCATGATTGTCTACTGGAAATGAGTCCCCTGAGGTCACTTTCCCACCCTACGTGACTTCTGGGAGCTTTGCTTCCAACCTTGGCTACTTGCCTGTCTGTATTTGCCATTTGTCTGCAGGGCTGGAGGGGAAACTAGAGGTACTGTTCTCTCTCAGTGCTGCTACCAGGGCTGTGTTTCTGCTCAGGCCTAAGTTACCAACTCCGAGTTGTTTTGTTCTTTTTTCCTTTTTTAAATTACTTTTTATTTAAAAACCATGGTAGTGGTTTTTACTTGTTACTTGTTACTACCTCCACTACCCAGCCGCCACCACACTCCAGGACACTTTCCGGACCCGCACAGCCGCAAAGTAAAGCGGCCGCGCGACACATCATAAGACACTAAATATCCATTTTCCAGAATTGTCGTACCATATTTGATAGGGTTCAAATATGGCAACTCCTACGAGGGTGATTAGAGGTCGCCCCAAAAGCCTCTATCCCTCTCGGAAAGACTGGCAAGCTACCGAGAGTGTTCCGCCCACACACGGAAGAGCCTGCCTGGCAAGCTATCCGTTGTGTATTCGATATGCCAAAACCAGTAACTACAACTGGTCTCATTCACCTGACCCTGAAGGCTTCACCAATATGGCAGCATTGAGAAGGATGAGAAAGGAGAGGCCAATAAAATCTCAAGGCCGAACTAGGCTGCCACAACGAAGGAAGACAAAAATGATCGTCTGTACTTTCAATGCACGTACACTAGCATCAGATGCATCCATCGAGGACCTGATGGTACAAGTGCGAATGATCAAGTACGACATCATTGGTCTGACCGAGACAAGAAGGCACGAATCTCACCATGCCGTTTTCGACACTGGAGAAGAATTGTTCCTCGGAACATGCGATAAAAGAGGTGTCGGAGGTGTCAGTGTCCCTGTCAATACAAACTTGGCCATGAGCATTGATTCATTCAAATGCCTAACAACCCGAATCGGACTTTTACATTTGAATAGATGTGGCTCACTGCCGGCAGTTTCTATCTTCATTGTCTACATACCAACATCTCATTATGATGAAAGAGAAATTGAGAAGTTCTACATGGAGCTGGAGAAGTTCTATAAAGAAGACCACACCTTCTACAAGATCATTGTGGGTGATTTTAATGCCAAGATAGGACCGAGAAGATCAGCTGAAGAACTTCACATCGGGACCCATGGCCTAGAATGGAACAAACAGGGTGAGAGACTTTTTGAGTTCATCATGTCGACCAAGACCATCCATGGTAACTCACAGTTCCAGAAGGCAGAATCTAAACGTTGGACATGGGAGTCTCCCAGTGGACGATTCCACAATGAAATAGACCACATCATATTCAATCGACGGTTTTGCCTGACCAATGTCACTCTTGTCCCAAAATTCCGAACGGGATCGGACCACCATCTCCTTCGTGCAAAATTCTACTTCACACAGCGGGGAGAAAGGGCTGCAAAGTTTAAAAAGAGAACTCCCAGAACGACCACCAACTGGGAGCTCTTTAGCACTATTGCGGCAACATGGGAAGATGCCATTGTGGGCAACATTGATGAGGAATAGGATCGACTGGTACAGCACCTCCATGAATGTATGAGGAACGCCAAGAGACAGATAGCCACAAAACAACACCTGTCTTCGAAAACTCTTGAGCTATTCGCCAGCGTGGTTTGGCGCATGCCTCAGGCAACCGCAAGCTAACATCCGAGCTCGCAAAGCAGTGCAGAGATGCGATCAAGGGAGACCTCAAAGAGAGAAGAGCAGAAGTGCTGGTAGATGCGGCAGAAGCCGGGAAAAGTATTCGTAAGGCCCGCCTGTCCTTCGCCAACTATAAGACCAAGATGACTGCCCTCCGACGTCCTGATGGATCCATCACATTCTCCAGAATGGCAATGGAGAAGATTATCCATGACTTCTACTCAAATCTCTTCGATAGCCATGTCCACTTGCCGACATACCAAATTCCACAGGAAGGATATGTCGTTCCCAACGTTCTCCCTTCCGAAATCTGACACGCCATTTCGCCGGTAAAGAAACGAACAGCACCCGGCCCAGACAAGGTCAGACCTGAACACCTGAAGAACCTGCCGTCAGTACTCATCAATACATTGGCTCCGCTCTTCACTCGCTACCTGTCTGAATGCAAGGTTCCATCCCAATGGAAAACCAGCAGGACCGTACTACTGTTCAAGAAGGGAGACATCCATGACATTGGCAACTATCGCCCGATCTGCCTATTGTCTGTCATCTACAAGTTGTTCACTCGAGTCATCCTAAATAGGATTGGCAGCACACTAGATGAAGGACAACCATGCGAGCAAGCCGGGTTCTGCAAAGGATTCAGCACCATCGACCATATCCACACAATAACCAAGCTCATTGAGGTTTCTTGGGAGTTCAAGATGCCGCTCTGTCTAACGTTCATTGATTTAAAGAAGGTCTTTGATTCTGTTGAGATGGAAGCGGTCATTGAAGCCCTAGCCAATCAGGGCATTCAAGCCCAATACATCAGGATCCTCCGTGAGCTGTATTGCGGATTCACTACCAGGATCTCACCATTCTACAAAGAAGTAATCATTGATGTCAAGAGAGGGGTGCGGCAGGGTGATACCATTTCACCAAAACTCTTCAGTGCCACCCTCGAGAACATCATGCGATGACTGGAATGGGAAGGAATGGGAGTGAAGATAGATGGTCGGCAACTACACCACCTCCGCTTTGCTGATGACATTGTTTTAATAACACCAAACATCAGCCAAGTGGCACAAATGCTGGCCGACTTTGACCGTGAGTGTGGAAAGGTAGGACTACAGCTGAATCTTACGAAGACAATGTTTATGAGAAACAGCCTCGTTCCTGATGCTCCATTCGCTCTCAATGGAATGACCATCTCCGAATGCAACAGCTATGTGTACCTAGGTCTAGAAGTCAACATGACAAATGACCTGGCACCCAAGCTGTGCAGGAGGAAGAGAGCGGCTTGGAACGCCTTCAAGAACGTCGAAGAAATAGCTAAGAGGACGAAGAACCTCCGGCTCCGGGCACATCTCTTTGATTCCACTGTTCTTCCTGCATTAACATATTCCTCAGAAACCTGGGCCCTACGTAACAGGATGAGAATGCTATTCGGGTCTCCCAAAGAGGAATTGAAAGAGCTATGCTTGGAATATCACGTTTCACTCAAATGAGAAGAAGAATCTGGAGTTACAACCTCCGTCGACGATCAAGAATCAGGGACGCTGTCTCGTTTGCCAAGGTGTCAAAAATCAGATGGGCTGGTCACGTAATCAGATTTAAAGACGACCGCTGGACTAGAGCTGTTACCAACTGGATTCCACAGGATGTCAAAAAACCGTGTGGCCGCCCACCTACCAGATGGTCAGACTTCTTCATCAAGATCATGAACGATCGGTTTGAGGCTCTTCATGTTCCCAGAGCGAACAGATGCCATTGGGCTACACTAGCACGCAACAGGGACAAATGGAGAAGTTACTGGTGCCCGTTCGAGCAAATCGACGACTAACGGGAAGTTAAGTGATTAAGTGATTAAAAACCATGATTGACAAAGTTGCTCATTGTACAGTTGTTTCAGGCCTTCAGTGCTTCAGTATGACCAGTGTGACCTTCCCTCCACCAGTACCCCCAATTTCCCTCCCAACCCCAACCTTCCCCCTTCAGCACATAACAAATTGACTTTATATTGCTTATTCCAACAAAACTTTAAGAAATGGCAGGTAGAATGATCAGAAAATAAACCTGTAAGGGCCAATTTGTGATTACGATATGGTTTTGGCCCATGTCACTGTCTACATGCAGACCCGTGGATGATGGTGGGAAAAATTAATTGACACCACCTACTACAGTATAACAAAATGCCTATGATCATTTACATATTTAAGTTTTCCATTCTGGAATCTAAAGCACATTGTATTAAATTTTATTTTGTACTTGGATCTCATTATGGTAATAATCATGTCTCACCTGTCAGCTAAGTTTTAAAGCAATTCTATATTAACATATTTCAAATTTTAAATGAAATGGGTAAAAGCTACATGTGTAAATTTCTCTCCTATACTTTATATAAGTACTGTGGTTTACAGAGTTATTAGTTTTACAGGCATTTAATATTCCAAGACCAACCCCACTACCATTGCACCTTCCCTCCACCGTTGTCTCCAATTTTCCCAACTGCCCCTTAAGCCTGCCTCCATAGCGGGCCCTCAGTAATTTATTTTGTATTGCTTGTTATCAGTAATTTTCTGACAGAATGATAAAATGTTTCTTTAGAAGAAAATTAGTGTAAATTGTTGTATCGCACCATGAAGGTATTAAGTCCTTGTTTGAGAGATTACTAAGAGGTTAAGCTTTCTGGGTTTGTTTTGTTAATGGAGATGAGTTGCCTTCTATACTACATCCATCCAATCTGGTATGCTACTACTGGTTTATTAGTGTTGTAGAGACTGAGATGTTGTGCCTAACTCCAGTTACAAGTCATGGAGGGTGGCAGCAGGCAGCTGTGTACCAACAGTGTGGGGCAGATGAGGCCTCGTGTGCCTCGAGTGAGGATGCTCTGGGCTCCTGGATGGCACCATTCAGTAGTTTCTGTTGGCAGACCTGCAGCCTGCAGTCCACCTGGCTTTGTTGGGCTGGGCCTGGCCTGCTCCTGCTGGTTCCAGGTGGTCCCTCAAAGCAGTGGTTCTGCTGTCATTCATTCTAGGTGCCTCCTGTGCATGACTTGGCCCAGAGCTGCTGGAGCCTTTGTCTTTCCACTTCCTCCTTGCTGGCTCACCCTCATTTTTGCCTGGGACAGCTAGTAATTTAATCAGTTTCAGTGTAATTATCTGACACAGTTTTTCCTTTATATTTAAACAGTTATAATTTGTTACAGGTAAGTTTTTCATTTGATGAAATAAGGAGAAATAGTAAAGTTGGTATCTCTTAAGCCTAGAGATGAAATCAAGGCATTCTGTAATAATCTTGAAAAATATTCTGGTAAGCCTGGAATTTTGTTTTATTTTGTATTTTGGGCTTTACCCAACTGTGCTTAGGGCTTACTTCTAGCTCTGGGAATATGTGGGATATCAAGGTTGGCCGCCCACTGCTCACTGTACTATCTCCAGCTCCCCAAGCCTGGATGAAGTTTAAAGTTATTTTACTTTAGTTTTGCCTTCCTGACTGTTTTGTTGATCTCAGTGGTTTCTCTGGTTCTGCAGGTGGTCCTGATGTCAGCCACCATTAACTGCAAAGAGTTTGCTGATTACTTTGCTGTTCCTGTTCAGAATAAGATGAACCCTGCCTATGTATTTGAAGTAGAAGGAAAACCCCATTCAATTGAAGAATATTACCTTAATGATTTGGGGCACATTCATCATAGCAGGGTATGCTGATTATATTTCAGTTTTTAATCAAACACCATGATTTACAAAGTTGTTCATAATACTCTTGTTTCAGGTATTCAGTGTTCCAGCACCAATCCCACCAGTAGTGTGACCTTCCTTCCACCAACGTCCCCAGTTTCTTAGCCACCCACAAGTATCCCCCCCATAGCAGGTGCAAAACTGTATCTCATAGAGGTGTTATTAATGTCGTTGTCTGAGACTTTACTAGACTGGCATTAGTTGAACCTTCTGTGTTACAGGTTTTGCTCATTGAGCTTCATGGGCTTCTATGAAACCTTTGCAACTAATTTGTTGTGTTCCTGCTGACAGCCAGTACTATTAAGTTTGGAGGTCTCACTCGGCCGCACATCCCAGGAACCATGGAACTGGGATGATTCAGCAGTGAGGCATCTCAGAGATTAGTCATGGAGCTGGGAAGCCAGAAGTTCATATGCAGGAGGAGGTTGGGTGTGGGTGGGTCACTGGGTCTTTTGGTAGTGCAGGGACCCAGCCTATGTACAGCCCAAGAAAACTCCAGATATCTTGGCCCTGGAGATTGGGGGTGCCCAGGATGACTCAGCAATGGTGACCTAGTAGTACTTTTTTTATACAGCAGATATACCCTTATATTTTATGAAGCCTGCTTTCGTGACCTACAACTGAAAGGTTCTGTTGGAACTTCAAACTGGAGCAGAGAGATGGTGAGAGTAGGACCGGAGGAACACAAGAGGAAAGAAATGCCTGGGTTTACTGATGCAAACTGTGAACATGGGAAGCACTCATGGCAAATCCATGGAATAATTACTCGACAGTTCCATACTTGGTCGATGTTAAAGTTTGTTAGATTTTTATCAGTTGCATAATTGTGGATACATTTGGGGATGGGAAGTAATTTTATTTCAACTTTTATTTGTATTAAACTTAATTTTTTTCCCTTTAAAAAATATTTAGGGCTGGAGAGAGAACAAGAGGGTTATGAGCATGAATCCTGGTTTGGTCCTTGGCATTACATAGGGTCCCCTGAGCACTGCCAGGAGTCACTCTGAGGACAGACCCAGGAGCGGTCCTTGACCATAGCCAGATGTGATCTAAACTCCTCGTAAAACAACATCAGTAATAACAGTAACCCATTCATTTTTAAATTATTTTTATTTTTATTTTTATTTGCAGTGCTGGGGATTGAGCCTGGGGCCTTACACACTTGAGGCATGGACTCCATCCCTGAACCATGTCCCTTGCCCTATGCTAAATTTTTCTACTGTAACTTGTATTGGTAGGTTGAAGGAGCGGTGTATCATGATGAAGAATTGTGACAATACATTCTTTTATTCTTACTATGACCTTTTCCTTTTCTTGCCTTTTATTGCTGCTGTATTAGGGCTTACTCATACTCTGCGTGGTTCTGAGTTTTCACATTTGCAGTGGTGGTGTGCTGGCACTTGTTCTCATCGGGGTCATGCTTTGGATCATTCTTTAGTGCTTGTGGGAGTCACACTGTGGGAGTTGCACATGAGCTGTGGTACTCATGCCTCCTAGCAGTAGTGACTGCTGGAGGTCCCAGACTTGGCCGTAGTGCTCACACACATCAGCCTGTGCCTGAAGATTGCACATGTGTTTGCGGCCTCCAGGGTCAGAGAGGAGAGCTCACCCCAAATGTGGAGATGCTGAGGGTTGAACTCAAGGCCTCAAGAATATAGAGCAGGCATTTTGCCTAGTCATTCCCTCCTTCACACCCCTAACATTCTTTTGGGGAGAGGGCCCCTCCCAACAATTCTCTGCCGGCCAGACTAGCCTGTTCAATGTGAGGCTACTCCTCGGACCCTGAGGTACTGGGGTTTACCTGAGTCACTGCAGGGTTCTCTGAGGCTGCACCTGCTGATGACGCTCAAGGGACCATGTGGTGGTAGGGATTAAACCTGGCTTGGCTGCATGCAAGGCCCTAGTATCTGTGCTATCTCGCTGGCTACCCTGATAGTCAGTTGATGAGAAGTTGCTTAAAATTTGTAGAAGTTGCAAATCAAAAAGTCTAAGCAAGCATGATACGTTTTTCTTCTGGGAATGGGGTGATAGCACAAGGAGTAGAGCTCATTCCTAATAGGTGTATAAGATACTGAGTTTGAGCCCTGCCACCAAAACCCAGACAAATCTTCTATTTTCTGTAAGCCTAGCTTCCCTACAACAGGAGGAAACCACTGCTGCTACTTTCATAAATCTTCATGCTTCTACACACAAGTGAGGAGGTGTGTCGTCTCCATTTCCTAGAAACTGCAGTATCTCTTGGCCACCCTGCTTGTCTGGCTTCCCTTGTCTTAGACTTTTCCGCCAGCCCCTGGCCCCGCCCTCTTCATTACTGCATATTTTTCATGGAGCTGCTGCTCTGGGCTTGGCGCTCCGATTTCTGAGCTCCTTGTTAAGAGCAGTTGTGGGCCTGGAATTGGCCCTGTTGGTGTTTGGGGCATAGATCCTCTAGTGGGACTGCTGTCCTGGGCCTGGCAGGGCATTGAGCGGCACCCCTGGTTTGCCCCCTTGTGACACCCAGGCTGTTTCTGGACATTCCCTGGGTAGTAAAATGCTGCCCCACCCCCAACTCTCGCTGACCTTTGTAAAGGCATACCATTCTAGACTAAAGCTTCGTAGAAATGGAGTTGTGGGATCACAGGGCCTGTGCATTTGTAATTTTGATGCTGACGAATTGTTCTGAGTTTGGCATTTATTAAATCAGTTTGTTGTGTGAAATGGTATTCTTGAATCCAATGCGTTGAATGTTTCATTTTGTGTAAGTAATTCTAACATTTCAGAGTCAAAATTAACTATTGAAGGATATTAAAATGTAGCACCTCTTTTTACCAATGACAGTGTTTCAGAAGAACAGGAAAGTCAGCAGTTCATGGTGAGCAGCCGTTTCCCCGTCTCTGGGCCTCCCGAGCTTACATGCACTTGGGAACAAGTAACACACGCCGCCTTGTTCATGGTAGGGAGGAGAGGTGTGCGCTTGAGAGAGTGCATGTCTTCAGGGCCAGGCAGGACGTGACAGGAATGACATTAGCTGGTTTCTTCTTCCAGCTGGCCTGACATTTGATCCGTTCCCACTAATTGCTTCCTGGTGGTCTTGGGGCTTATAGATGGGGAGAGGATTCCTGGGCACATACCATGGAGCCGGGGTGGGCCTTCTGAGTCCCTCAGGTCAAGGCCACCCGCCCTGGTCTCCTGGGTGGCTGTAAGTAGAGGTGGGGTTGAGGGCTGGTTATGTGTCACAGACAAGACAGCTCCTTGTCTTGGCATGACTTAGGAAATGACCAGACATTGGAACCCGAAGTGCCTGGGGACTCTTCCAGTGTCTGAGTGCCAAGTGCATGTTGTGTGTAGCTCTCCAACATAGAGTCTCTGCCTTCTGTTGTGTAGTTTGTGGTTTCAGAGGAACTTTGTAAACATGTCCAGGTTAGCCTGTTTCCACTGCTGCGGTCCTCTTCCCTAAATCCTTGGTCTGGAATGACATAGGAGACGCACCCTACCCTTCGTGGATTGGGCACATCTCCAGTTTTCCCTCTTGCCCTCCCTTCCACATCGGCACCATTTCATCCACTTGTTCTCCTCACCTTGCAGACCTCTGTCTCTTAGTCTTTGTCCTTATCATTTGGGATTTGGGCCATACTTGGCATAATAAATGGTTCCAGAGGTCAATAAATGTTTCCAGGACTTTGAAACGGAACCGTTGGGATGCGAGGCAAGCTCCTACCCCTGTTTTCTCTCTCCTGTCTCGAGACAGAACTGAGTCTGTTTCCTGGTGAGAAACTCCCTGGATCCCAAGCTTCTCTGACTCTTGCCAACCTTGGTCTGAACTTATAGCATCTTTCTCTGTCTCCCACATCTTGTCCTTCACCACAGTCTGGCTTCACTGCCCAGGCGGTGCCTGCAGTAGTCTGAGCAGTCTCCAGGCTGGGATACTGAAGACTCTTTGGTTTCTGGGAATGTCCCTCCTTGTGACTCCTGGTGCCCTCCAAATGCTCTGGTGTCCCAGTGGCTTGTGAAGAGCCCTTTAAGTTCTTTATTTTCTGTTCACTTATTTTTTTTTTTTTTTGCAATGCCAGGGATTGAGCCCAGATCTGATACATGCGAGGCAGGTATTTTACTTTTGAGCCACATACCAGCCTTTAGTTTCAACTTTATTGCAAAAGCAACACCCTGGGGAAAGTCTCATCATTGTCAAATGTGCACTCTGATGAGATTGTGAAGTGAATGGCTGTGACCACCGTCTGGTCCAGCGGGAAACAGTGGCCAGCTGACCTGTCCCTACTGTGTCCAATTAGGTTTCACAGAACCTTTCAGACCTGTCATCATCCCATTCTCTATAGGGTGCGATCACCAGCACTGCCTCTCTTGCTGCCTGTGTCACCTGGGACCTGCTGTCTAGTCTGGGTCTGGCCATCCCTGGTGCACTGTGTTGCTGAGGCTACCCTAGAGGAAGCACGTTTATGTGACAGCAGTGTTGCGGGCTCGTTCTAGAACTTGGTTTGGTTCCCTGTGAATTGATGATGGCTGCTTATTTACAGGAAAACAATTCCAGAAGCATTTGGAGTCTAATTGTTGTGGCTCGGAAAATCTGCCTTTTCCCCCTCCATCTTTTATGCAGCTATTATGGTAATGCTCACTGTCTGAATAAAGTAACAAAATAGGCTAAAAAATATAAAAATGGATTTATTTATTTATTTTTCAAATTCATTGAAAAGCATATATTTATGTTGGAAGGATGGTGACAGTGACATTATTCAGATACATGTTAACTAAGTTCTCTCTGGCAAAAATAAGAAATGATTGCCTTTCCCCCCTGAAGACTTCTTTTCCTGTGTGCTTCACAACCTTCATTCTGGGGAAATACACCCCAGTAAGTATAAGAGTAGATTTGAAAAAGTTGTGACGTAACTGCACATGGACGCTCTGGAGTGATCCTGATGCAGAGGTAGCGCAGCAGTAATTCCAGCCCTGCAGAGGCACCTGAGTGATGTTGAGTGTCTTGACTGTTCGGCTTCATCCTAATACAATTGAAAGTGCGGGTCTTTGTGGATATATCTTCCTGTGAGTAGCAGAGACAAAGGAGAATTGAGACTTGAAAGCCACCTTCCTCCAGGTGATGGTGATGATACAGGCTCATGGCAGCCAGAATTTGATAGATGAAGAGCAAAACTCTGAGATCAGAAACACCCTCCTGAGTTTATGGACATTTCATGCTACTTACTCTGGCTTCAGAGCCACTTTCTGCTGGTGGGTTCCTTCTGTGTTGGGACCCTCACTCCAGCCCGGGTCAGAAGTGCCCTGAGTGCAGGTCTGTCAGGGCCTTCTGCTGTGCTTGACCCTCAGCAAGTGCGTCAGCCAGTATGAATTACCCAGTGCATTGCTTACAGTGGTGACGAAAACTCCAGAATTTTCTGTTTAAGTATTACAACTTTTCTCCTTTTGTTTTTAGCTTTCTCCACATCTTCTGGAAGAGCCGGTGATTACTAAAGATATCTATGATGTTGCTATCTCCCTAATTCAGATGTTTGATGACTTGGATATGGAAGAGAATGGGGGGTAATGTAACAATGAAAAAATGTTATTCGCCTTGAAACTTTTTAGTGTTATTTTCCCCCCTGGTGCCAGAGACGGAACCCAGAGCCTCATACATGCAAAAACCTTGTTTCACCAGCAGTCCCCCTTTTTAACGTTCCTAGAATATTAAGATACAACTGTAGATACTTCTCTGTAGTTGCTGTGTACATTTAAACATAAAGTTAGGGGCCAGAGAGATCGTACAGAGGGTAGGGCACTTGCCTTGCATCCAGCCAACCTGGATTTCATCCTCGGCATCCCATAAGGTCCCTTGAGCACTGCCCTGAGTAATCCCTGAGTGTAGAGCCAGGAGTAACCCCTGAGCACCACCTGTGGACCAAAAACTAAATAAATAAGCTAAGTTAATATCTTGTAAACATTTTACTGGCAATCTCCACTTCAGTTAAAGCCATGCTTGAGGCAGTTTTAAGAGCAAGAACACTGGAGTCTATAGACGGTCCTGAGCCGGGAGACCCGCGGTGGGCCTTGGAGCCTGGGGAAGTGTCTGCCTTGTTTGGCTCATGGCATGGGGTCTGCTCCACACGCTCCCCCACTGCATTCCAAGCTCGTGGGCTAACAAGCCCTTTGAAACCTGGAGCGCTCCCTTGTAGGAACAATTGCAGGTCAGCCCTAAGTGCTGACTTGAGTCTCAAGTTGAAGAATGCGCCACTGCTAAGAATGTCCTTGGTGCTCCTGTGACTCTGGTCAATCCTGTTGAAACACTGGAGTAGCACACACAGAGAACACGCATGGCTCTGGCAGGGAGCGCTGAGCCTCGGCCTTAGATGCACAGGTCCCTGTCCCCCGGCAGGTGACTGTGATTTGTGAGCACACATAGAAGACCAAGATACCTACTACCTTACTGCCCTCTAGACACACCCCTTCTAACCTAAGGGAATTAATGATCTGATTTTAGCTCTAGTTCTAAGCTCCCTGGGCTGGAGCGATAGCACAGCGGGTAGGGCATTCGCCTTACAAGCGGCCAACATGGCCGACCCGAGTTCGATTCCTCCGCCCCTCTCGGAGAGCCCGGCAAGCTACTGAGAGTGTTTGATATGCCAGACACAGTAACAACAAAGTCTCCAATGGAGACGTTACTGGGCCCGCTCGAGCAAATCGACCTTTATCTAAGCTCCCAAAAATGGTCATTATTTTTATTAAAAAATGATAGGGATTTTCGGCTTGCATATATGTATATAGTAAATATATAATATATATGTAATGGAAGTTATTTGGTTTTGCATCTTGGACTTTTTTTTTAAATTCTCAGTAAGTTTCTCAGTTTTTATCTCTGTTTTACTTTTATTCTTCTTTGGTTTGGGGGCCATACTCAGCTGTTCTCAGGGCTTACTCCTAGCTCTGCTGGGGGATCATTCCTAGTCATACTCGGGGTGTCTAGTGCTGGGAATCAAACATGGGTTGGCCACATGTAACGCAAGTGCCTTATCTGCTGTACTATTGCTCCAACCCTTTCACCTTTTTTTTCTTGTTCCACACCTTGTTGTGCTCAGGGGTTACTCCTGGCTCTATACTCAGGAATTACTCCTGGTGAGCTTGGGGGACCATATGGGGTGCCAGAGATTGAACCAAAGTTGGCCATGTGCAAGGCAAACATGCTACCTGCTGTACTATTGCTCTGACCCCTCCATTCTTTTTATATTTTCCTTTTTTTTTTGCCACAAACACCAGAGCTTGGGAATTATTCTTGAATAAGTGTTACTGGGGATCAAGCATAGGACTCCTGCATCCAAAGTTCTCTAATCCTTTGAACTATTTCTCTAGACCCTAATTTTTAAGACCGAAACAACTTTGGGGTTGGAATGATAGTATAGTGGGTAGGGTCTGTGGCCAACCCAGGTTTGATCCCCGGCACCCCCATATAGTCCCTCAAGCCCTGCCAGGAGTGATCCCTGAGTGCACAGGAGTTTGAGCACTGCCAACTTTGGCCCCAAAACCAAACAAATACTTGTACATGCATGTATGATATATGTATGGCACTTTCCCTTTGTATATTTTGATGGTACAGTCTGGTGGGCTGGAGTGATAGCACAGCGGGTAGGGTGTTTGCCTTGCACGCAGCCAACATGGCCGACCTGAGTTCGATTCCTCCGCCCCTTTCGGAGAGCCTGGCAGGCTACCAAGAGTATCTCGCCCGCACAGCAGAGCCTGGCAAGCTCCCCGTGACGTATTCGATATGCCAAACACAGTAACAACAAGTCTCATGATGGAGACGTTACTGGGCCCGCTCGAGCAAATTGATGAACAACGGGAGGACCGTGACTGTCTGGTAGTCTTTTATTATGGTAACAGATGCCTTTTGGTCTAAGGGTGAATCTGTGGGTGAATCTCCCCTTCTGGCCTAAGGTAACTTTCTGTAGCATTCTTTCGGGAGGTGGTGTGGGGTTTGGGGCCACACCTAGTGATCCCTGGCTCTGTCCGGATTATATGTGATCCTGCATCAGAATGGAGTCAACCACATACAAGCGAGTGCCTAAACCCCTGTGCTCGCTCTCTCCCTGGCATTCTTTTTATTTTGTTTTTTTATGCTGAGCCTTATTTATGTGAAGCTCGTGTCCTGCCACCACTGACCCTGGTTCTGAAGACATGGACTCTCTCAAGCGCACACCCTGGAGGTAGAGATAGGGGTGAGGCTGGTTAGTTGTTCCAGAGAGACAGTGCTGAGGGATCCCAAACAGGAGAGCTTGTAGGGCTGTGCTGGCGTCTATGCCCTATGGTGCTAGAGACTGAGCACTCAGCCTCCACAGGCTGGGGCTGGCAAGGAAGATGTTGTTGCCCCTGAGTTGTCCCTGCGCCCCATAGTCTTTGTTTTTCCTCCAGTGTAAGAAGTTACGGACTCTTATCGTTTGGGATGCTAGTAACTGGAGACGCGGCTTCTTCCCTCTTGACCAGAGTAGGTTAAGGTTGATGAGTCATGAGATTTTCAGAGCCAGGTTTTGTCTCATTGGGGTCGACGTTCCTCTGTTGTTTTTCCTTTCTCTCTCATTTCCACTTCGTCTTCATGAGTCTCGGCAGAACCTCATGTTGCATCCAGACTGTACCTGGGAACAGCAGCTGCCGAGGAGGGGTGGGGCAAAGGCACATGTCCATGTCTTGGCTCTCTTGCCGAGCGGCATGTCCATGCTGGAGGCTTGTTTCTTGACTGACCCCCCAGAAGGTGGGACATCTTTGTCAAGTCCCCGCTGTTCCCCACCTTTGTGGAGCAGGACCCGGCACACAGACCAACTGACATGTTTGTGGAGTTTACAGTAGCAGAGGCAAGAAAATCGTTTAAGATAAAATAAATAATTTCTAATAATAATTTTGGCTCTTTGAAGTTTAGTTATTTTAAACGTTTTGTGTTTTAGGACTCTAGACAAGTGTTTCTTAGATAGAGGCCATATGGGATAATCCAAGGGGCTACAGGTGGATGAATTGGATGAATGGGGCCAGCAGGCCGGACAGTGGGGACACACACAGAAAGGAAACAGATTTGGAAGGAGGCCACAGCCTAGATTATAGTAATTAGATTCAAAGGAAAACTTAGCAAGTAATGTTGTTACGGGTGAAAATAATGAGAGTCTTGAGACTTGGAACCCCCAAGGGAACATGGGGTCTTGATAAGAGTCTTAAATTACGGGATTTTTGTTTTCATATCCAAGAAAGAATTTTATGGGCTGGAGAAATAGTACAGTTGGGTGTAGGGCACTTAGCTGACAGTGGTCGACCCAAATTTGACCCTTAGAACGCCACAGAGTCCCCTGAGCTTCAGGAGTGAGCCCTGAGCCCTGCCGTGTATGGCCCCAACCCCCCAACCCCCAAATGAAAGAACTTGATATAGGATGATATAGAAGAACTTGATAAAGTAAGAGCCTTCCATGATCCCTCTTTGGGAAAATGGGGGCCGTCTTTGCCTCAGTTAATGTTTGTACACTTTTCTTGTATATTTCAAACAGGAACAAGACCTGGTCAGGTGCCCAGTTTGTGTCAGAGCGAAGCAGTGTGTTAGTGTTTCTGCCAGGTGAGTGACATTCTGCCGTGACTTGGAATTACAGTGCTTTGGATGGAAATCAAGTTTAGCGCGTACTAAAAAATAGCATTTACCATGTGAGTTATTTGCTCTTTTTGAACTGGAGAATGTGGATAGATGTGATTCTCAGTTTGACTTCTTGCATGAACTTTATATTGCTAAAAAGATTGATAGCACTGTAACACAGACCTCCTGTTGTTCATTGATTTGCTCGAGCGGGCACCAGTAACGTCTCCAGTGTGAGACTTCTTACTGTCTTTGGCATATCAAATAATCTCGGGTAGCTTGCCAGGCTTTGCTTGCGGGCAGGATACTCTCGGTAGCTTGCTGGGTTCTCTGAGAGGGGTGGAGGAATCGAAAACAGGTCGGCCATGTGCAAGGAAGACACCCTACCGACTGTGCTATCGCTCTAGCCAAAAAATAATAATAATAAAGTGTTTAAATTTTTTTTGAAGTGTCTAAATTTTTAAGAGATATCACTGTCACTGCCATTGTCATCCTTTGTTCATTGATTTACTCGAGCAGGTGCCAGTAATGTCTCCATTCGTCCCAGCCCTGGGATTTTAGCAGCCTCTCCTTACCCGTTTTTCCCAACGCTGCCATATTGGAGGCTCTTTCAGGGTCAGGGGAATTAGGCCTGTTATTGTTACTGTTTTTGGCATATCAAATATGTCATTGGTCGCTTGCCAGGCTCTGCCATGCTTTCAGAATTACTGGGGAAAAAATAATTGTTCAAGATTACTTCAGCTCTGTGTGCAATATAAGAACATAAAATTGTGACTAGACAAAACAAAACAGAGCTGCCCTGCTTTTAAGAAGCAGCAATAATCAAAGAGGGAAAGCAAGGATGGTTCTGCAGCACAGAGCGCCACGTGGGTGCCGAGCTCCGTCTGCGTGGTGTGGGGTCTGGGAAGCCCAGCCCACCTGGGTGCAGGCAAATGCCACAACTAAAAGTCGTGACTGCCAGCGAGAACCACTGTAAGATGTGAGAACATGGAGACCAGGAGGTGATAGCCCAATAATCCTCAGCAGCTACGAAGGGACGGGAAGGTGAGTGGATTCCACAGAACCGTCGAACACAGTGACTTCTCCCAAGATCCATGCAGCAGAACTTGAGGTTCAACACCAAAGTCTCTCTTCTGTTTATAAAAAGAAGTAATGGGTAGACATAAACAGTGGCAGCACAGGGACATGACTTACAGACAGTGCTGTGGGATTAGGCTCCCAGAAGGAGAGGCAGCATTTTAGAGGCCACTTAATCTTTGCAAACTGCTCGTGTGGCTGTCACCATGCCAAAAGCCGACACTTCACTTCTGGCTTCTTTAAAGGCTCAGATGGAAGTACTGTTGATGACAGTGAGAAATAACTCTCTTATTGCTGACTGCCCACATGAAAGTGTGGGGAAATTTAAGAGATATAATTATTTGTTAGTTTCAGCTATGGGGGCTGGAGTGATAGCACAGCGATAGAGCATTTTCCTTGCACACAGCCGACTTGGCTGACCCGAGTTCGATTTTTCCGCCCCTCTCAAAGAGCTGGGCAAGCTACCGAGAGTATCTCGCCTGCACGGCAAAGCCTGGGAAGCTCCCCGTGACATATTCGATATGCCAAACACAGTAACAACAAAGTCTCCAATGGAGACGCTACTGGGCCTGCTCGAGCAAATCGATGAACAACGGGAGGACAGTGCTACCGTGCTACGGGTTCAGCTATATGGTGTGATGGTGTAATACTTGAATATATTTGACAATAAATCTAGTTAATGCCCATCATCATACAGTTAAAACTTCGGGGTATTTTTTGGGGGGGGCCACATCTGGCAGTTCTTGGGGCTTACTCCAACTCTATTCAGGGATCTTTCCTAGTGGCACTCAGTGCCCAGGGTCCACACTTTGTACTGGAGATCAAACAGGTTGGCCTTGTGCAAGGCTAATGCCTTAACCCCTGTGCTATTTCTCTGTCTTGCAAAACTTATGGGGTTTTTTGGGGGGTGGTTGGGGGGAGAACTATTCTTGTGTTGTCCTAGGTGCTCTGTGTACCCACACCCAGCATGGTGCTGGAGGGGCAAGGGACCTTCAACCCCGCCCCACGCATGCAAGGCAGCCGCCTCTGAGCCTCTGGATTCACATCCTTGGACCTTGTGGTGAGATCTTTCCCGGTCCACTTTTTTTTTGCATCAGTCAAAAATAGAATTGAGGATCAACTGTAGTCACCATGCTGGATCCAGAACTTGCGTTTGATTTTTGAAGTTAGTCTAATCACTCTCTAATTTTGTAAATAAGATGGACTTTGTTGGTACTGAAGATGTGAAGAAGTGGGAGGGTCCGTGTCTTGCATGTGTGAGGCCACTTGAGGCCCACAGCAATAACAGAAATGGTTATTTTTAGGTTTGGTATTTCATGCATATGGTTATAAATGTGAGGGTAATGTCACCATCTATTATTAAAGGTTATTTAACAGTAGTATTGCTCTTGTAAATATATGAGACTCTAGGGCATTCCTTTCTCATTATTTGAGAAAATAGAGACTTAAAATTACTGGGGATATTTATGATTATGGTTTCAGAATGGTGTTTTTGTCATTTTGCAATAGCTTGATGAAAACTCTTGACAGTTTAAATATTTTTGTGGTAGCCCGTGTAAGTGGTTAATACTGATACAGAACACAGCAGGAGAAAGGCGACTCAGTTAATGGTGGAATGCGGTGAAAGTTTGAAATCGCTCACAGTTGCTTGGTTGGATTGGTTTGTAGCTGAGTTAGAGGGTGGGGATCTGTACCCCCCACCCCCCGCGTCAACTTGTTCAAGACTCCGCTATATGCTGTAGCGTGGTAGAATACCTAACATGAGAAGTAAACAATCACTTCTAAGTTCCTTGTCATAGCTTGTCTGTGTGCACATATGGGGATTCAAGTTTAGTGTTTAGCTCATTAGTTATCTTTGGTTTTTCCTCATTGAGTATAATGTTTGCTGTAGATTTGTGGGCTTGTGATGGCTATATTGAGGAAAGTCCCTTCAGTTGTCATCTTGCTTACGGGTTTTACATGAAAACCCATCTATCCTGTCAGGTGCTTTCCCTGCATCGATTTATGTGATTTTTACTTTTTTTATTGATAAGGTATATTATGTTGATTGACTTGCATATGTTAAACTATTCTTGCATCTCAGGATGAATCCTACTTGGTCATAGTGTGTGATCTTTTTGATGAACTTTTAGATTCTTTTTGCTGGTATTTTGTTGAGCATCTTTGCATCTGTGTTCATCAAGGATAATTAAGCCCATAATTATCTCTTTTTTTTTTTTGGTGGTGTCTCTGTTTACTTTTGGTTACAGGGTGATATTTGCTTCATAGGAGTTGTTTGGGAGTGTTTTTGTTTCTGCAATTTTCTGAAAGCCAAAAAAGAATAGGCAGTATGCCTTCTTTAAAGGCTTGAAAGAATTCATTTGAGAATCCATCTGGGCCTGGGCTTTTATTTTTGGGAAGATTTTGGATTTCAGTTCCAGTTTTCCATTTCAGTTTCTTTGGGCTTATTATGGCTCGCTCTCTCTCTCTTCTTTCTCTCTCTCTCTCTCTCTCTCTCTCTCTCCCCCTCCTTTTCCCTCTCCCCTCTCTCTCCCTCTCCTTTCTCTCTCTACCCTCTCTTTCTCTCCCTCTCTCTAACCCCCCCTCCCTCTCTACCCCCCTCTCTCTCTCCCTCTCCCTCCTTGATATGGTTCGTCAATGTTGTTTATTTTTTCAAAGAACCAGCTCTTGGTTTAATTGATCTTTTGGGTGGATTTTTGGATTCCAGTTAGTTCATGTCTGCTTTGTTTTATTATTTATTTCCTCCTGCCAGATTTGGACGCCTTTTATTAGAAATTTTCAAGTTTCTTAAGTTTTGCAGTTAAGTTAGTTATGTGGGTCTTTTCTTACTTCCTGATAAATGCCTGCTAAGCAGTGAACTTTCCTCTTAATACTGCTTTTGCTGTATTTCACAAGTTCTGGTAGTAAGGTCCTCATTCTCATTTGTTTTCATGAATCTTCTAAATTTCCTCTTTGATTTCCTCTCATGACCCACTGGTTGTTTAATTTCAAGTAACAAGTTGTTTAATTTCCAGGTGTTTGATTTGTTTCTTCATTTCTGTTTGTGATTAACTTCTACTTTCAGTGCATCATGGTCTGAGAAAATAATTGATACGATTTCTAAGCTCTTGACTTTGTTAAGGTACTTTTCATGTCCCAGCATGTGTTCTTTCTTGGAGAATGTCTCATGTGCATTGGAAAAGAATATGTATTTGGCCTTTTGGGGATAAAAAGTTATGCTCACACATACACACACATCTTTCTACATATCTTTATATATAGATGCTAGCCACCTCTTACATTTCCTCCTTCATGGAAGTATTTTCTTGCTGATTTTTAGTTGACCTGTTAAAAGGTAACAGTGGTGTTGAAGTTTCCAGCTACTCTTGTGTTGCTATCAATGTGTTGCTTCAAGTCTATTAGCAGTTATTTTAAATTTTAAGTATTTTGCTGGTCCTTCATTAGGTGTATATACATTTAGGAGTATGAGTTCTTTCTGATGTATATATCCCTTGATTATTAAGAAATGACCTTTGCTGTCTCTTACAACCTTTTGTAACCTGAAATCTATATCATCTGTTACTAGCATGGCCACCCTTGCCTTTTTGAGGGGGGTATATGCTAAAGTATTCTTGGCAAGGGGCTGGAGCGATAGCACAGCGGGGTAGAACATTTGCTTTGCATGTGACCAACCCGGGTTTGATTCCCAGCATCCCATGTGGTCCCCTGAGCACTGCCAGGAGTAATTCTTGAGTGTATGAGCCAGGAGTAACCCCTGTGCATCGCTGGGTGTGACCCAAAAAGCAAAAAATAAATTAAAAAAGTATTCTTGGCAAGGCATTCATTGAGTTTTTTCCACTGTGTTTCACCATTTTGGGGAGATCTGGAGGGTTTCTTCCAACCTTTGATTCTGATTCTGTGCTTGTTCTGTTTAAATTTGTTTCTCGCAGGCAGTAGTGTGCTGGGTTCAATTTTCTGATTCATTCTGCCACTCTGTGGCTCTTAATTGGTGCATTTAACCATTGACATTGAGAGAGATTATTGTCAGGGAGTTTAGTGCCATCATTCCGCTGGAGTCTGGTGTGTCCATGGGACTCATCTTAAAATAGCCCCCTAAGTTCTTCTTGTAAAGAAGGCACCTCCTGATTCTGAAGTTCCTGAGTTGTTTTCTGTGAAGTTGTGTAATAATCCTTCAAATCTGAATGAGACTCTCTCGACGGGTAAAGTATTCTTGGTGAGGCCTTCATTTCGTTGAGGTGTTTTTTGTTTGTTTTGTTTTGTTTTGTTTTTCCCACCATATCCTACCCACCATTGTCTTTGGGACTAGAGGGACTAGAATGTTTCATTTGATAAATCTGCTGTAAGGACGCTCCTTTGTATATAATTTCCTTCTTTGACCTTGCTTTCAGTATTCAATCTATATTTTTGTCATTCTGATGAGGATGTCTTGGAGTCTTTTTATTTGGGTCTCTTTTAGATGGTACCTTTGGGCCTCCTATATCTGGGTGCATGCGTTCTGGGAACTTCTCAGTAATTATGTCTTTGATGTTTGTTGTTGGGCTTGCCTTCTGCCCCTCTGGGGCACCTCTTGAATTCATCCCAGAGATCTCTTATCAACTATTCATACATTTTGAGGGTGTTTTTCCATCTTCTGCTGTTTTCTAGAGGTTTTCTGTACCTCATCTTGGAGCTCACTGATTCTGTCCTCAGCAGCTGTTACTCTACTGCTGAAGTGTACTAGTGAGTTTTTCATTTCACTTTCCAAGTTTTTCACTCTGTCATTTCTATTTGTAGTTTCTTTATTTTTACTCTCTTATGTTTTATTGGTAGTTCATTTGATTGTTTCTCTGAACTTCTTAAATATGCTTAACAGTTCCTCTCTAAATTCCTTCCTGAGAGGTTATATGGCGCATTGCTACTGGCTGAGTCTTCGAGCTACATCTTCATTCACTAGGCCTGGTGGGATTCTGCACCACTTCCCCATTGTCACCTGTGCAGTCTGGAGTTGTTTTTTGTATGTTGTTGTGTGGTTAGGTGACTACAGTTAGGATGTCTTGATTGCTCACGGTGAGTGATGGATAGGTGAAGAGATGAAGAGATGTAGTTCTCTTTGCGGGCAGGGGGAGTTGTAACCTGGGGGACAGAATGACAATCCTGAGTGAAAAACAGTTCCCTGACGCTGCTGCGTGTCCTCAGTTTTCTGGGGCCGGGCTCAGCAGTTACCTTTGAGAATAGTCCTGGATTAGGCTGTTAGAGCAGTTGGACCACAGAGCTACAAATTGGAACATTCTCTCTCCTCCCCCCCCCCCCCCGCTCCCTCCCCCCCCCCTCCCCGCCAACAGAGAAAAGAGAAAAACCTATTCTTTCCATCGCTGTTCTGGAGGCTGGAAGTTGAAAAGCCAGTGTCAACAGGGCCCGTCCTTCCTCCCCGAACCTCTGTCCCCCTAGTCTCTATTCTCTGCTCTCTTGGTCCTGGACCTTCTCCAGAGTGCCCTGTCTCTCCATCTTTGGAAGCCCACAGTTCCCGCTGTTCCCTGTAAGCTCCTTCTGACCTACTATGTCAGCCCTTTGCGGGCCCAATCCCTGTGAGGGCATTCTTCAGTCTATATTCTTTCAAATATTTGTAACTCACAATGGAGCTATTTTTTAAACCTAAGGGAAACAGGTTAGAAGAGCTCTGTGACCAAGACTTTAAAAAATGTCCTTCGGTTGTAAAACTTTTGCACACTCGGGGACCAAGAGAGATCACACAAAAGATAGGATGTTTTCCTTGCATGCTACTGACCATGTTTGATCCCCAGAACCACATATATTCTCCTGGGTGCCAAGTGAGTCCTGAGTATGAATGTGCTTCCTGCCCTCCCCCTCCCCCCAAAAAAGGGAAAATGGAAATTCAATGGGGGTCGGGGAAAGAAATATTAAATTATCCAAGAAATCACATTCACAGATAGTTGTTTTATGGGTAGAAAAGCATACAGAAGATTTCCTTCTCTATTTTTGCTAGTACTAGTGAAGATTGTTGTACATAAGTTTTGCGAGGCAGGAGGTGCCTCCCAAGTAGTGTTTAGAGGGCTCCGCGACCACTCCAGGTAATGCTTAGCCAGTTAGGCTGGTGTTTCAGGGCTTTGGCCCAAGGATGTGAGGCTGCTTAGACCCTGTGGTGCCAGGACCACCGAGAGGCATCCATCCCACGCCCACCCCCCAGAGCTATCCCCAGTGATATTTGCGGCAGAGACCAAGTGTGCCAGTGATGGAAAGCAGGTCAGTTCCACGTGTGGCATGTACCCTAGCCCACTGATTATCTCCCTGGCACACTTTACATGTTTGAATAGGAGCATCTTCAGAACTGTGTTTAGGAGCCACTCCTGCAAATACTTGGTCTAACAGGTGGGCCTGTCAGCTCGGTGCTCAGGCCCACTCGTGGCAAGGACTCCCCGGGATATAGCTGATGCTGCTTGGGGAGAGGCATCTGGTGCCAGGACATACCAGCCCTGCGGCTGTCTTCCCTGAATCTTCACTGTGCATTTTTATTATACTTCCTATATACTTATCTAAAGAGGATAAAACCAATAAAACAGGAACAAGAGAGATAGTGTAGGGTCTAAGGTGCTTGTCTTGCAGATAGCCAACCCCAGTTTGACCCCCCCAGCACTACATAGGACCCCCAGAAGACCACCAGGAGTGACCACTGAGTATAGAACTAGGAAAAAGCCCTGAACACTCTGGTGTGGCCTTCCTAAAGCAAAACCCAACAAATAAACCACAAAACAAAACATTTGCTTGAGCGGACCCAGTAACGTCTCCATTGTGAGACTTGTTGTTACTGTGTTTGGCATATTGAATACGTCACAGGTAGCTTGTCAGACTTTGCCATGTGGGCAAAATACTCTCAGTAGCTTGCCAGACTCTCCAAGAGGGGCGGAGGAATAGAACTCGGGTCGGGCATATTGGCTGCGTGCAAGGCAAACGACCTACCTGTTGTGCTATTGCTCCAGCCCAAAACAAAACATAGGGTCTTTTTTTATATATATATATATAATTTATTTCTTTATTGAATCACTGTGGGAAAAGTTACAGAGCTTTTGGGTTTAGGTCTCAGTCATGTAAATATCAAACACATTTCCCTTTACCAATACTTATTTTTAACTGCGAACCCCAATAGAACCCCACCTCCCACCCTCCCAATTCCTGTGAGGCAGATGAGTTCTAGTTAATACTCTATCTACTTTGACTAGATACATTGTTTCGATAGAAGATGCACAATTATTGTTTAGAATTTACGACCCCCCCCATCAGACATGCTGAAACAGCGTTGTGAAATGATTTGCTTTCTACAACTTGGTTTAAGAATAAAGTGATGTTGTGCAGCCGCAATAGCGGCCGCGTGGTTTTGGATTTCTGCTATTTTACTTATTAACCCTGGAAGAATTTCTATTAAAAGTTAGATAGTTAGGAGATTGGTTTCTGTGCTCTGGAGTCGTGGCCATGCCGGAGAGCCGCTCGTGGGGGGCAGCTGGCGACCTCGGTCGGGCGTGAAGGACGGCCCATTATGCCCCCCTTCCCATGAGGTCCCTGCCGCCCCCACCCACGGCTCAAACCTGCTGTCCGGGTCTTTTTTTTTTTTTTAAAGGTGCAATCTTTACTTCAATGTTGAATTTTAATAGTAAACATAGTTTTTTCACTTTCTCTTTTTCTAGGTCTGAGTGAAATAAACTATATGCATGAACTCCTTACAAATATGGCTCACAAAAGGTGTGTTTAATGTGAACATTTTTGTTTGGGGGCAGTGTTCAGGGGCTACTCCTGGCTTTGTGCTCAGGAATTAACTCCTGGAGGTGCTCGGGGGACCATATGGATGCTGTGCTGGGGAACAAACCCAGGTCAGCTGCATGCAAGGCAAGTGCCCTTTGCACCATGCTGTCGCTCCAGACCCTTGTGTGAACACGGATTCACTTACTTTGGATTTTGGGCCACATCACTCAGGACTTACTCCTGGTTCTGTGAACCCTTGCTGGCTGTGTGAAAGGCAAACCCCTACCTGTTGTACCATCGCTCCAGCACTTTTTTTAAAAACATGATTTATTATTTTAAAACTTAGAAACTGTTTTGTTTCTGCCATAAGTTAAATGGTCTCGAGGCTCATTCCTCATCTCTGTATCTCTTATCTGGCTGAATATCCTGTTTTATTGATGTCACTTAGGTTGCAGGTGTTTCCTCTCCATTCAAGTGTGACTCTGGAAGAGCAGAACAATGTGTTCTTAAGTCCAGTTCCTGGATACAGAAAGGTAGGAACATTGGGAATTCATTGTGAGCACTTTATAGAAACTTTCTGAGTTGACTTGTGAACAGAGTTTGCTTTCCAGCCTCGTGGTGTGGTGGTGTTCTGCCACCTAAACAAACTGCTCCTTGGGGGTATGGTGCCGTCAGCAGGTCAGTCTGTACCTGTGATGCGAGTGTATCAACAGCCTGATGGCGCCTTCAGACTTCCAGATACCCCAAAATTGCTGCTGTGCCTTTGGCCAGACCCCAAAAACGTGGGGCAAAGTTTACCAAGAAAGTAAATGGCCAAAAGTTAAGTATGTGTATGTGGGAGACACAGCCACGAACCACCTCCGGCTCAGCTATATAATTGGAGGCATGGCCTTTCTGGTTCCTGATCGAACTACTTAATGGCCATGATCCCAGAGACTCAGAAACAAATCTCAAAACCGAACGGCTTTTGGCAGAAATGCATCCGGTCACTGCAATAGATTACTGGCGCCGGGACACCCCAGGTAGGAATAGGTTTCATGCCTTGGCCTGTTTCCCCTGGTGGCCTGGTGGCTACCATCCTCCAGAGGACACTGGACAATCAGGTTTGGGCCCACAGTGATGAGACACACAGAGCCTCCTGGGATGGGGGTGGAGCCGGCCCTTCCCTCCCCACCCCAACAAGACCCTGAGTCGCCGCCCATGAATGGCCTCTCTGGCTCCTGATCAAGCTGCTTAACGGCCATGATCCCAGAGACTCAGAAACAAATCTCAAAACCCAGCAGCTTTTGGCAGAAATGCATCCGGACCCCGCAGTAGGTTACTGTCGCCAGGCCATCCCAGGGGGGAAAGGGTACTGTCCCTTTGCCTGCTTCCTCTTAGTGGCTCAGTGGCTGCCATCCTCCAGAGGCCATTGGACAGTCAGGTTTGGGCCCGCAGTGATGAGACACACGGAGGCTCACGGGATGGGGGTGGAGCCGGCCCTTTCCTCCCCATCCCAACGAGTCGCCGCCCACGAACGGCCTCTCTGGCTCCTGATCAAGCCGTTTAATGACCATGATCCCAGAGACTCAGAAACAAATCTCGAAACCCAGCTGCTTTTGGCAGAAATGCATCCAGACCTGCAGTAGGTTACTGTCACCGGGCCACCCCAGGGGGGAAAGGGTGCTGTCTCAAGGGTGCTGATCCTGCTCAAGCTGCTTAACGGCCATGATCCCAGAGACTCAGGAATAAATCTTGGAACCGAGGAGGTTTTGGTAGAAATCCCTCCAGATTTAATTGTTAAAATTTAGGAATTTCAAAATCGCACAGCCACTTCTGCAGCCACCCAAATGTAATTCATAACCAGCGATAGAAAACAAATTGTCTACTGTTGCCTTTTTAGCAAATCTGAGTGTTGGGGTAAAATCCCAAATAATGGTGGGTCTGGTGTCAAAATATTGAATGTAATCAAAGTAGAGAGAGTAATGTGGAAATCATCTGTTCCACAGGTAGGGGGAGGGTTTGGGATGGAGGTATTCTGGGGTTTTTGGTGGTGGAGAATGGGCACTGGCAAAGGTATGGGTGTTTCATTGTGTGACCGAGACTTAAACCCGAAAGTTTTGTAACTGCTTTCACAGTGATTCAATAAATAAAATTATTTTAAAAATGAGGAAAAAAAATAAACTGCTCCTCAGTTGAGCCAGGGCTGTGTTTCACTTTGCCTTTAGTTTGTAAATCAGTCTCTCTGGAACATCGCTGCTGGGGTCATGGGGATGCTCTTCTCTGTAAGTCTGATGGTACATTTGTTCCTGTGTCCTTGGCAGCGATTGTGCTGCCCATTTTGACTCAAAGCTGAATTCCTTTTTTTTTTTTTCTTTTTGGGTCACACTGGGCGATGCACAGGGGGTTCTTCCTGGCTCTGTACTCAGGAATTACTCCTGGCGGTGCTTAGGGGACCATATGGGTTGCTGGGAATCAAACCCGGGTCAGCCGCATGCAAGGCAAATGCCCTACCCGCTGTGCTATCACTCCAGGCCCTCAAAGCTGAATTCTTTTTTTTTTTAAATTTTTTTTTATTAGTGAAACACCATGAGGTACAGTTGTAGATTTACAATTTTTTGTGCTTGGGTTTGATTATACAATGATCAGATACCCATCCCTCCACCAGTGCCCATTTTCCACCACCATGGATAATATCCCCCCCACCCCATCCCCCCATCCCCCCCTGCCTCTGTGGCAGGGCAATCCCCTGTGTTCTCTCTCTCCTTTTGGGTGTTGTGGTCTGCAAAAGAGGCATTGAGTGGCAAACATGTTCAGTCCATAGTCTACTTTCGACATGCATCTCCCCTCCTGGGAGGATCCTCCAAACACCCTTTATTTGGTGTTCCCTTCTCTATCTGAGCTGCCCTTTCCTCTAGAATGCCCGACTGGCCACTAAGCTATGGAGTAATCCTCCTGGTGCTGATCTCAGCTATTCTTGGGTATTAATCTCATATTTTGTTACTTTATATCCCCCAGATGAATGCAATCTTTCTATGTCTATCCCTCTCTTTCTAACTCATTTCGCTTAGCATGATACTTTCCATGTTGTACCACTTGTATGTAAATTTCATGACTTCATCTTTTCTAACAGTCAAAGCTGAATTCTTAATCTGGGTTTAAGAGTTCTTCTGTTTCAGGTTATATGTGAATATGGCTGTTTTTTCATATTCCTCCAAGAACTTCAGGAACTGCTTGAGAGCTCAGAGCCCCTGAGTCTGCCTTCTGCCTTGATTTGGTGGGACAGTCTGGTGTCCAGGGAGGCTCCCACTTGTGGGCATCCAGGGCAGTTCCTAAAGCAGGCCTACTGTCCTTGCACTTGCTGCCCGGGCTCCTCCAGCAGCTCTTGGGCCACCGTCCCATCCTCTTTCCTGGCCGCGCCTCTGAGCACCTGCTGTTGTGTTGCGGGAAAGCACCTTCTCAAGAGCGCAGGGTTCAGCACCTGCATGGGCAGTTGGACAGGGACAGGGGTCTCTGTCACCTCTCATTTGTGTCATGAGCAAATCCTTTGGCTCCTTTTACTTTATGCATTGAGTGAATAATAATCCACTTGCCAGGCCGCAAAAGTAAGTGCTGCTGCTCAATGTCTGTCCCAGTCTCGGGGGTGAGCGGCCAGAGTACCGTGGCGACAGCCAGCGTTGCACCAGCCTTGTTTGCTCAGGCCGTCTCCACAAGGACCCTGCTGGATGGGGAGCAGTCTTTGGAGGAAAATGAGCTTCAGAGCCCAAATCTCAGCAGAAAGAGGGAAGAGCAGGGTGGCTTGTCGCATCCATGTCACCCCCTGCTGCTTGCAGAAGCCCCAGCACTTACAAGTTGCAGAAAATGGCAAAGAGCTTGATTTCAAAGAAACGAGGGACATTGACATTGCAAAAAATAGGGAAGGAGAGCAGTTAGGACAGAAAAGGGCCTCTGTGACAGTGATAGTTGGAAATGGCCACTCTGCGCAAGAGCTGAGTGCTGAAAGGAGGTAAAGAGATAGATAACCTTTCAGCAACAGTACTGCAAACCACAGTGCCTGAAAGGAAGGAGGGAGAGAGGGGGAGCTTGTTTCCCATAGAGGAAGGCTCTTGTGGGGGAGGGGGGAGACTGGGGAGGGACAATTGTGGCAGGAACAGTATACCGGTGAAGGGCCCAGTGTTGGAACATTATATGACTGAAACCCAATCATGAACAACTTTGTAACTGTGTATCTCACAGTGATTCAGTTGAAAAAACAGTGTTGACTGGCTTTTTGAACTACGCTCTATGAATTTTGTGTGTACTTAGAATGCCAGATTGTGTTTCCCCCTTTTGTTTGGTAGATCATTCTGTCCACTAACATTGCAGAGAGTTCGCTCACGGTTCCAGATGTCAAGTATGGTAAGAGCCGTTCCTATCTTCCTCCCAGTCCTCTCTCTGCTTTTGGGTTCCCATCACTTGGGAGGCCTTTGGCGCCAGATTACTGTCAGTGTTTGGAGGCATTTCAGGGTTCTTGTGGGGTTGCCAGAATGGGGGGATGGCGGTGGGTTGTGTGGTAGGATCTGGGGAGCCTGGATGTCCAGATGGCTCAGGAGGTGCCCTATCCACGCAGTCTGGGCCTGCTGGCGAGGGTCTGGTTTCCCTGGGCTTCCTCTGTGCTCGGAGGGGGGCCCGTAATAAGTGGCCAAGGGCATCTCGTTCTGGCGTGGGAGACAGGCATTTTTCTGCATGGAGTGTGGAATTTGGGGTTCAGTGAGAGATTATGTAGGAAGATAAACCTCAGAAATTGCAGTGATTGGGCCAAGGTCTTTGCAGGGGAGGGCACGGCAGCCCCCATGGATCAAGGAGAAAGCAGAGATCTGCCCAGGGGAGAAGCAACAAGGAGGCTGGCGTGGCTGGAGCAGCAGGCAGGGGCAGGCTTGTGTCCTGCCCCTCTGCCAAATCATGTCCCCCAGCATGGCTTGAGAATAAGGCATCCCAGAAGACCCTGAAGTTCTTTCCCCAGAACCTTGGGTTAGACACTGTGGGATGGCCACAGGGGTCGCAGTTAGTGCAGCAGTTACGCTCAGGCTGCTGGGCCCGTGGGGCTGGGGGCCCAGGCCTCCCTCGGCACTGAGCTGGCAGGGCTGCACGGTCAGGGTGGAGAATTTGGAGGGGCCAGGCTTGATGTCAGACATGGACTGGTGACTCTGCGGGGTCCCAGGCCTGTGTGGGGCATGAAGGGGGAGGGGGCGCTCTCTAGGGCTACAGTTGTTCGATATGCAAGCTGTTTGCTGCTGCCCGGGCAGTGAGGAGGGGCTTTTTGGGTCTGGGGGGATGGAGGGCTCTGCCAGCACCATCCGTGGGCCAGGGTGAAGGAGGTTTGTGGGGTGTAAGTTCCTGAGCATGGACTTTCAGTGCTTCCCTGGGCGCTGGGAAAACCCTGCTGCACAGACCCGCCTCTTTGCTTGCTGTGCTGGGCTTCTCAGACTGGCCGGCGCTAGCCAGGGACCCTGAGGTCCTCGCCTGGCCCTGCCCCCAAGTTTCTGAGGTGATGTCACTGCTTTGTGATGATTGCACACATCTTTCTTGTTAGCATGGTGTTTACATTCCTTTTTTTAAATGACAGTTATAGATTTTTGTTTGACTAGAACTCTAGTTTGTGATGAAGATACGAATTATCAGAGTCTGCGGTTGAGTTGGGCCTCTAAAACCAACTGCAATCAGAGGAAAGGTAAGTCTGACTGGGGCTCCTTTAAACTATTTTTTTTGTGTTTTTGCTCATGCATATTGTTCAACTCCAGTGAGGTTCACAGTTCCCCAACTTCCCCTTGCATGTGGGGCTGCTCTTGGTCCCCAGTGAATTGACCGCCTTACCTTTCACCGTGGCCTTAACAAGGACTGGTGGCCAGGTAGGGAAACCAAGTAAACCCCTTCTATACGTTCTGATATTCCTCCCTCTGAGGTGCCTTTGTGAACTATGACTTCCCCAGGGGCTCCAGAATTTGCCTTCCCAGAGAGGTGGGGTGTGGGCAAGGTTGTCAGACTCAGGGTGTGGGGTCCACATTCTGCAGTGGGTGGGGGGGAACTGACTGATGTGTGAGCCTTCGGGAGAGGGAAGCACCTACCAGAAGCATCTGTTGAGTAGCCTGGAGGAGGTCACAGCCCTTGGGTGAGCAGCCAAGGAAGCAGCTCAGGAAGCTGGCTCTGGGTTTCAGGTGGCCCCGGGCGGTGCGCTCTGCAGACAGTCCACTTGTCAGAGGTTCCCCCAGGGCCTATGGGAGTGATTTCCCCAGGTTACGCTGGGAATTACCTGTGCGTTGTATTGTGTATGTGTGAATGGGGGCGTGGGGGGACAGAGCCCTGTCAGGACCTAGGTTTGCGTGTTCTCAGGCCAGTGTCCGGAGTACTATTGCTCGGTGATACAGCGCGAGGAGCTAGTCTCGAAAGGAACCTCCCCAGTCTCCTAGAATCTGTGCAAATTTTTGGAGGGGAACCACACCTGGTGGTGTTGGGAATCAAATCCAGGACCTCACGACATGCAGTGCATCTGCTCCATCACTCAAGCCACCTCCTGGGCCCTAGAAGCTCTAAGTGTCTCCCCGTCTCTTCTCTGCCCCACACCCATGATTATCTGCACAGTGACTGACTCTGCTTGTGCCCCCCTTTCCCTCCACTCGGCCCGTGTCTCTGACGCGTTTCACCGGGTTTGTGTGGATTCTTGTACGGAGATTCTAGGCCTTCCTCAGGTTTGTTAGCAAATACTTCCACCACAAAAAAAAAGATGATCTTTTCATCTTCTGAGCAGGGAGAGCCTTTGAGGAGTTTTATTTATTCGTGTTGAGGCTACCCCCAGTCATACCCAGAGGCCTCCAGAGTAACCTGGCAGTGCTTGGGGCCATATGCGGCCAGGAATACTTTCTTTATGATGCCGTATGAATGCAAGCCTGGCCCCTTCAGTTCCATTCTTGTTAGCGGATGGCGCGATTTCCCCCTTTCCCCAGTAAGAACTACTCCTGGGAGGGCTGGTGGGGGCAGGAGTCCAGGTACCCCTCTGCCTTAGCTGACTCCTCGGATGGCCAGGCAGCCCCTCCAGCCTGCGTCTCCCTAAGCACCTCTCCAACCCCTCTACGCCAACTCTTTCCCCAGAAGATTTTCTAGTGTTTGAAGATAGAGGAGCGTCTGTTCCGCTAGTGATACAGTCCCAAGAGAATAGCCCATGCCTGAGCAGCTTCTGTGTAGACAGTGTCGGGACAGAGGTCATGGGGAGAAGTTCTGTGTGGAGTTGCCGTCCACACGGACTTCCCAGCTGCACACCACTTGTGACCTCTGTTCACCAGCACACGGGGCTCCTCTGCTGGCAGCTGTGGTACTGGGCCACAGCCACCTCTGTCATCATTGCTGAAAGTCAGCACAGCCGCGGATGGCTGTGTGGGCGCGTCCTCGGAAGCCTGTGGGGGACAGAGGTTCTCCCCGTGTTCAAGGGCGACGACAAGTCACACCTGTGCTGTTGCCCGTCTCTTTGCAGGCCGAGCCGGGCGAGTATCCAAGGGGCACTGTTACCGTCTGGTCCACAGGGACTTCTGGGACAACTACATCCCCAACCACACTGTTCCTGAGATGCTGGTAATGCCCGGGGTCTCGCACGCTTAACCTGTACGTAGAACGGGCTGCTCAGTCTAGGCCATGGTACTCAAGCGTGGCTACAGAAGCCCCTATCCAGGCAGGCCTGGATGCCACATCAGTGGGTGCTGAGGGTGGCAGTTCCCTTTCCCACCCTCATGATTCCTCTGCTTAACTCCTCAACTTCTCTCCATGTCCACTGGGGCAGCTGACTTCTCATCTCCCCCCACCTCCCTCCCTTTCCCTTTCACCCTTCCAGCTCACCCCTTCCTTGCCCCCTGTCTCTTCACCTCTCTTCCGTTTGTATCCTTTTTAAATTTTTTTCTTTTCTCTTTTTGGTATCTAGGCCACTGTTTGTCCCAGAAGAGCTAGTCATGCAGACAGGCCCATGGATGTACTTTTCCCCTTGTCTGATCCTCAGTTTGTGCTTTTCAGCGCTGTCCATTAGGAAGCACGATATTGAAAGTGAAATTACTCGACATGGGCGAGCCCAGGGCCTTGCTGGCGACGGCCCTTTCTCCACCAAGTTTGAGTGACATTGAACGCACCATCCTGCTCCTAAAGGAGGTAGCGGGGGTGGGGAAGCTAAGATGGGGGGGGTAATCTTCAAGCTTCCTAGTATGACTTTTGGGACTCTGTTTTGGGGTCACCCTCTATGGTCTCCTGGCAGTGTGTGGGGTACCACACAGTGCTGGGGACTGAACCTGGGCCTCCTGCCTGCAGAGCGAGTGCTCCAACCCTTCGAGAGCTTTCCCTGGCCCTCACTGGGACCATCTTCCCTGGGTTTTGACAGTTGTGCGCAGGGAGCACGTGCTTGGATAAGCATCTGGGGCCGGGCACCGAGCTAGTTGATGGCAGGTCAGGGCTTTAGTTTGTTACCTTCCCAGTCCCTTTTTGGACAGAACAGAGAGGGCTCTGCGATCCCAGAAGCAAAAGAACTGGTGACTTTGGCCAGCCTGACCGCCAGGGCCTCTAGCTTTGAGGCTCTTACTGTGCCTGCATCCAGCTGCCTTTGCTGGTTTGCAACTTTGCATAAAGGGAAGCGGCAGAGGTGCGTGAGGCGCGTGACCTCAGTACTTGCTCTTCTCAGGTGGGTGCGCTGGCCGTCAGTGGGCAGCGGGAAGACGAGAATCCCCACGACGGGGAGCTGACCTTCTTAGGGAGGGTGCTGGCACAGCTCCCTGTCAATCAGCAGCTCGGGAAGCTCATCGTCCTCGGGCACATCTTTGGCTGTCTGGACGAGTGTCTCATCATTGGTGAGCTGCTGCCGAGGGGCGGCCAGGGGCGCGGATGGCCAGACCCACTCACGGCCTCTTTCTTTCATTAGCGGCAGCTCTCTCGCTGAAGAACTTCTTTGCGATGCCTTTTAGGCAGCATCTCGATGGCTACAGGTACTTGACGGTCATGTTTTACCTTCTTGGTTTGTGACCACACTGAGCAGTTCTCAGGGCTTCTGACTCTGCATTCAGGGATCACTCCGGGAAGGGTCAGAGGACCATGTGGGATGCAGGGATTGAATCGAGGTTGGCCGTGTGCAAGACAGATGCTCCTCCCCCCCCCCCCCCCCCCCCGCTGTACTGTTATTTTGGCTCAGTGTTCATATTTTCAGTTGTCCCTTGGTCTAGTGAAGGGCAGTGACACTCATGTATCTGTCTCAGGAACAAGGTGAGCTTCTCCGGCAGCAGTAAGAGTGACTGCATTGCACTCGTGGAGGCATTTAAAGTAAGTCCTGGCACCGCGCTCCTCCCTGCTGTCTGCCCTCAGCACCCCCTTTCCTGGAAAGGTGATCAGGAGGTGCCCCCCAAGCTGTCTACCCAGAAAGAGTCGAAGGGGGGAGTCCATGTTTCTGAAGCATATTGGGAAGGTTCACTCAGAAGCTTGCCGGGGTCAGTGTGTTGGGACAGACTCAAGGACGTGACGGGTCTCACCTCGCGCTGCTTTTCTTTAGACCTGGCAGTCGTGCCGCCAGAGAGGAGAGCTGCGCCATCCCAAGGTGGGTAGCAGCGGCCCTCGGGCTGCTCTCTGGTGTGGGTGTCCCTGGAAGGACTCCCCTCCTGTCGCTGTCGCCGCTCCTCAGGAGCCTGTGTTACAGCTTACCCTGTTCGGCAGTGAGAACCAGAAGCCTTTCCTTCTGTGGCTGGCAGGCCTGCTGTGGGCGCCAAGCTCAGAGAACACAGCCCTTAGCGTTCATTTAAAAAGTTTTCCTGGGCCTGGATCTATAGAACCGAGAAGGCCGAGGAGGAGAAGGGGCGTGTCTGTCTGTGCAGTCTCTTCTCCTAGTGCTGTGTCCTGCCCTTCCCGGAGCAGTTCACCTTTAAGGCGCCCATCAGAAGGCAGCATGAGAGTTTGCCTGTTGGCAATTGTTAGTACCATGTTGGAAAAGATATGGGTGTGATAGTCATCAGATTCATCTGTTACATTAAACACTGTTCTTTTATGTATTTAAAGGATGAGCTTGATTGGGGGCGATTAAATTACATTCAGATCAAAAGAATCAGAGAGGTAAGTTCTTTGCAAATTCTTTAACTTGCTAATGTTTATCAAGCACCATAGTACCAGCAGTCACGGTCACGGTCACAGTCCTCCCGTTGTTCATTGATTTGCTCTAGCGGGCCCAGTAACGTCTCCATCATGAGACTTGTTACTGTATTTGGCATATTGAATATATCATGGGTAGCTTGCCAGGCTTTGCCATGCGGGCAAGATACTCTCGGTAGCTTGCTGGGCTCTCCGAGAGAGGCGGAAGAATTGAACCCAGCTTGACTGGACCGGCTGCGCTCAAGGCAAATGCCCTACTGCTGTGCTATCGCTCCAGCCCAAATACCGGCAGTACAGATGGAAATGAGGGTTCCGTGAAGCACATCCCTAGGCCAGTGTTAGTCTTATTTTATACGTAGACGTACACGTGAAAAGCAGTTCTTTTTATACATCCTAGAAGTGTATCTGTTATAATTGTGCATAATAAAAATTACATATATTGCCTAATTTGTATAATTATGTATTGTCATATCTTTATATACATAGTTCCAAGGAATATTGAAATGTTTAAATTTCTCTTTAAAAATTTTGAACTGTCAAAATTATAAAAAGAAATACTTCACAAATGATTTCTTCCTTTTTCTGTCTCCGAGTGTCTAAGTGCTTGCACTTCTCTTCGTTTCTTGGGTCAGTGGGTGAGTTGTGGCCTCACTGGTGCATAAGGACTGGGGGTGGCTTGTGGGTCTGATTTGTGGTTAAGGTTCTTCATCCTGGAGGTGCAGGGTAGGAGAGCAGGTGTGGGCCTAGGGCTGCCTTGTTCCTCGAAGGCCTGTCCTGGACCTGGACAGTTCTTGCAGTGAACTGTCCTAGCCACTCTGTGTGACGGCAGGCACACAGGATTGCCTGTCTGGGTCACGTGCTGCCCCTGCTGAGTTCTGGTCGTTTCTGCACTACCACTGATGTCCAGGCTGTTGGCACTCAGACTCTTCTCGGGGCATGCCCCACACTTAGGGACCAGACCTGTTGTGGAATCACAGCCCATGGTCGCGCCACCTCCACTACTGCTTTGCTGAGGCCCTGACTGTCTCTCAGACAACTCACTCGTACTGGAGTGGGAACCCCTTTTTGTCTTCCACAGATGAGTAATTTTTTAACGCCTCGAGCTGTCTAAAATTTGAAAGGATTGTGTTTGTTTTTTTATTTGGGGGAACCTCCAAACAGTGCTCAGGGTATCTCCTTGGCTAGATGTGCCAGTGGTTAAGTGCATGGACCCGAGGATGGTACAGCTCAGGTCCTGTGTACTGGGAATGATCTGGGTTCCCATGTATAGGGTGCCAGGGTCCAACCTAGGACATCTGTGTATAAGGCACAACATGTACTCTCTCTCTGCCCAGTTGTGACTTGTGTTTTATTACAGCTAGGTGTTGTATTTGCTGAGGGGGAGCTATTAGTGCCTGGCCCCTTAGATCATTTTCAGAAGCAGTGTGTTCTCATGGCAGAGGCTGTGCCAAAGTGACCAAGCACAGAGCGTGCTCATGCCGTGACCATTCTGGGCAGATATTTGCAGTCGTCTCATGTCGCATATGCGGTGGGGCAGATGCATTTGTAGCAGTTTGGCACTCGTGCCTGTGAGCTGGAGTATGCCTAGGAGCAGTGCCACTGTGTTCTCGATGCCGTGTGCCATGCTGTGCTGCCATCCTTTCCTTCCGGTGGCTCTTCAGGAGGTGACCTGGATGAGCTTCAGGCCGCCCCACCCTAGAAGAAGAAAACCACTTTGCCCTGGGCACCGAGCTCTTGGCAGAGGTCTTATACATTGACTTGCAGTGCGTTTCCCTCAGGTGGCGGAATTATATGAAGAACTGAAGAACAGAATCTCCCAGTTCAATATGCACGTGGACTCTCGAAGGCCTGTCCTGGACCAGGAGTACATCTACAAGCAGCGCTTCATCCTCCAGGTGTGTGGGCCCTCCGCCTGGGCTGACGTGCCTTATGCTGATCGCTGCTCTGGGGCTGGGGTGGACGGGAGGACTCCCCCTTCCTAGGACACCATGCCTCTGCCCCGAGGAGATTGTAAGTCCCCCCCCCCCATCCCCCATTGATGATATGCTGAGAATAGGAAACACTTTGGCCTAGTTTCGGTTTCCCATGTCCATGAGTCCGGCCTCCAAGGCTTGTCTCTGCGGGCTGCAGCAGAGTGAGAGTGCTCGCAGTGGTGTTCAGCTAGACTGAGCATCCCCTGGGAACCCTGGTGACTGTGATCAGCTTTGCTTGTTGAATGGGATTCTAGGAACATGTGTCCTCGAAAGGTGCCACGAACTTCCTAAGTGATCCATAGAGGGGATGGCGGGAGTGTGTGCAGCATCACAGTGTGTGTGTACATGTGTGTGCTGCTCTTGTAGCTGGGTCATACCAGTGGAATTTTAGGTAGATGCTTGGAATTGGAGTAATGATGGCAAGCGGAGCATTTTCCTTGGATTTCAGCTTGTTTGGAGGTTGTGTAGGGAGCAAGTATTCCACAAGTGCCTGTCTCCAGTGGGATGTTTCAGTGAAGAAGGGACTAGATGCTGGCTGCCTCTAGATGTTCGCTGCCTTGATGAGTGCCCCATTTGGGATTTGACCATCAGCAGTGCATGTCATGAGAAGGGAATGGATGGGCTGTTCTGGAATCTTGTGTCCCAGCATTGTATTTGCTGAACTGCCTTCTGAGTCCTGCTGTAGCACCTCTGAGGAGAGGCTGTGCGGAGAATGCCGCATGGAGAAGCCTGTGAACTTGGACTCCATTTGTAAAAGGCCTAGGCTTTTTATCGAGTTGTCCTTTGTGTGTGACATAACACACACACACACACACACACAGTGTGTCCTTCCAGGATAAGGCTGGGATGTTAGTGAGAATTGGAGGCAAAACAATGCTGTTACTGCATGAAATGAATTTCTCTTCCAGGTTGTATTGGCAGGTGCTTTTTATCCAAATTACTTCACTTTTGGGCAACCCGACGAAGAGATGGCCGTGAGGGAGCTGGCTGGCAAAGACCCAAAGACGACCATAGTGGTAGGTGGAGGGGGCAACCCTCCCTCTGGGGGGGACAGGGCCACCAGTTCTCAAAGGGCTTGGTTTCCAAGGGGCCCACACAGAGCATTTGCCTTCTCTACTGATTTCTAAGTACAAAGTGGATTTTACCCCCTGCTGTAACTATTGTGACATGTCTGATCCTTTACCTTTAGTAGACCAGCCTTAAAGGAAAGCTCGGGCAGTCACGTGTCTGTGGCTTTTGAAGCTCAGTCCTGTGGGCCTTTGTGACAGATCTTCTAGTTCGAAGGACAGTTTATCATTAGGGAGAAGACTCACAGAGAAGTGGCACAGATGCTGCAGGGACCCTGATCAGTTCTGGCATTACAGGGTCCCTCCCCCAGGCATCCCTGGGAGTGACCCTGAAGCACTGACCCACGAGTAATTCCTCAGCAACTTCAATTTACAAAGGGGAATGTTTGGTACAGTAGTTTAGTCTGCCCTGCCTGCCAGGGTCACCCCTCCGGTTTCAGTGTTTGTGGGATTGCACCCTTAGTGGTGGTGCTTGCACATGTGCTTGCCCAGGGTCATACAATTTGGGGACAGGATTTGGGCCATACCTGGTAGTGTTCAGGAGCTAATCACGCTCACTTGTGCTTAGACATTTGTAACCCTGGTCATAGTGTACCTCCACTTTTAGTGGGTGGTGCTTGCTGGAGTTACACTTTTTCCTGGTCGTGCTCACTTACACCTGGGTGCAGGCCAGACACTGCATGCTCAAGGAGCACTTGGGGGTTCCAGAGAGCTGAGGCACCAGAACCCCACTCACCTCACATGGGAAGTCCTGGTGATTGAACCTGAGACCTCATGCTTCTAAACCGGGAACTTTTGCCATAAGCTATTCCCCAGGCACCAGTGGTTTAAACTGGTCCCCAGACATGCACTCAGCAAATAACTTAAGAGACTGATTAATTTTTGATTTCATGTTTGAGGACCACAGGCCACAGAACCGAACCAGCTTGAAATGAGTAGTGTTTTTGCATGCATGTAGTGATCAGCCACAGCATTGAACGTTGGGTGGACATTGTGGACCTTTGTTCAAGTCTGTGCCTTTACTGAACAAAGGGATCAAGAGCCACATAGTCAACAATCGGACAGTGCCATGGACTGAGAGATGAGTCCCCGAGGAGAGTTGCCTGATGGTGGGGGCCTTCCGGAGACATTGGAAGAGAGCCTGGAGGTGGGGGTGCTGGCACTCAGGCTGCAGAGGAGAGGACTCTCCTCTCTGCCAGAGTCCTGTTGGCAGTGATCTCCAGTGTCTTTGCTCGGTCCCAGGAGACCACATTCCCCTCTGAGCCTGCCCGCCCCATCTCCTGTATCCCTGCTGTGGCAGAGGGGTCTCAGGTGGTGCTTTGTGGCTGAATTGGAGCCTTTAGCACCTAGTGGGAGGAGAAGTGCCTCGACCCGGGCAGGTGAGGGTCAGTGTACTCTGAGAGGTGTGAGACTGTGGTGAGGAGGTAGTGCTCCCTTCTCTAGCGAGAGGGGCATTGGCCTCCCAAGCTCAAGTCCCTGCGCGTCATGGGAGCTATGAGGTTCACCTCATGGGAGCCGCGAGCTTGAAGCAGATGTGTCTCATCAGCCTGTCACTGTAAGGCTGAGAATAAAGACAGCGGCTGGCAACGGCTCAGTGTAGGGTACATATGGATGGCCTGACGTTCCATTCCCTACACCAAACCCAAACCAAACCAGGAAGCAGTGTTTTTCCTTATTTCTCTGTATTTGACTTTTGGATTCTTCAGCATGGGAAATTCATCTTTAGAATCTGTGTTCAGACAGTTCTAACTGGTCACTCCACGTCTGTCGAGCCTGCATCTTCCAGATGAAGGAGAGTGTTGGATGCAGGGCAGAGGTGTGCACCTTAGGTGATGCAACCCAGTGTGAGCATGCATCAACCCACACTGGGTTGGTACTGATGACTGCTGTTCTGTTTTACAGTTGAAGCACATCCCTCCCTATGGATTTCTCTACTACAAACAGATGCAGTCTCTCTTCAGACAGTGTGGGCAAGTCAAATCCATCGTGTTTGATGGGGCAAAGTAAGTGTGACACTTTGTCATCCCCTGAAGTTAGGACAGGGGCCAGGGTGAGAAGTAGGAACCCGTAGGAACTAGCCTGCTGAGGTTGGCCTGGGCGCTCAGCAGTGTGGAGGCCCGGGACAGGATTTCAGCACTAGCGGGCTGTTGGAAGGAATCTTGGCTGAAGGAACAAATAGCATGTTTTGGAGAATTGCTTCGAGTTTTAATATCCAAGATGGAAGTTTATGCACAGAAAAGGTTGATAGTTTTTAACTGATTCTGAGTTTGTGAGTTAGAATTTTTTCTAGTATCCTATAGATTTATATTTATGTTTATTGGTCTAGTCTAAATGAACTCAATTTTGTTCAATTACGTATGCATCACCTTCTAATTTGGATTGATTCCTCCAACATTTTAAGTTCCATGGTCAATAATTCATTTTCTTGCTAAACACATCAGTCCCTCACAAAGTTAACCCCCTCCCCAGCAAATTGTTCAAAAACACATCCAGATACAAATCAGACTTAGTGAGTTTCGTCAGTGCTCTGGTAGAGAACAAAACGCCAAACTTCCCATGCCTGTCTTAGCTCCCTGGTCTGAAACAGAGCCCTTTGGTAGAGGTGGACCTCAGCAGAGGGGGCTGTGTGTGCCGCGGGGCTGGTTCTTTCCTAGCCTCCTGAGTGTCCAGTGTCAGAGCTGGCCACAGTGACCAATCTTTACTTTTGCACTGGGGTCTGTGGGATTCATCTTCCTCTTGTCTGGGAGCTCTTGGTGTTTGCAGTCCATTCTCAGGCCAGTCACCTGTAGCTGAAACGAGGACGCTACAGAAATGGGAACTGGTGTGAGACGGTTCCTCTGGGAGCTCAGTGCAGCCTCCCCGCAGCAGTGGAGCCTCTGTACATGGGTGCACCCAGTATCCTCTGATGCTGGAGAAGGACGAGCTTCCAAGCCTGTGGGGGAGTGTCCTGGCAGAGAACCAGGGCCCGGGCAGGGCTTGTTGGGGTGCAGTAGGGACCCTCGGCCGGCAGCTGACCCTCGACCCAGCTCCGGGTGCAGTTCTTCTGGTGGTGAGTGGCTAAAAGATGACTGTGAGCGTGAGTGGATGCGCACTTGGAGCCCCTTGAGAGCTCTGATCTGATCTGTGCTTTGTGGAAGTTGATCAGGGAACAATGAGGAGCAGAGGAGGCCACCCAGAGTCTCTGTGATGTTCCCAAGCGTGAGGAGTGTCACTGCGAGCCAGTGAGGTGATGGTCTACCCTAGGTGGGGGAGGGGGGTCCTGGAGGGGTTCCTTCCAGCTGGGTGTTGATTAGGATGGGGCACCGCCCAGGTCTGGCTCCTTCTGTACTCACGGGAGGTTCCAGTATGGAATGCAGCTGGAACTCAAGTCCAGGGCTTCTAAGGTGACACAGAAACCGCTAGAGAAAGATGGCACAGGTGAACAAATCAGGCGGAGGATAGGCAGAAAATGCTTGTGTTCAATGTGAGGAACGGCCAGGACTGGCAAGAGGGCTGAAAAGGGAGCAGAGGGCAACAGGTGAATGGGGGAGGCATAAGAGGGTGTGGGGCAGCAGCACACTGCAGAGCGGAGGGGCCAAGGCAGGGCAGGCAGAGAGCCATCACTAAGAGGCGGCTGTTGTGTCCCTGGGTGGCGCCCAGCCAGTGGCCCACTGTTGCCCTGTCACTGGGGATCACGCACTGTGACAGCGAGGCGGGCTCAGGCTCCTTTTGGCTACCTTGGGTTTTGTTTCCTTTTGGGGTGGTCCACCTGTTGGTGTCCAGGGGCCCTGGGGCCAGCTGTGCTTAGGGATCAAAGGCACGGCCTCACACAGGGTAGGCCTGTGACCTGCCGCTTGTTCAGCCCAGGGTGCAGAGACCTTCTGCTCTTCACATGTAAGCACATGGCAACACAGCAACATAGACATCCCAGCACTGGGATTCTCACCCTATAGTCAGGGCTGTTCTAGGACTCCAGGGGGTGGGAGGGATTGGTAACTAGCCGGAGGGCAATCACGCGCTCAGAGCTGTACTCTGAGTGCTTTTCCTTGTGTTTCATAATAAAATGGTGTCGAAAGAAAAATAGAAAATCCCCTGCTTTTTAGAAATAATTATTAGAATTAAGATTTCTCAACTGAAAATTCCTTATGAACTGCTTGATGTGCATTGTACTGCATCACACATAAAAGAACAGTTGGTATTAGTCTTACAACTGCGCTCTCTAATTATTGTCTGAACTTCTCAGGGGAGTGTGGCTGATTCTTTGAGGAGGGGGCGGCTGAGCGTCGCTGTCACACTTTGCTGGAGGCTGAGCAGTGACTGCAGGTCTCAGGTGCCGTGTCTCCTTTTCCATTTCCATTTATGAGCAGAGCTTTTGTGGAATTTTCACGGAACCCGACGGAGAGATTTAAAACTCTTCCTGCTGTGTATATGGCAATTAAGATGTCCCAGCTGAAAGTCTCCCTGGAGCTCAATGTTCACTCTGCAGAGGAAATTGAAGGGAAGGTGCAAGGAGGAACGGTCTCAAAACTCAGGAATACCCGGTATTTGGGGACTCGGGCAGGCCTTTTCAGGAGTAACTAAGGGAAGACATTGAACTGTTCTAATGCTTACATTGAGAGCTTCGCGATTGCAGGCACTGGTGACCTCCTGACTGAGTGCTGGGCACATTCCTGGGCCTCCTGCTCTCAGCTAAAGTGATTTTCCATTAAGGGGACCTAGTAGAATAATGAGATTTTCTATTTAGGTAGTAGAGATTGAACCAGCATTAGTTTCCTGCCTTTCACCCATGCTAGGCATGTGCTTCCTCTTTTAAGCTATCTCCTTCAAGCCCCATTATTTCTTGTAATTTTTTGAGGAATTTGAGAAATGGGTGAGGAAGGGAGGAACTATGACTAGTTGGATCCGGTATGAGGGTTTGGGTTCCAAGAGTTGGAAACTGTGGTGGCCTCCATCTGTGTTGCGGAAAGACTATCCTGCTGGCTACCTCGGCCACTTTGCCACATACCAAGAGAGAGAATGTGGCCAAGTCAGGGAGAGCAGGGTCAGCCTCTCTTCCCTCACTTCAGAACAAAAGAGTTTGAAAGAGAACATTTGTATTTTATCAGTGTTTCTCCTGATGTCCCTTTGGCTGCCTGGCGGGGAAGAGTTGAAAGCATTACTTGGGTAGAGAATTGGGTATGTCTTTCCCAAAGCAGCATTGAACCAGACATGGGTTTCTGTCCTGTTCTGGTTGCTTGCTTTAGGGCCATGCCTGGTTGTGCTCGGGCCTTAATCTCAACTCGGCATTCAGGGATCAGTACTGGCAGTACTGGGGATTGATCCTGGAATGGCCCCATGCAAGGCAAATGCCCTAGCTGCTGTACTATTGGCTCTTACCCTCCTGTGCTGTCCTGGAGGCCAGAGCTGCTTACATCTGGAACTTGTTGGGAAGAGTGTACCTTTTAGATTGGGATTAAGAGCCTTTCCTGAAATCGCACGTTTTTGAAGAGCCTTGACCTTGAGACTAGGTTCTGAGGTGTGGTATGTGATTCTCAGCTCCTCCTGAGCAGCCAAGGAAGCCACTGGAAACTCCTGTGTGGGGTGAAGTCGCATGCGTATTGTTTTAGATGTTTTGAACATCTTCCAGTAAACCATTCTCCTGTGGGCCTGGGGTGATAGCTCAAGTCCTGGGGCACATGCTTTGCCACTTTAAGGTCCTCATTCCATCCCCAGCCCTTCATGCTGCCTCCCTGCTCCACTGCAGGTGCCCCTGTCGAAACCTCCTTTCACTTAGAGACAGTAGCTGTTTAGGTAATAACTCAAGTGTAAATGTTATTCTTGGTTTATATTTTGATCGCATTAAACAGGGTGAATGTGGACTTTCAGAAGCAAACAGTAGATCCTATGCAAGTCTCATTCAACACACTGGACAGGTCGCAGACAGTCACAGACATCCTGCTGACAGTCGATGTCACTGAGGTGAGAAGGGGGCACAGAGTCCTGGCGTGTGTTCTCCTGGTCTCGGCTTACCATGATGTCTGCAAGCACCCATGCTTGCCAGTCCAGTGGTGGAGCTCAGATTTCTCTACTGGCTAAGTCGAATGTGGAAATAACAGAAAGTGAAACACAAATGTTTATTCTAGAAGTGAAATTTAACTTTTAGAAGATCACGTGTATTTCAAGTGCTAAAGTATTCTATTTGAGGGGGACTGGAGAGAGAGGACAGCAGGTAGGGCACTTGCACACAGCTGACCTAGAGTCCATCCCTGGCATCCCATATAGTTCCCGGGGCACCGCCAGGTGTGACTCCTGAGTGAGTGCAGTGTCAGGAGTAATCCCTGAGCATCTCCAGGTGTAGCCCAAAAACCACTACCACAGCAAAAATTCTCTTTTACCCAGAAGATAAGTTGCAGTAATGCTGTCTACTTGTGTAACACAGCTTAGAGCAGCAATGCCACCATATGCCTGAGAGGGGAGATTTTTTACTTGCAGAAAATGAAGTTTATATTAAAAGGCATAGATGTTTCCTGTTGAATGGAAAGTCTCCCCCTGCTTTATTTAAACATGTTTTACAAAGTCCAAGACCTTGGACTCTAGGCTCAGCGGACCCAGGACAGAGATTCTCTGCTTACTCCCACCAACCACAGGTGACGAAGGGATTATAATCAGGAGCCCCACCCTACCCTGCCCTGTCTGCTTCCACCAACCACCAGAGCCCCAGGGATTGGATTGCGCACAGAAGACCCACCCTACCCCTACCGGGACCAGATAAATACCTCGACCTCCACTACCGACACTACCTCCACTACCCAGCCGCCGCCACACTCCAGGATGCTTTCCAGACACGTGCAGCCTCAAAGCAGCTGCACGACACATTATAAGACACTAAATACCCATCTTCTGGAATTGTCGTACCGTATTTGATAGGGTTCAAGTATGGGAACACAAGGGCGATTAGAAGTCGCCCCAAAAGCCTCTATCCCTCTCGGAAAGCCTGGCAAGCTACCAAGAGTATTCTGCCCGCATGGCAGAGCCTCGCAAGCTATCTGTTGTGTATTCGATATGCCAAAACCAGTAATTACAATGGGTCTCATTCACCTGACCCTGAAGGCTTCACCAATATGGCAGCATTGAGAAGGAAGAGAAAGGAGAGGCCAATAAAATCTCAAGGCCGAACTAGGCTGCCACAACGAAGGAAGACAAAAATGATCGGCTCTACTTTTAATGCACATATGCTAGCATCAGATGCATCCATCGAGGACCTGATGGTACAAGCATGAAAGATCAAGTATGACATCATTGGTCTGACCAAGACAAGAAGGCACCAATCTCATCATGCCATTTTCAACACTGGAGAAGAATTGTTCCTCGGAACATGCGATAAAAGAGGTGTCGGAGGCGTCGGTGTCCTTGTCAACACGAACTTGGCCATGAGCATTGCTTCATTCGAATGTCTAACAACCCGAATCAGACGTTTACATTTGAATAGATGTGGCTCACTGCCGGCAGTTTCTATCTTCGTTGTCTACGCACCAACATCTCATTATGATGAAAGACAAATTGAGAAGTTCTACATGGAGCTGGAGAAGTTCTATAAAGAAGACCACACCTTCTACAAGATCATTGTGGGTGATTTTAATGCCAAGATAGGACCGAGAAGATCAGCTGAAGAACTTCACATCGGGACCCATGGCCTAAAATGGAACGAACAGGGTGAGAGACTGTCTGAGTTTATCATGTCAACCAAGACCATCCATGGTAACTCACAGTTCCAGAAGGCAGAATCTAAACGTTGGACATGGGAGTCTCCCGGTGGATGATTCCACAGTGAAATAGACCACATCATATTCAATCGACGGTTTTGCCTGACCAATGTCGCTGTTGATTCCAAACGGGATCGGACCACCATCTCCTTCGTGCAAAATTCTACTTCACAGAGCGGGGAGAAAGGGCTGCAAAGTTCAAAAAGAGAACTCCCAGAACGACCACCAACTGGGAGCTCTTTGGCACTATTGCGGCAACATGGGAAGATGCCATTGTTGATAACATTGACGAGGAATACAATCGACTGGTTCAGCACCTCCATGAATGTACGAGGAACGCCAAGAGAGAGATAGCCACAAAAAAACTCCTGTCTTCGAAAACTCTTGAGCTTATTCACCAGCGTGGTTTGGCGCAAGCTAACGTCCGAGCTCGCAAAGCAGTGCAGAGATGTGATCAAGGAAGACCTCAGAAGAGCAGAAGTGCTGGTGGATGCGGCCAAAGCCGGGAAAAGTATTCGTAACGCCCGCCTGTCCTTCACCAACTACAAGACCAAGATGACTGCCCTCCGACGTCCTGATGGATCCATCACATCTTCCAGAACGGCAATAGAGAAGATTATCCATGACTTCTACTCAAATCTCTTCGATAGCCATGTCCACTTGCCGACATACCAAATTCCACAGGATGGATATGTCGATCCCAATGTTCTCCCTTCTGAAATCCAACACGCCATTTTGTCAGTAAAGAAACGAATAGCACCCGGCCCAGACAAGGTCAAAGACCTGAACACCTTAAGAACCTGCCGTCAGTACTCATCAATACGCTGGCTCGGCTCTTCACATGCTACCTGTCTGAATGGAAGGTTCCGGCCCAATGGAAAACCAGCAGGACTGTACTACTGTACAAGAAGGGAGACATCCATGACATTGGCAACTATCGCCCGATCTGCCTATTGTCTGTCATCTACAAGTTGTTCACTCGAGTCATCCTAAATAGGATTGGCAGAACACTAGATGAAGGACAACCATGCGAGCAAGCCGGGTTCTGCAAAGGATTCAGCACCATCGACCATATCCACACGATAACCAAGCTCATTGAGGTTTCTTGGGAGTTCAAGATGCCGCTCTGTCTAACGTTCGCTGATTTAAAGAAGGCCTTTGATTCTGTTGAGACGGAAGCGGTCATTGAAGCCCTAGCCAATCAGGGCATTCAAGCCCAATACATCAGGATCCTCCGTGAGCTGTATTGCGGATTCACTACCAGGATCTCACCATTCTACAAAGAAGTGATTGTTGATGTCAAGAGAGGGGTGCGGCAGGGTGATACCATTTCACCAAAACTCTTCAGTGCCACCCTCGAGAACATCATGCGATGACTGGAATGGGAAGGAATGGGAGTGAAGATAGATGGTCGGCAACTACACCACCTCCGCTTTGCTGATGACATTGTTTTAATAACACCAAACATCAGCCAAGTGGCACAAATGCTGGCCGACTTTGACCGTGAGTGTGGAAAGGTCGGACTACAGCTGAATCTTACGAAGACAATGTTTATGAGAAACAGCCTCGTTCCTGATGCTCCGTTCACTCTCAACAGAACGACCATCTCCGAATGCAACAGTTATGTGTACCTAGGTTGAGAAGTCAACATGATGAATGACCTGGCACCCGAGCTGCGCAGGAGGAAGAAAGTGGCTTGGAATGCCTTCAAGAGCGTCGAAGAAATAGCTAAGAGGATGAAGAACCTCTGGCTCTGGGCACATCTCTTTGATTCCACTGTTCTTCCTACACTAACATACGCCTCAGAGACCTGGGCCCTACGCAAACAGAATGAGAACGCTATTCGAGTCTCCCAAAGAGGAATTGAAAGAGCTATGCTTGGAATATCACGTTTCACTCAAATGAGAGAAAGAATCTGGAGTTACGACCTCCTTCGACGATCAAGAATCAGGGATGCTGTCTTGTTTGCCAAGGTGTCAAAAATCAGATGGGCTGGTCACGTAATGAGATTTAAAGACGACCACTGGACTAGAGCTGTTACCGACTGGATTCCACAGGATGTCGAAAGACCGCGTGGCCGCCCACCTACTAGATGGTCAGACTTCTTCATCAAGATCATGAACGATCGGTTTGAGGCTCTTCATGTTCCTAGAGTGAACAGACACCACTGGGCTACACTAGCACGCGACAGGGACAAAGGAGACGTTACTGGCGCCCACTCGAGCAAATTGATGATTAACGGGAAGTCAAGTGATCAAGTGATCGTTTTACAAAGATCTGTTACAGTTGTTCAGTATTCCAGCATGAGTAGCACCTCTACTGTCTACCCTTGTTTCCGTTTTCCCAGCCATTTTATTTGATACTGCTTATCGTTAAATGGCTAACTATTGATAAAAATATTTCCATAGGAAAAAATTGTTATACCCCACCTTGGGAACACACCAAGTCTTTGTCTGAGGTTTTATTAAGCTGTGGTTGCAAGTTAAGCCTTCTGTATTAATGTTTTTGTTAGTTGAGACTTTTGGCTTCTGTGTTACATTCCCTTTGGGGAGATTTTGTGAGGGTACTTCAAGCTGTCAGTGCACTGGGGACTGAGGGCTATTCCCTGTGATCCTTGGCCAGTGTGACCAGACAGCTCCATGTTCAAGGTGATGCTTGGGAGCTTCCTGGAATCACCCAGCAATGCTCAGGGGCCCCTGCGGTGCTGGGAGTGAGATTAGAGTAGTCCTGGCAAGGCTGTGTCCCTGGCCCTTGCGCTAGCTCCCTGCCCTTCTGGTGAGTGCACAGCTATGCTTCAGTGGGGACTTACCGCAGAAATGTGACTGCCGTGCTCCCCTGGCCATCTGCTCCCCCATCCCTCCTGCCGTCCTCGCTGCTGATCCTGGTCCGTAGTGGTCTGAGGAAGCCTGCATCAGGGCAGGGCTTTCAGAGTCCTCTTTCCTTGGCTCTCAGCCCTGAGCATTTCAGCTCAGGGCGGGGCAAGGGGGTAGGATGCGTGCACTTCTCCCCTTCGTTGGCCAGGGAACCCCCTTTCCCAGAAACCCCTTCCTGTTGAGTCTGTTGGCACCTTCTGAGCTGAAGTGCCCTTCCCAGGAACACTTTCTCAGTCTCCATCCCTGTGCGCTCCTTTTCCAGGTGGTTGAAGTGGGGCACTTCTGGGGCTACAGGATTGATGAGAAGAACGCGGAAATTCTGAAGAGACTGACTGCTGAGATCAACCGGCTGGAGTTGGTGCCCCTGCCCGCTCACCCTCACCCAGACTTGATGTGTCTGGCCCCTTTCACCGACTCCCATAAGGAGAGCTACTTTAGAGCTCAGGTCCTTTATGTCTCTGGACATTCTGCTGAGGTACGATTTTCATCACAAATCTTGCAAAGGGAGGTGAGAGCAACTTATAAGCAGTTTGTCGAACAGTCTCGAATCTTCAGCAGAAACTAAGTATAGATAATGACCCTTAGAAAATGTATCCTGCTGGCTTTCCTTCAGTAGCGCCCTGTGGCGTTTGGGCCCAGGCCTGCAGGGTGCTGAGGACAGAGCATCAGCACAGCATGTGACTGGAGCGTGCTCTCTGCCCAGGTGTTCTTCGTGGACTATGGGAACAGGGCCCACGTGGACCTGAATCTGCTGATGGAAATTCCCTGTCAGTTCCTTGAGCTTCCGTTCCAGGTAAGACAGTCTTGCTTCACTCCTGGGCGAAGGGGCTGCAGCTCAGTGGGTGGGCAAGGCCCAGGGAAGGAACTTGTTTAACCACATCAGCCAAACTCAGGTTCCCTCTCTTGGATGCTCTGCCCAGACTCTTCGAGTAACTTAAGGTATATGAACGGCTATAGATAAAGACACTTGAAGTTGATGCTTTCTAGTACTAGATGTAAGGTGGTGGTGATATCAAATAAGAACTTAGGTGGATTTGGAGACCGGCTCACCGCTCATCAATGGAAATGATTGCAAAGCTATTCTAAACCTTTATGGCAGGTTGTGGGGCAGGCTCACCCAGCAGAGCTCAGATGTTACTCCAGTCTCTGCACTCAAGAATTAACTACTGGCTATGCCTGGAAGACCTTATGGTCTTCCAGGATCTAGCCTAGGTCAGCCTCTAAACCTCTTTGTTGTTAAAAAGTTGAAAGCAGAGCCTGGGGGCTGGAACTCAGTTGTCAAGCACATGCCCGGAATGAAGAGCTCTGGCTTCCAACTTGAGCGCTGCTCTAGAAAAAGTAAAACCTTTTTAAAATATCCCATGGGAAGTGCTCGTTTACCCTGCCATTGCGGGTACTGGGCATCTGTGAGCATGCTGATGAAAATTGGTATGGGGACTGTCTCGTGGTCCTCTGTAGACAATTCCATTCATTCACAGAACTACTGCTGCCACACTCTTCTGTTCCTAGGCTTTGGAATTTAAGATCTGCAGAATGCGGCCGTCTGCCAAGTCCCTCGTGTGTGGCGAGCACTGGAGTGGCAGAGCCAGCCAGCGCTTCACCTCCCTGGTGCAGGGCTGCACGCTCCTGGTGAAGGTCTTCTCCGCCGTACACAACGTCCTGCATGTGGACGTGTACTGCTGCTCCGGGGTCCAGGATGCTGTCAACATCCGGGACATCCTCATCAGGGAGGGCCATGCCGAGCTCGCCGAGGAGCCCTATGAGTCCAAAGTACGTGCCTTCCTTCTCTGTCCTGGCTGCGGGCCAGTGTGTGCGGGACAGCCAGGGGCCAGCATGAGCATGCGAGTTCTCTCCAGTCAGGATGTGAGAGCAAATGCAAGACGGTTCTCCTCTGCATCCAGCGCGCACGCACACACACATGCACATACGTACAAACATTCATGCACGCACACATTCACAGACAGGCACGCACACATACAAATGCACACAGGCCAGTTAAGATCTGCTGCTCCCACACATTTTCCAGTACTCAAATGTATTTCTTCCAGACTGAGTCATGGTGTTCTGTTGGTTTTCTGTTGGTTCAGCTCAGCTCGTAGTTCTTAAAATGATGGTTAATTTGAAAATATCCTCTGGAGAATTTATTTTTCATGGATGTATTCCCTAATGGAAGGAATTAGAGAACTACTTTAATCATTCAAAAATGTTTCCCACCTGTTTCAAGGTTATTCCTGAAGCTGTTTTTCTTGGTTTGAAGGGGTCAGAGATGCCAGCCTTACTCTTTTCAACTTTCTCTTGTTGCTGCTCTTAAATCACACACTGCGGTCACGGGGACAGTGTGGATGCTGGGGATAGAAATTGGGGTTCCTGCACTCAGAGCACGTGCATTGCCCTTCAGGCCCTCTCCCTTTGCTGTTTTCAATTTCCTAATGATTGGGAGGTAGTGAAAGTGAACTGAGCCTCCTACAGTGAATTTACCTTTAAAAAAATTTTTTTTAAATGTACTCGATCTTTTTCTCTCCTAAAATTTTAATAATCTGTAGATATGCTAAAGCTAAAAATAAGGTTGTGACAGTGAATCTCTGTGGTGTTTTGACTGAAATGTTCTTAATGCAATTTTTTTAATTTAGTAAAATGAATTTTTCTTACTTTGTTCAGCAAAGCCATGAAGTTCTCAAGGATCTCTTTTCCAAATCAGTAGAAACGGTGGCAGACATGTCTGTGCCATCCCCCGTGAAGGATGATGAGAAGTTTCTGATCCGGATCTTACTGGAGAGCTTTTCTGCCAATAAGCTGGGGGCGCCCAACTGCAAGGTAGTCAGCAGGAGATGGCCGTCCTCACAGGCACCAAGCTTCACGCATACATGTTGCCAGCATCACTTCCTCCCTCGTGTCCCAAGGCCCCTTCCTGTCCACCCCCCAGCCCTGCTACACTTAGTCCTGTAGACCAGGTTCGGGTCTGGTCAGGTACTGCTTCTGTCCCTCAGATGAGATGGACCATTCTGTGTCTGTCCTCCTCCTGCTGACTGACTTCACTCAGCCCGGTGCCCTCTACTGTCTGATTCCGTGAGCTCAGGCTTTCTTTCAGCGGAGTAGTGTTCCTTTGGCTAGACCATGGCTCTTCTAGTCTTCTGTTCCTGGATACTTGAGTTGTTCAGATCTTGACTATTCTGAAGAGCACTGCAATGAAGAGCACAGTGTCTTTTTAGAAGTGTTTCGGGGCCAACTGGCCAATGGGGGTATGAAGAAATGCTGATGAGAGCAGTGACATACTGCTTCATCCCCTGTAAAGAGAGACTATCACACCTTAAAAGAACCAAAGCAGCCAGTGCTGGTGCAGATGTGGGAAAAGGGACCCTCATCTGTTTCTGGAAATGCCAACTGGTTCAGCATCTCTGGAAAAAGAAAGGTTGCCAGCAATCTAAGAATTGAGCCTTCATATGACCAGGTGGCTCATTTCTTGACATCTTTACCCAGCACGTCATGAGAAGTCTGATGGTTTTATCCTGCCCTGCTTTTGATGTTACCACTGTTCTCACAATGGGGTCTTTTATTAGAAAGAGGAAAACCTGAGAGCAGGGTAGAGAAAGCTTTGAGGTTTTATTTATGCTTTTGTTTGATTACTCCTGATTAGTGCTCAGGGACCTTGTGATGCTGGGAGTTAAATCCAGGCTTCCCACATACAGAGTCTATGTTTTGAGTCATCTCCATTGCTGAGCTTTTTAAAAAGTGAATTGTTTATTATTTTTCTTCGTTAGATATAACGCACGGCTTTGCACATGACAGTGAGGCTTTTGCTCCACCTGGAGCCATATCCCTGGCCTTGGTTTTGTTGAAACCTTCTTGGGGCTGGAGAGACAGTACGCTTGGGTTGTACAGACCTGGATTTGATCCCCCACATCCCGTCTGGTCCCCCAGCCACTGCCAGGAGTAACCCCTTGAGCATTGCTAGGTATAACCCCCAAAGGAAACAAAAAAACCTTCTTTCCAGAGTACTTTGTCTGCAAAGTACAGATCATGGGGTCAGACCATGGCGTGAGTATGGGCTCTAGGGAGCCAGTGCCAAGGCTCAGTTTCCTCAGTTTCCACTCTGCTGGGAGCTTCAGAGTCAGGCATGGTGTTCTGCTGCGCTGAAAGGGAGATGCGTATTAAAGCAATAGTGTGGGGCGGGGTGGGCAGTTGGCCAAAGACTTCCTTAAAAATCGGGGGCTGGGGCTGGAGAGACCATAAGCAGGGAGGAAGCTGGCCTTACACAGCCAACCTGGGTTTGATGCCCAGTACCCCATATCGTCCTGAGCCCACTAGGAGTGATCCCTAAGTGCAGAGAGAGGGGTGCGTCCCGAGCACTGATGAGCTGCACCTGGTTCTATCCCCAACACCGCGTACGGTCCCCTGCCAACGATGATCCCTGAGCATTCCTGGGCATAGCCCAAAAACTACACCAAAACATACATTCTAGGGAAGCATGAGGTATTCCTCAAAGGTAGAACACATGTCTTGCGTATGTAAATTTGATTCCCATCAATGAAAAAATAAAAAGGGAGACTATTAAGGGAGTCAGTTACATACTTAGACGCATTTCCCTGTTGAAGCTTGAGGGCGTCCTGTGATGAAGCTTTCTAATTTTCAAATCTAAGTTCTGATGATAGAAATGTATGTTAAGAGGCCTCTTGCTTACTGCTGAGACATCTGTTTTGCATGTGCAGGCAGTTCTTCACGGACCCTTCAACCCTTACGAACTGAAGTGCCACAGTTTGACCAGAATTTCCAAATTCAGGTACAGTTTCATCCCAGGGGGCTGGGGGGTGGGGGTTGAGTCCTTAGGGCCAAGGGAACTCATCCCCTCAAGTCTCTGTTTCACAAAAGTGTCTGAGATGTTCTAAGTTGCTTCACTTACCCACTGCTGTTTGTCTGCTCTTGCCACATTCTCTGATCACTCAGCAGAACTGTGCATACTGGCTCTGGGACCTTTGGAAGGTTCGGGAGGGAGCTGGTACAGTTGCTACCTCCTCAATATGGGTCCTATTGGAGAAGAAAGTGCTAATCATGAGCGGGGCTGGCACCGGACTTGATAGTCTAGAACACTCTGAAAGCTGCTCGGAGGGATACTGAGCTTGCTAGGAAGGCCTGGAAGGGTGGGCAGGGAGACCTGAGTACTGCCAAAGGCTCAGGAGTCAGGTGCTCAGTGGGAGGAAAGATCTGGCTAGGGAGGGGCTATTTCCAGTGCCTGTGCTTGGGCTGGAATTGGCGTTTGTCTCAGAAGTGATGGGGTGTGTGTGGCCAGTGAACGGGCATCACTCGGGGCCATGCACCTGCCACGTGGGGAGACACTCTGGGCTTCATTTTGGACATCTCTTCGCTGTAGGATACCCCTGCTCTCCAGTCCTGGGAGCTTGTCCAGAGGTAGAGCCCGGAGGACGGGAAGGCCCAGCACCGTGGGCAGCGCGTGCTGCTCTGGCTTCATCTGGGCGTGTGGCCTGGGCTGGCCTGGATGAGACCACAGAGGAGGGCAGGGGAGGGGAGGGAAGAGCGTGCCCAGGAGCTGAGCCACGTGGCCTCACGCTGGCTGTGCCGGGACCTGGGGACAGCTACGAGTGGGCACGTGGGGCAGCCTGGATCAGGGGTGAATGACTGGGCCCCACAGAAGGAATGTGGGGAGACAGGGTCAAATGAGGCGGCCCCAAGGGGACTCAGCTGCTCCACAGACACTGCATGTCTCTGGGCCTTGTGCTGGATCTGGGCCTGCCTGGCGCAGTGATGCAGCCACTTCTCCTCAGGTGTGTGTGGATTGAGAAGGAGAGCATCAACTCCGTCATCATCAGCGACTCCCCGGAGAACCTCCACCAGAGGATGCTGGTGGCAGCTTCACTCTCTGTCAACGCCACGGGTGAGGGGCTGTGCTTGCGCATGCGCCTTTGTCCAGCCCGGTGCTCAGCAGGCCGTGTCTGCGTGTGCCCTCACTGCTCGAGCGCTGGCGGGAGGAAGCGGACACAACGCTCGTGCACAACGCTCGTGCTTTTCCCGGGGGGTTCAAGTATTCAGTCCTTCGTCACCTGTCCCCTCCACCAGGCTTGGCCACAAAGAGAATCAAGGCAGATTCTTGGCCTGGGACCACCCTGATGGCCTCGAGAGAGGGAAGAGTAACCAAGCCCAGGAGCTCTAGCGCTCTCCCCAGTCTGCAAAGGGAGGGTGCCCGGGGGCATATGTGGGGCAGACCCCAGCAGGGCCCACACTCTCTGGCCTCCCGCAGGGTCGACCATGCTGCTGCGAGAGACGTCCCTGATGCCACACGTCCCCGGCCTGCCTGCGCTGCTCAGCATGCTCTTTGCCCCTGTGATGGAGCTGAGGTAAGGCAAACCGCTCATCTGTCTCAAGGGCAGGGGTGCAGAGCCTGTAAGAAGTGGGGGCAGAGGAAAGAAAACGGGAGCCGGAGTGGGCTCCGTTCAACTGTGATGATGCCAGAATCTGGCGGTGGGCTGGGGCCTTGTGGTCTCCAGTGTTAGGAAAGCTGTCCATCCCACTGACTGGGTGCCGAAGGCACAAAGCACACAGTACGACAACTTCCTCATAGCCTCCACACACACAGTAGGGCCACCTGCCTTCAAGTGGGGACACTTCCCTTCACAGTGTTCTGACTTCTCACAGTGGTACAGCCTCTCCTTGATTGCCCCCTTCTGTATCTGCCCAGGGAGCATGCGAGTAGTTAGTAGATCTGTGGTTCCTAGATCTCTGAAGTGCAAGTTCTGTTACAGACTCTCAGGAAATAGGTAAATCAGTCAGAAGTACCTAACATGCCATCTTTCTAGGAAAACCGTGAACCTCACAGAAGGTTGTACGTAGGTAGCACAGTCTCCGGGAATGCGGCACCGTGGCTGGCCATGGTCTGAGAGCAGTGTTCGGCAGGAAGGGACGCTTCTCTCCAAACTACCGCCAGTTTTCGTGAGCTTTGGTTTCTGGGCTCAGTGTTCTTTTGAATCAGTGGCGACCATTTTTGAAGTGTTGAATGAAAAAGGTGTCTGAGTGGGCAAACCCCTTTGTTTACCACAAGACCTTTTTCAGCGCAGAACTGTCAGTGGCCACTGCTGTCAGTGCACCTAGGGTGCCCTCCACCTGTGACACCCCCCCCCCCCCGCCCTTTCCCATCATGGCCCTGCCCAGGAGCAGCCCCGGGAGGGGGGGTGGAGATCTGTCAGTTTACCTTCAGTTGAAGCAGGTGTTGGAGGTGGGAGTTCCCTGCCAGAAGTCTCAAAATTGTCAGTTGAGGCCACTGCCCCGTGGGACAGGGAAGGAAGGGCAGAGGCTGCTTCCACCCTCCCTGGCTCCAGGGGCCCCTCTGGGAGGCAGGCACGGGGCCGCCTCTTCTGCCTCAAGCTGTCCTTCCCCACGGGAGCCTCCTGCAGTAGCTCAGTGGCGCCACCCTGCGGTGGAGCATGAGAACAAGCTGCCACCCGGTGTGATTGGAGCCCAGGGAGCTCCTAGCCAGTCAGGCATGCAGGACAGGCCTGGCCTGCGGGGCCTCGCTCCGTCCTCCCGTGGTGCTCAGAACCCTGGGACGGTGTGATAGAAGTGAAGCACAGGTGAGCTGAAAGGGGCTCTTCCCTCTGTCACCATCGTCGCTGTGAGGGGGCAGCAGGTGCTCCCAGAACATCTGTTCATGTGTGAGGCAGGGGCACAGCTGCAACCTACATCTGTTCTGCCAGGGAGGCCCCTCAGGTGCTCTCTCTCAGGCTGCTGTGGTTTCCACACAGCCAGGTGATTGCTCTGTGTCCTAAAAAGTTGGGTCACTTCACAGGCTGCCACAGAAGTCTCAGCTCCTGACACCTGTCAGCGTCGTAGTTCCCAAAGGTGTGGGATCAGAATCCCCTGCACCTGGGACGTGGCGCCTTCCCCTGGCGAGAAAAACATGGTGTAGCATTCCCAAATTCCCATTTTAGCAAGATGTCATAGACTACACATGTGCACTTTTGGGTTCACGTTCTCATGTCCCAGCACATACTCATCTCCCAGCTGTTCACACGGAAAATGCATTATCTGGTAAAGGTAAAGGCCCTCCCGTTGTTCGTCAGTTTGCTCGAGCGGGCCCAGTAACATCTCCATGGGAGACTTTGCTGTTACTGTGTCTGGCATATCGAATACATCATGGGGAGCTTGCCAGGCTCTGCCGTGCGTGCGAGATACTCTCGGTAGCTTGCCGGGCTCTCCGAGAGGGGCGGAGGAATCGAACTCAGGTCGGCCATGTTGGCTGCATGCAAGGCAAACGCCCTACCGCTGTGCTGTCGCTCCAGCCCGCATTATCTGGTAGATGAGGAGAAAGGTCAGAGGGGAACCCTGGCACCACATGTTCCTCAGCACCGCCAGGCCTAAGTACCTCTCGCTGGGAGTGGCCCCGAGATTTCTTGAGCACTGCTGGGAAGGCTGCTTCTCCCTAACCCTGTGTTTTAAAAGCCTTAGAGGTCACAGAGAATGCAGAGGTGCCCTGTACGGGCCGTGGCCAGCAGTGACCGCCACTGAGCTCTGCCAGGCTCCGTGCACAGATTTGTGTGGAGAGCCTGGAGGGGTCCACCCTTCCAGGCACCTCCCCTGCACCCAGCCGGACATGCTGCTCTTCCTGCCAGGGCCTTGCACTTCCAGTTTGTGTCTCGAGAGGCATTTTACAGGAAGGAAATAAATTCCTCTGGTCTCACTGTTTGTTGGGCCCTGTAAATACTGAGGATCCCTGGGAAAGCATGCAAGCTGATGCTCCCCAAGATCAAGGAGGGGAGCAAAAAAGGACTTCGTTGTCCGGATCCTTCTCACTAGGAAAAGCTTCCAGGGTGGGGAGAGCATGGACAGGACTCTGACCCTTCATTCCCATTACTCATTGCTTCTGTTTGAGGAGGACTTTTATGAAAGGAAATTATAATCTATTAAAATATAAAAATATTTTAAAAATCAAAAAAATTAAAATATCAAGAGAATGCATTTAAAGAAACATTTTTTGTATTATTTTGTAATGCAAACATTGGCACTGCCAGTTCATACCTGGACCCTGGTCTCTGCTTTTCTCACTCACAGTGGAGCATATCGAATGTGTATGAGTGTGCACGGATATGAGTCACGTGAGAACTAGGAACGCCCTCTTGTTCGGGTCTGTTAGGGAATTTTCTGAGTGGGGACTGTTGGTGGGGGTTTTTGGGTTTCACTTTGGTTTTGGCCATACCCAGTGGTACTGAGGGGTTACTCCTGGCTCTGCACTCAGGGATCACTCCTGCCAGTGGTTGGGGGACCATGTGAGATGTCAGGGATCGAACCTGGGTTGGCTGCTTGCAAGGGAAATCATCCTTCCCTCTGTACTCTTACTCTGGCCCCGTAAGAACACACTTTGTCTGTGTTGTTTCTGAAAAATCCTTATTGATCTAGAGAAGGGTGAGGGGGAGAGGCCGAGGTAATTACAGTCAGAACTAGCAAAAGATGTTACAAGGTACCTGGCATCGGTATCTGTTCCTTGGTTTGCTATTTCTCCGTGGAACGGATCACGGGCACTGGCCAGCACTGGTGTTTGCACAGGAGCGGGAGCATGAGGAGCGGGGCTGAGCTTACAGCGGGAGGGCTGGAGGCTGGACGAGACTGGAGCCCAGTGGGGAAAATGCCGAAGAACCGGGAAAGCCCAGTGGCAGCTTGCACAGTGCCAGCTACTGTGTGGAAGGACGCAGGTCTGGGTAGGGGTGGAGACTGCTGAGCCATGGCACGTGTCTATGTGGGAAGTGCTGTGACAGTAGTGCAGAGGGCACATGTGCGTGGGCAGTGGTTTGGGGCGACGCCTGCCCCCAGAAGCCTCTATCAGACTGAGCAGTAGGAGTCGGTACACAGCCTGTTCTCGGGAGCTGGGCCCATGCGCATTTGCCCCAGGGGCTGGGGCATGTGCCTTATGGACAGGAGCCCAGGTTCGATCCCGTCCCCCACGCACCACTGGTGTCCCCAAAACAAAAAGAATTAAAACAATGCGAAGAATTCAGAGGCTGAGCGAAAACAACCTGACAACAGCGTGTTCTCCACATCTGAGATTCACGGTGCATCGTGGGTTAGTAAGAGACTCGCTCTTCTCATGAGTGTGATGCAATGGGAGAAGCACCTGTACAAAGGAGTTGGGCATGGTGGCAAAACTTCGGTGGGGGGGCGGAGGAGTTTATTGCAGTTGGTGATCAGGAAAATGGTGCTTTCACAGTCTTGGCAGTGTAACTTCTTAAAAATGGTTCCTTCCCCTAGGGTGGATCGGGATGGAAAGTGCTACACTGGAGTCCTCTGCGGCCTGGGGTGGAACCCCACCACAGGGGCCCCCATCCTGCCTGAGCATGACATTGAGCTTGCATTCGACGTTCAGTTCACTGTGGAGGACATTGTGGAGGTGAGCGCAGCTGAGTTGGGTGGAGCGCAACCTCACTACGGCGCTGTGTGTGCTGATGCTCAGCCAGTGCCCAGGGCAGGGGGCAAGGGAGGCGGCAGCATGCAGGGGAGGGGCAGGGAAACGCATGGCAGTGTTAACTGCTGTCACCTGGCCGGGCTTGAGCGTCCACTTCGGTGGTGGGCCTGTTTTTGGTCAGGAAGATGCTTGAAGCACATCTGTGATGATTTGTTTTTCAAGCACATGGAAAGAACTCTTAAATGTTAACAGCGACACGCAGTTGCAGCTTGTCTCCTGTTGGAAGGGAATAACGGCGCTGCCCCTCTGCACACCTAGTTAGCGTGGTGGCCAGACCTGCTGTCTTCAGGGAGGTGGGACCATTCAGGGTTCTCGCTCAGTGCAGCCAGGGAACGTGTACTGGAACTGGTAATGGGAAGACACGTTTCTTAGACATAGCCACCGTGTGACCCGTCTGTCTGAGGGAGTGAAAACTCACATCCAGAGAAAACCTGCATGCGAATGTTGTTGCAGCTTTGCCCAGAATGGCTGAAAGCTGGGCCCAGGCTCCAGCCCCAGGTGCCATATGGGGTGACTCCAGAGCACTGAGCGCCACTACATGTGGCCCAGAAACAGACGTGAAAAGCTGGGAGCAGCCATATTGTGCTTGGGCAGGAGGATGGGTCTGCTGGCCCAGCCACATCATGGGTGACCCTTTGTGTGCTCTACTTGCAGTTCATGAAGTGCAGATTTGAATATCCAGGGAACATTCTGGAAAGAGACTCTAGGGACAGAAGACTCGGCTGCTGTACTGGAAAGGGCAGCAGGGACTCGAGCACAGAAGTCTGTCTGTGGGATGGAGGCCAGATGCCTCTCTGGGCCAAAACCCCCTTTAATATTCATCCATGGAAAAGGGGAGTGTGAATGTGTGTGACCGACCCCCTTCCAGGACTCTGAGGATGGTGTCAGATACCCCCTTTCGCGTTGGATGAGCGCTTGGACTGAAGCCACGAGGCTCCCAACAAAGGAAACCGCACAGCATGCTGTGCTGTTCTGCAGGGCAGTGTTCATTCTGAGCCTGCTTTATTCCTGCCCGCTGTGGCATGGGCCAGGTCAGAGCAGCCTGAATGCCCAGCGTCCTCCAGTCAGTGGAGCCTGAGCTCCTCGGAGCTACGGCACATCTGGGGCCGGGGCAGGGAGAGGACATTTGCAGGGAAGGATGCCCTCAGCAGTGGAGGAGGAGGCTCCAGGGGGGCCCTGCATGCAAGTCAGCTGTTGCTATGGAACCCAGAGAGAAATACTTGCTTGGCCACGTGGATGTGTGTAGTGGAAGGCATGAACGGGGAGCAGATGGCTCTGTGTCAGTTTCCTGCTGTCCTGGAACGCCCTCCAGGAAGCGAGAGGAATCCCCGCTGCTGGGGGGCATCAGTCTTGGAGGCCTGCTTTGCACAGGAGGTGGGTGTGAGGGGAGAGGCTTCACGGGCAGCACCCCAGTGACTCCCTGGGGAAGGTGACAAGGGTGCCCGCCTGCGTAGGCTTACTCTTGCAAACCATCACCCGCCTCGGCAGATTAGAAACTTCATACCAACCCAGAGATGGCTGTTACACAGGATGGGTCAGTGCATCTGGACCGGAGCTCAGAGCCACGCATGATTCCTCACAGAACAGCATCCAGAGAGGGTGCGCTGAAAATCAGAAAAGTGAGCTTAAGTCATCAAGTCTGGAACTCTTGCTGATTTGTTGGTTAGGGAGCCATACCTGGTCTTGGTGTAGTTACTCCCAGCTAGTGCTCCGGGGTTGTCCTGGTTGGAGCCCAGAGATCATGCGATTTCAGAGATCATGAAATCCAGGATTCCTCCCCTCCCCCGCCCCCCACAAGCCATTTTTGCAGCCCTCCTGTTGGTTTTTAATCCTTCTGGCATTGTTTCCTGTAATGGTGGTTATTTGTATCTTAATAACTAATTCCTGAAACCGTATCGACAGCAGTAATAAAATACAAATGGGCATGCTGAAGTGCCCTGGAGCATATGAGTGTTTTGTTGTCATCTCTTTACAGATTAATATTCTCAGGGCTGCCATTAACAAGCTGGTATGTGATGGGCCAAATGGATCCAGATACTTGGGGCCAGAGAGAGTCGCACAGTTACAGGACAACGCACGCCGGAAGCTGCTTGGGTGAGTGTACAGTGACCTGGGATGCTCACCCCCAGGTCTCAGTGTTAACTGTGCTTATGGTGGAAGGATGGACATGATGGGCTGATTTTGCACAACACAGGACAGCGCCTCAGAGCTCCCAGGATATGGACTGCAGCCAGCACTATCCCTGAATCACCCTGGATGCAGACAGGTGGAGGGGAGGCATGTCACACTCGTTAGTAACTTGAGGAAACATTCAGGAAGCCACACTGGGCCCGGGAGCTGCAGGCTGGGCCTCCCCGAAGGGACAGACATCCTGCACCAGCTCCATACTACCTTGGCCACATCGAGCCAGAAACCCAGGAGCCCAAGGCAGCCTGGACTGGAGGGCAGGCGACAGTGGAGAGCACCACTCTCCTCATGGAAGTGGCTGGGAACTGACCAGCAGGGCATTCAGTGCCTGTCCTCTGCCTCCAGGTGCACACTGGACAGACAGCTGAGGAGCAGCTTGGCGGACTGTGGCCCTGGGTCTGATCCCCAATACCACATGGTCCCCTTGATCGAGCCAGGCAGTACGAGGGGGTGCCCCTCAGAGAAAACACAGGGAATCAAAATGGTTGCAAAGTCTGTAAGTCCACTAAAAGGATTGAATTATAAACTTAACACTGATGTGTTTTATGACATAGAAGTGAAACTTTTACTAAGCCAGTTTAGAAACAGCTTGGCATCCTCTGTTTGAGGGCTTGCCATCTCTACGCGTGGAGAGAATTGTGTTTGCTTTTTTGGCCACACCCAGTGATGCTTGGGGGTTACTGCGGGCCTTGCTTGGGGAACCATACAGGATGCTGGAAGTCAAACCCAGTTGGCTATGTGCAGGCAGGCACCCTCCCACTGTGCTACCACTCCAGCCCCCATGTTTGTTGTTTCGAGTAAGATTTCGCCTCATGAATTTTTGAGATCCACGTTAATGTTTGTTCTTTTTAAGTTCTGAATAATCCCCATTTTGCTCTGACCCATTCACTGCTTGCTGAAATATCCGGACTGTGGTCATAGTTTGGCTGCCATGACTCAGCACAGAGCAGCAGTGCAGTTAGGACTTTTCTTTCCTTAGCCTGAAGAGACTGGAGAGATGTGTGACTCCTTGGGAAGCTGCCCCAAAGCCTCTCTGTCGGGAGCCTGACCCGTAGAGCAGATGAAAAATAGGACTGGGCCGCTGAGCTGCCAGTGGGACGTATTTGAGCACAATCATCAACGCGAGCTAACTAGCCGCCAGAATTCTGGGAGTTGGTTGCACTTACGCTGCAAGCCTGAGCCTTGTGGCAGCCCCTCCCTAGACAGGGGGCTTCCTCCCCACCCACACTGTGTAAACAGGCGTCCACGGAGCCTTGGTTTCCGTTTTTCCTTATGTTTCCTGTGAACACTACCGACTGACTGAAGTGTACGTGTGTTTCTCCCCATGGGAAATAAGCCTGTCTTCCTACTGGATTCTTTCTTGTGTCTACTTGTGTGACCAGTTAACTGCTTTTGCAGTTTGATGCTGTGTTACTTCTACTTTGTTTTGTGTAAAGCATCCCATATGGTCCCCCAAGCACTGCCAGGAGTAATTCCTGAGTTCAGAGCCAGGAGTAACCCCTGATCATTGCTGGGTGTGACCCAAAAAGCAAAAAATAAAAAATTAAAAAGGCTTTGCTGCAGCCACAGTCCCACATTTTCTCCTGTTACTTGTCTTATGTTTACTCTTTCTGTTGCTCTTGTGTGATTGGGGATTGAACTCAGACGCACACGCACAAGGCACACCCCTGAGCCACATCCTCATCATCTTATAGCCATCCGTGATGGGGAGTCTGACCCACTTTGGGAAGTGATTGGGGTTGACATTTACTTCCCCAGGGGAATCACTTGTCATACTGTCACTTGTGGGAAAGCACTCCTTTCTCCCATGACCTGCCTTGGAACCTGTCACATGTTGGTAGCATTGGTGTGATGGCACATTTCAGTCCCTTCTGTTTTATGTGGAGTTTGTGCCAGCACTAAGCTGTCTGGACTGCTGTAGTTTTATAGTGAATTTTGAAATTGGGTAATGTTAGTTCTTCTCCTTTATTCTTTTTTGGGGGTTGTTGTGGTTTGGGGACTGCTGTGCCGCTTCCAGGGCTTACTCCTGGTGGGGCTTCAGGGGGCCCTGTTTGGTGCTGGGGATTGAATCAAGATTGCCCCCATGCGAGGCAAGTGCCCTACCTGCTATGCTATCTCTTTGGCTGTCTCTTCAGTGTGTGGGTTTTCAAGTTTTCAGGCACTCATTAAATGATGTTCAAGTATTTGTCTTCTTTCAGTTCTATTCTGAATGAAATTGTTGTATTTTTTGATTGCCAAACATGAAACAAAAAATGTTTTTCTGTTGACTTTTATCTTGTAACCTTACTTAACCCATTGAATTAGTAGTAGTTGTAATTTCTAATGGTAGTTTGTAGATGATTTCCTCCATACAAAATCATGGCTTCTTTAGAGAAATTTCCAGCCTGTCTGCTTTAACTTTCCTCTCCTTTCCCCCTGGTGCTTGGAGGTCACTCTGGTCGACCTGGGGATTGAATCGAGTCAACTGTATGCAAGGCAAGTGCCTTCCCAGTTGTGCTGGCTCCCTGGCCCGCTGATTTCCTTTACTTATTCAAGCTGGCCAGGACCACAGAAGATTGCCGAATGGAATGGGGCGGGCGGGCACTGTTGTCTTGGTTTCACTTTGCGGGAGAAACATTCACTTGCTCACCATTGGCAAGTTGATGTCAGCCTTGCAGCTTCCATTGTGGCCCTTGGGGAGGCTGACGTAGTAACTCGTAGTTACTGTTCCCTGAGAGCTCCTGTCAGGTAAGACTCTGCTTTTGGCCCAGAAGCCTTTTCTGTGTCTGTGAGATACTCTCGTACTTTCCCCTCTATTCCGTTTGCATGGGTGCTGGGTGAGCTAACACCCCATTGGCTACATCTTACTGTTAGGACCGTTCTTGGTTCTGTTCTTGGGTCACTTCTTCCACATGTGTCTGAGCCAGTCATTTGCCGCCTCCTCCTGTGTTAGCAGGTTTAGGTTTTCAGGTGCTAACTTGGGTGGTGCTAGTGGGGGTGAGGTTGGAGTTGGGGATGTCCACTGAGGGTCCTTGTCATCACAACCTTGTGGTCCGTGTTACAGCTGTGCTCGTGTGATTGTCTGTGCAGACAGCATGAGGGTGACTTCTCGGCAGGGGTCGTCCAGGCTCCCCCTTGTTCAGTTCTTTCATTGTGTGACTGCCTTAGAGTCAGAGCTTATCTCACTGAATGTCAACTGACTGACTCACTGAAAATGTTCGGCTTTATTTTTTTTGTTCTTGTTTGTTTACTGGACTGATGTTACACCTGATGATGCTCAGGGGTTTCTCCTGGCTCTGCACTCAGGAATTACTCCTGAAGGTACTTGGAGGACCATATGGGGTGCCTGGAATCAAACCTAGGTTGACCACATACAAGGCCAGCACCTTACCCACTGTACCGTCCCTTTGCCCCCGACTCTTGGTTTATTATAGAACCTGTTCGTTTTGTGGGTGGTGAATTAGAGCCCTCTTTATTTCTGATTTTGATCATACACAGCATCTGTTTCTTTATCAGTGTAGCTAAAGTTTATCAGTTTGACTGATCTTCTCAAAGAACTTGGTTTGCTGATTTCCTTCCCCCTAGGTATGGCCCCTGTGGGTGTTACTGCTCACTCATTGTTGCTGACCCTTCATAAGCTTGTCTCTTAGCCTTGTTTCTGCTGCAGACATTGAAAACTATATTGGAAGCAGTTTATTTCCCAGTTGCTGCTTGAGTGGCCCTTAATGTTGGGATTCTCTCTGCCTTTCCTCTGACAGTATTTCTACCTTCTCAGGATTCTCGCCAGGAGGCGACTGCCATTAGGCTGCATGGCAAAGCCCCAGAGGGCTGTGGTGGGTGAGGAGCCAAAGGACAGAAACAGGGCTTCTTCTAGCCTCTTTTTTCCCCTCTGATTTTGGGTGTATGGCTGGTGAAAATGTCACGGCTTGGGGGCTGGAGTGATAACACAGCGGGTAGGGCGTTTTGCCTTGCACGTGGCCTTCCCGGGTTTGATTCCCAGCATCCCATATGGTCCCCTGAGCACGCCAGGAGTGATCCCTGTGCTTCTCCGGGTGTGACCCCCCCCCCAAAAAAAAAAAAGTCTCGGCTTTTGACCTTTCAGAGTTATGTCGTTATGATCCAGAGAAAACCAGTCTAGGATTAAAGTTGCCTGCATGCTCTCTCCTGAGTTTCTCTGGTGTCGATATTAGACTTGGGCTGGAGCGATAGCACAGCGGTAGGGTGTTTGCCTTGCACGCAGCCAAGTTCGATTCCTCCACCCCTCTCGGAGAGCCCGGCAAGCTACCGAGAGTATTCGATATGCCAGACACAGTAACAGCAAAGTCTCCAATGGAGACGTTACTGGGCCCGCTCGAGCAAATTGACGATCAACGGGAGGGCCTTTACTTTTACTTTAACTGTTTTTGTCTGGATTACTTGCTATGCTTGATTTTTTTTATTTTGGTTATTATTCTCAGAAATAAAGTAGAACTTTGTCATCTTGGAAGAAACAAAATTGTGTTTTCAGTACCTGATGTGCCAGTAAAATGCTGCTCCTTTTTAAATTTCAGTTTGTTCTGTCAGTTGAAACCAAGAGAGAGGATTGTTCCTAAGTGGCACGAGAGGCCGTATGAGTGGAATCAGGTGAGTGAGACCCACACGCGGTGCAGGCCCTCAGGGTGCACTGTCCCATGTGGAGGGCCCCTGAAGGGCTCCGGGCAGGAGGGGAGAAGATGCAGCGTGGAAGGAGATGGGGGGCAAGGGGTAGGCCAGACGGACTGCAGGAAAGAGCCTCTACCAGGGTCTTGGTGGAAAAGGCAGAGTCCAGGCCAGACGCCCTGCCGGTTCGGATAACGGGAAGCTTTGTTATCTTAATCAGCTTGGCTCCAGCAACAGTGTCTGGGGTTGATAGCAGACATTTTTTTTTTTCATAGTTTTAGAGGCTGGAGGCCAGAGCTCAGGGTGTCACCACGCTGGGTTAAAAGTCCTTGACTGGGTGGGCTGGAGCCAGTAGGGTATTTTCCTTGCATCTGGCTGTCACCCCAAAGGGTTCCCTGAGCCCACTAGGAGTGACTCCTGAATACCACCAGGTGTGCCCCTGCCAAAAGAGAAGTCCCTGTCCTTTTCAATTCAGGTAGCTTCTGAAACACTTGCTGGCGTCATCGTTTCTTACACCTGCTTTGAGTCCAGTTCAAAGATGTTTCACCTGGGTAGGGGCTGAAGAAAGATTACAGCAGGAAGGGTGCTCGCCTTGCATGCTGCCAACCCAGGTTCTATCCCCAGCATCTCATATGGTGCCCTGAGCACCACCAAAAGGAATACTGAGTGCAAAGCCAGGAGTAACCCCTGAGTATCACTGTAGATCACAAAACAAAGCAAAAACCAAAAATGTTTCACCTGGTTAAAATTAAACAGGTGCTGCTATTTCTCTGTAATGACCCCACTGGAAAAATGGCTCCATTGATATCAGCCGGGAGCACTGCAGTTGACCCCTGAACAATGTGGATTTGAGTGTTTGGGTACACTTACACTTGGGTTTTCTAATAAACACAGAACAGATTAGGGTTTGATAAGCCCACCCATTACTGTTATGAGGATTGTTTTTGCTGTGGGGAGGGGGATTTTGGGTCACACCCAGTAGTGCCTCAGGGCTTGCTTCTAGCTCTGTGCTCCTGTGGATCATATGTGGTGCCCAGGATCTAACCCAAGTTGGCTGCAGGCAAGACGAGTGCCTTACCTGGCCCCGCCATTCCTCTGACCCCACTGATGATTTTCTTAATAGCATCTTCTTTTCTGTAGCTGACAGTATTCTAAGGACATGGTATGTAAAAACGTACCAAACATGTTCATTTGCTAATTAGGTCATCGGTAAGGCTCTGGGCAATAGGAGGCCATTCATTAGTAAAGTTTGTGGGGAACTTGAGGGGCCAAAGAATGTGAGGCCAGGGAGATAGATTAAGTTACTGGGGCATATATGGGGCATGAAGGATTCCTGAGTTCAATCCTTGACATCACATGGTCAGTCCCTGAGCACTGAGCTCGAAGTAAGACTGATGCACTACTGGGTGTGGCTTCAAACCAAACCAAAAGTGAAGTGTGACTTTTGAGAGCATGGGGGTCAGCGCCTCTAAGCCCACATGGTAAACTGCATCCTGAACTGACTGTTCTTAATTATTTTTGGAGGAATATGTGGGACATTCCAAGTCAGGATGCCACGTCCTGAATGCTGGGAGTAGAAAGTGTTCTGGAACTCCATTTCGGACTGAGAGTTCTTGCTGCTCCACCCAGGCAGTGTGCGGTGGTCTTGATTTTGCTTCATGTCCGCAGAAGCACCTCTCAGAGCCACTGGTTCTTTTATCTGCCCTCTAGGTTGATCCCAAACTGGTCATGGAGCAGGCTGAGCGGGACAGCGGCCGAGGCAAGAACATCTTTCTCTACCAGCTCCACAAGCTGGTGGTTCTCAGTGCCTAGAAGTAGCTGCAGGTTGTGTCCTGTCTGTGCTGGAGGCCACGCTTGTGCATTAAACGTGCCCTCTGCGTGGTGGCTTCTCTACACCCAGTGTCCGGTCTTTGCCCACTGCGTCCCCAGGTCTTCCCCAGCCTGGCTCCTTTTCTTTTGGTTGGTAGTGGACAGAGGGGTGTTTCTGTCCAGGGGAAAGATGGGAAGGTTTTTTCTAGAAACAGAAAAATCACTATATTTAACATTGGAGGGAAATTGCTCTGAAAGAATAATTTTTGGGGGGAAGAGAACTGTATTTTGCTTTAAATTTACAGAAGTAAATATAACTAGCTAATCTTACATGTAAGTTTCCAGAATGTTCTAGTATGTTCTGTTAACAGCAGTTTAAACTTGGGTAATGGAAAAAACTAGGGCTCTTAATTTACCACAAGCTTTGTGTGAAAAACCATGTAGCATTATTTTTTTATTCCCATGAGGGAAAATATCTAATTTTGGTAAAACTAACTTCAGTTTTGTATATTTTAGGTTTTTACTTGTTACAATTGTCTACATTTTGGAAACCAGACAGATTACCTATGTGTAACTGTGTAAAACAATAAAAGCATGAAACCGAGCTTCTGTTTCTTGCAGTTTTAGTCAGAGAAGATAAACATGTATTTTTAAGAAATTCAAATTGGGTGCTTGCATCGATAGTACGGTGGTTAGGGCACTGGCCTTGCACGTGGTCAACCTGGGCTCAATCCCTGGTATCCCATATTGTGTAAAACTCCGGGGAAAGCCAGGGGGAGGCCCCAACGGCTCTTCCCCTAGCAGCCCGTGTTCGGGGGGCGGGGGGACCTGGGCCGCTCGCCCACCTGGGGTGGCCTGGGCCATGGGGCAGACAGTGGACTAAGCGTGGGCCAAGCCAGTTGGTTGATCAGATGCCGTGTATCCCATTCTCCCCACACGCCTACCCCGGTCTCCCCGAGTCTCCCATTCTAGTCTCACACTGCCCTCATTCCCGTCTCCTGTCTCTCCCTCTCATCTCTCCACCTCCATCTCACAGCCTGGGCTCAATCTCATCTCTCCAACTCTCTTCCTTCCTAGCTCTCTTGTCACTTCAACTCCCCAGTACTCTGGGCCAACACTTCACCCAGTCAGGTAGCAAAATCAATGTGAGAAAGCCCTTCCTGAGGGCCCACCAAGTTCAAAGGGAACACCACCTAAAAGGTATCCAAAGCCCTTCCTGACTGCCCAAGGGCAAAATACCTTCTAAGGTGTCTTTCTCCTTTCCTCAGTCCAGTAACTCTATCAACATCTTAATACTGGTTATTTTTGTATGGACACAGTAAGAGATAACATTGAAGCTTTTAGGGCAGCTCTCCTGGGAATATCTTGCCACAGACTCAGACTACAGTGCTCAGGCCAGGTTAATCATTCCTAACCCTATCAGGTTCCAAATCTAGTTATTACCTTTTGGATCATGACAGCATTTGTCCATGCCCAAGCTCTTAACTTACAGTTAAGCATTATGGCACTTTGGCCAGGCCCATCTCAATACCAGGGTAGCGCATAGCTTACCTCTTGCCCTGGTTCCATCCAGTCCCTCATCAGGACCCTGCTTTTCGGGGCACTAGGAAGTGAGGGAAGTTGAGACTTAGGTGAGAGAACAGATGCCCAGGAGGGAAATATCACTGAGAATCACATTACAAAAGCATGTCTTCATACAAAAAGGACATTGCTCTGAATAAACTATGCAAAGGACTTAGGGAGAAGAGAAAAGCAATATTTACAAGTCAACAGAGCAGCACAAAGAAAGAAGTTACAAAGAAACACAGGAACGGGAGCACTGTGACGGGAGCAATGCAGTAACCCTAAAGTACCTGAAGCTATGTAGAAAGGACAAAACCGTATTATCCTACATAGGATGTAGGATGACACCATATGGTCCCCCAAGCCCCACCAGAAGTGATCCCTGAGCACAGCCAGGAGTAAGCCCTGAGCATTTCTGGATATGTCCTAAAAAAGCAAAAAAGAAGAAATTCAAATTTATAAAATGTACAAAGGAATAGAGACCTCTTCCAGAAAGTCAGCAGCCAGGTTCTGTCCGAAAACAGCCTTGGCGCGGGGGCCGTTGGGGGGGGGGGGGGACATCTCACCAGGGGCTCCTGACTAGGAGCAGGGAGGAAGGACATGGGAACCATGCTGTCTCGGGGCTTTGTGGATGGGTCCTGCAAGAGGGGCTGCAGCTCTGAGTGTCCCCAGCATGCTCGTCTGTGTCTTCACTCCACATCACTCAGTCCCCCTCAGCTGCTTCTGGGGTCTCCCAGAGGAACCGCCTTCTCTCTGAAACTGGGCGACCCTGGGAGCCGCTCCCCAGCCTCACACAGGAGGTGCAGAACTGAGGTGCCACGCCCCCTTCCCAGACTGGGAAGACGGAACCTGTGTCCTGCTTTTGGGTTAGGACTTTGCCTGTCCCGCTGACATCTTGAAAGACGGAGTCATTGTGATTTGATTCCTGCAGCGACACAGGCAGGTGGTGTCAGCGCAGGCACTGCCAGCCCGGGGAGATCTGGAGCGGTCAGGCACCCTTCTGGCTTTCCTTGGGCGTACTTCTTCCTCGTTGGTCTTGGGGGGCTGCTCCTGGTTGTGTTTGGCGACCATGCAATGCCAAGGCTTGAACCCAGTGCTCCCGAGTGGAAAGTACGTGCTCCGGCCTTTTGACAGTCTCTTTGACTCCCGTCCATTTTATTGACTTTTACTGAAAACTACCCTTTACGTTTTTGGTCATATTTTCCATTGCTTTTATTGAGAAATGTGGTTTGTGCCGTTTCTGCATTCTTTCATATCTGCACTGCTGCTTCACATCCTTCTCAGCACAGTCCTCTGTTGTGTGGCACACTCTGGGTTTCCTCCTGGCTAATCCTCGCTAAGGGCGAGATCATCTCTCCTTGGGACTTGCTTCTCCCAATCCTCCAGCGCTAGCCAGGTTGCAGCTGGCAGTAGGATTTCGTCTCTCGCCGCCGAGCAGTCTTCTGGGGACCACAGTTTCACTGTCACATCATGCTTTTGGCCACTTGGATGGTTTCCAAGTTAAAACAAAAATACTTGGACTCGAGGCACCTTGATTTCCAATGCCATTGTGGTAACAGACCACAAGCTCCCGTGTGCCTCTTGCAGGTGCCACCAGCGTCGGGCCCGCCCACCCAGCTCCTTAGAAAACTCCTTTTTAAACCTTCTTTACAGTTCGCAGATGCTTACAGTAGTGTCAGTTCCTGGTTTTGATGTGCATGGTTACCTCATCTCTTGTCTTACCAAAGTGTCCAGGACCGTTACTGCCCCTTTGCCGCCTCATTCTCCAACCCCCTCCCGTTTCCCCTGCCTTGGCATTTGCATTTCTGTAATACAGGCCAAGGGTTTTCCATTCTTTGATATCTTCCATTCTCCTAGTACTCTGTATTCCACAAATGTGAACGCCCGATATTGCCCTGCGTGCCTCTGATGGCGACTTTGCTTCGAATCCCCCGTCCCGCCTATTGAGTACAGTGCTGTGGTGAGCACAGGTGTGCTGTTTTCTCATGGATTGATGTTTGAGGCAGGTGCCCAGGAGGGTGATTTGCTGGGTCATACGGAAATTTATTCTTAATTTTTTTTTTTGAGAAGTCACGCTACTGTGTTTGGTTCAGGCTGAATCAGACGACAGCAGCACACCTCCCTCCGGGCCCCAGCTGTGTTGGTGTTTTCTGTTCTCCTGGGGACTGGGGTATTTTCTCAGGGTTCTTTTGACTTGCATTTTTCTGCTAAGTGATGGCGCTGCTGGGTGGTTTCGGCATCCAAAGCAGTGTGACTGTCCACACGCTGTTTGCAAACGGGGCTTGAGGAATTTAACCTTTCTGCCAGATGAGTCACGGGCACTTGAGTTTCTCCACGCATGCAGCTGAGCAGCTGAACTCAGTGTAGAATCCACACTCTTCCTCTCCTGACGGCTCTGTCTTCTGCTGTCTTTGGACCTTCTCATATTTTTGTGTCTGGTGCTCATTACCGTGCCTCAGTACCCTGTGCTGTCGCTCCAAGAATTACAGTTCTGCGCATGGTCTCCCACATGCACGTCAGCCTGTGGGTCGTGGTGGAGGGGCTCAGGCTCCCGGACCAGCACGGGTCACCCCGTGTGCTGGGGAATCGGCCTGAGCAGACTGCAGGCTCAGAGGCAGGGTGCCCTGGCGCTCATGGTCTTCTTGGTGCCATGAATGTGACTCGACCCTCCTACCGAAAAACAAAATGCCACGAAGGAGATGAGACACCACGGCAGAGCTCTGCTCGCTCTTACTGCTTCACGTTTGTGTAGCTCAGGCAGTGGCCAGTGGATCTCGCTCTGACCCATAACCAGGTTTCCCCTTGCGGCCCACAGAAGGCGCCTCACTGTCCTGTCCGTGAACACTGGCAGCCTTCTGCGGAGTAGCTGGGCGGGGTGGGCACAGCAGTGCCCTCAGAAACCACCAAAGAACTCAGGAACTGGCGGTGTTGGTGAGAGTGACCACAGCACGGCTCTGGTGGGGAAAATTAGCTTGGTGTGGGAGGCAGCAATACTCACACCATACTTTTTTTTTATTATTATTACTCTCATCGTGTGTGTGTGTATGTGTGTGTGTGTGTGTGTGTGTGTGTGTGTGTGTGTGTGTGTGTGTGTTTTGGGATACTCCCAGCGGTACTCAGGGCTTACTCCTGACTATGCTCCGGGATCACTCCTGGCAGGCTCGGGGGATCTCTGGGGTGCTGGGGATCAAATCTGGGTCAACCACGTGCAAGGCAAACACCCTACCTGCTCTGCTACAACTTGGCCCAACTTTTTTTTTTTAAGTTTATTAAAGAACTGTGATTTACAAAGTTATTGAGAGTTGATTAAATTTTTATTTATTTGCTTTTTGGGTCACGCCCGGCGATACACAGGGGTTAATCCTGGCTCTGCACTCAGGAATTACCCCTGGCGGTGCTCAGGGGATCATATGGGATGCTGGGAATCAAACCGGGGTCGGCCGCATGCAAGGCAAACGCCCTACCTGCTGT